CAAGACTTCGCCCGCCACGCTTCGTTCGCTCAGCACCAGCACCAATGCTATTCAGGCCAACATGTCCAACCTGCAGGTGACTGCCGGCCAATGCCCCGTCATGGGCAAGGCAATGGCTGTCCAGAGCACTCGCCTCAACACCGTGCTCTCCGGCGCCTTCGGTGGCTCCAGAGCCTACAGCTCCCGCGCTATCCGTGCTCCTCGTGCCTACCTGCACACCACTCGTGCCGAAAAGGCTCAGGCAGTGGACAGCAGCCCGCTGAGACGTGATGATGGTAACCATGACCGCGAACAGGCTTTAATTGTACCTTACTGACCTGCGATTANNGTACGCTACCCTGCTCCCGCGTCGCACCAGCAGCAACAGACGCAGAAGCAGTCCTCCAAGGAAATGCACGGCGCTCCTCCGGCACCTCCGAACACTTCTCGCTTCGACTACGACGCTTTCTATCAGACCGAGTTGGACAAGAAGCACAAGGACAAGTCGTACCGCTACTTCAATAACATCAATCGTCTGGCCAAGGAGTTCCCTCGCGCCCACAAGGACACCCCTGAGGAGAAAGTCACTGTCTGGTGCTCCAATGACTACCTTGGTATGGGCAGAAACCCTCAGGTTTTGAAGAAGATGCACGAGACGCTCGACATGTACGGCGCTGGCGCTGGTGGCACTCGCAACATTTCTGGCCACAACCAGCACGCCGTGGGCCTCGAGGCGACCATCGCCAAGCTGCACGCAAAGGACGCTGCGCTCGTTTTCTCTTCATGCTACGTCGCCAACGATGCCACTCTGGCTACTCTGGGCTCAAAGTTCCCCGGCTGTGTTATTTTGTCTGACAGCAGCAACCACGCTTCCATGATCCAAGGCATCCGTCACTCTGGAGCCAAGAAGATGGTCTTCAAGCACAACGACATGGCCGATCTCGAGCAGAAGCTGGCCTCGCTTCCTGCAGAGACCCCCAAGATCATTGCTTTTGAGAGTGTTTACAGCATGTGTGGATCTATCGGTCCCATCGAGCAGATTTGCGATCTTGCAGACAAGTACGGTGCCATTACTTTCCTCGATGAAGTCCATGCTGTTGGCATGTACGGCCCGAACGGTGCCGGTGTCGCTGAGCACCTCGACTACGAAGCATACGTGAACGGTGGACAGCCCAAGGGCACCGTCCAGGACCGTATTGACATTATCACTGGTACTCTTGGAAAGGCTTATGGATGTGTTGGTGGTTACATTGCTGGCTCCAGCAAGCTTGTCGACACCATCCGCTCTCTCGCTCCCGGCTTCATCTTCACTACCTCGCTTCCTCCAGCCACCATGTCTGGTGCCCAAGCTGCCATCGAGTATCAGATGGCATACAAGGGCGACCGTCGTCTGCAGCAGCTACACACTCGTGCTGCCAAGGATGCTCTTGCCGCCAAGGACATTCCTGTCATCCCCAACCCCAGTCACATCATCCCTGTTCTGGTCGGTGATGCCGAGGTTGCAAAGAAGGCCTCCGACCTTCTCCTCGAGGACCACGGTATTTACGTCCAGGCCATCAACTACCCCACCGTCCCCGTTGGTCAAGAGCGTCTTCGTATCACTCCCACCCCCGGTCACATCCGCGAGTACCGTGACCACCTGGTCGAGGCTCTCGACAAGGTCTGGAACCAGCTCGGAATCAAGCGCACCTCCGACTGGGCTGCCCAAGGCGGTTTCCTCGGTGTCGGCCAGGAGACTTCCGGTAACGAGCCTCTCTGGACTGATGAGCAACTTGGTCTTTCCAAGGTCAATGCCGAGTTGAACAAGGTTGGCAATGATGCCGTCAATGTCCTCGAGAGCGTCCTTGAGGCCGAGAGAAAGGAGGTTGCTCAGGCTGTTGCTTCTGCTTAAGCTTCTGAGGTCAATATGTCAGGATAGATATCCGAGTCGTTGGATGTTTAGTTGAGCAAGAAGAGGACGGGAAACAAGCCATCTGTGGCTCTCGATAATATCAAAACCATTTTCTCCACCTCTGAATCACTCTGTGCCTGCCTCTTGTTAATAGTTGTGACATGCGTATTGAGCTGTTTCCTGCCTCGAGAAGCAGAGAAAAGAAAAGAAAAGACTCGAAATGAAAAAGGGCCGAGGACAAGCTTTTTATATGACCAGTGAAAGGACATAGGATCTTTTCATTGCCGGATTGGGTATGTGGTTCCCAATGCTTTGTTCTCTCCTTCGACAACTGTTTCTCTCATTCGAAGCAAGAATATTCTTTTTTTTTATGGCACCGTCAACAGAACAGCACAATGCACAAAACTACTTTTTATCGAGTTGTAGCAATGAACTCATAGGCAGCGAAGTGATGAGCGGCAAAAAATTGTTGATACAAAAAAGCTTCCACGAAGCAAATAAACTCAACTCTAAGCTCTATGAAAAGACACAGAGATAAGGGTAGCACAAAAGCCATGCGAAACAACACAAGAGCAAGCATGCTGGCAAAAGAACAAGGGTATGCCCACACGAAACCTCCTTCCCCCCCCCCCGCAGACTCCAGTATTTACACCACCGCATCCCATTGTTTAGTATGATAGTCTAATCTTGCTGGGTCATGTGAGAAGGCAAGTTCCAACTAGCGTAATCTTGATGCACAAAGGCACGATCAACAGTAGGCACAGACTCCAAGACGTACTGCAGACTCTCTCCCAGATCGTGGCTGTCTCTCAATGACATGTGCTCATCGAGCACAATATCGACCTCTACATTCAGCTTGTCGCCAGAGTGATAAGCTTGCAATCCTTGGATCTGCTTGATGGTCTTTGCGAAGCGCATGGTCAGGTAGAGAAGCACATTACGCTCGTCTGCAGAAGCGGCTGCACCAGTGAGATTGCGGATATGAGAGAGGGATGTGGCTGACCAGCCGCCAATGACGTAAAAGGAGAGGAGAATACCACCGAGAGGGTCGAGCCACCAGATACTGAAATAGTAGCCCAACAAGGGAAAGATGATGGAAAAGATGTTGAAGACGACATCGGTCATTGCATCTTGGGCCAGAGCCTGGACGCTGCTGTTGGGAATCAGTCTACACCACAGCCAGCATCCGAACTTGATGATGACGGTGGTAGACATGATAGCAATAGCAGCGTAGCTGAGTTGCACAATGGTATGATCCTTTGAGGTGAGGTGGTTCAAACCTTCAATGGCGACTTGAACAAAGGAGGTGACCATGATGACGGAGAAGACCAGAACGCCAATGGGCTCCAGACGTCTGCGACCAACAGGATATTTGTACATGTCGTTGTGGCTGATCAGTCTAGTGGTAGTCCACACGATAGCGGTCGAGAGGAAGTCCAAGGCCGCATCGACCAGAGAAGCCAGAACGGAAACGGAAGAGGTGAGGACGGTGACGACAATCTTCAAGCCGAGGAGTATAGTGTTGGCGACCAGGTTCAGATAGATGGCTACAGTGACGACGCGGCTCTGGCTGTCGGGCTCATCATCGGGCTCAAAAGCAGGGATACCGGTATTAAAGAGCGAATTGCTGTCGTCCTCGGCCAACAAGGGCGTCTCTTCGTCAGCACCGACGCGGTACAAGGCTTTGGGTGTTCGCTTGAGCCTATAACTCTGGTTTGCTGAGGTGGTGCCGTTGCCATTGGCATCGATAGGAGTGAGGGCAGGAGAAGGTCTGGCAGAGGCTTCAGCACTTGGACTGCCGTTCTCCTCGCTGATGGTAGGCGGCACAGTAGCAGCTCCCGAAGTGCTGTGAACGTTGTACTGATACTCTTGAATGAGATCATGGGGCAGACTCGAGTCGAGCAGTCTGTCGATGTACAGATACTGCTGAATCAGGAAGTTGTTCCTCTCGTAGTATTGCCGGATGGGCTTCTTCATCTTCTTAAGGTCTTCATCGGGTGTGAAGTACTTCTCCCAGCGGTAGCGCGGATTGCTGTTGCCGATCAAGCGCATACTGCGCATCTGGGTAGTCATGAGGGCAGCAGCGCCCGAACTCAGACGACGCGAGGCATCCAAGTTCTGGTCGTTGGCGGTAGCTCTGAAGCGAGCTTGCTGAGGTGTTGGTGGCTCATTGTCGCTCACGGCGGCGCCATCTTCAAGCGAGGTGCCTGGAGCAAAGTTGCCGTCGAGCGACGAGCGGCGGCGGCGTCCTGTGACGACAGGAGCATGAGTTGTTGAGCGCTCGCGTATCAGCTGCGGAAGGTGCTGGCCGCGGGTCGATAGAGCCGACTCTTCTGATAATGGCAGGAAGCTCTTAGCTCCCGAGCCCGAGACGCGCTTGCTGGATGAAGGTGTCGACATGGTCGCGCGAGTGTCGTCGAGGTAGGCGAGATGGCCGACGCCTTTCACTTGTCCATGGTCAGAGAAGATGGGTCGATGCTGAACATGTTTATCCTTCAAGCCTCAACCAATGCCTGCCACCGACACATTGTGCTTCGTACCGGCCTGCGCCCCGTCCACTCGCCCGATGGATGCCAAACTCAATCTTCCATCAGGGTCACAGCTGGAAGAGCTCCACCTTTTGCTGCATCGTCATCTCCGAATCAATCCTTATCAGATTCTTCTAGTCAGGCCAACTTCTTCAACATGTCCCTCTCGTATGCTAAAGGTACAGCTATACAACTGCACAATGCCTTTTCGTGAATGACCGTGACTCGGACACTTTAAAGGGTCTGTAAGCCAGTCACACCTTTCAGCACATGGGGAGTCTCCAGCAAAATTTAAGCAAAATTCAACTCTCGTCTTCGATGCTTTTGGGTATAATTCTACTCTATTGTACAAATGTTTTAAACCACTCTTGAGGTAGCAAATGAGCAATGTCCTCCACCGAAAAATAAAACAGTGCAATACAAATCGTTATGCCGTATAATCATGCTGCAGATGATGCTTTGCCACCACACCACCAACATGTCTGCGAGCCATCTTCTAGAGAGACACGAGACTGTAAGAGAAAAGAGAAAGGAAAGATAAGACGCAATCGCTTGGCGCGCTGAGGAAAGAAATCAAAGCAACGTGTCTACTCGATGACACTCTAATTGCCACGGAACAAGAATTGCATGTCTTCGGGCGTAAGCTTTTCCATGGCCACCCTGTCATTGTTGATGGTGCCGTTGATCATGTTGGCTTTCTTCTCCTGCAACATGACGATACGCGATTCGACTGAGTCTTCGATACACAGTCGAGTAATGACACAAGGACGTCTCTGTCCGATGCGGTGGCAGCGGTCTGCGCTTTGCCACTCGGCTGCTGGGTTCCACCAAGGGTCCACGATGAAGACACGCGAAGCTTCCGTCAGATTGAGAGCAACACCTCCAGCTTTGAGAGACACGAGGAACACCTCGACATCAGGGTCCGTCATGAAATGCTCGATCGACTTCTGGCGCTGCTGAGGAGTCATGCTGCCATCAAGCATAACAGTGTTGAAGCCTGCGCGACGAAGACGCCATTCAATGAGCTGCAACATCGACGTGAACTGAGAGAAGACGATCGACTTGAGAGTCTGCTTCTTGCTGCGGAGCTTGTAAAGGTCGTAGACGAGCATCTCAATCTTGGTCGACGAAGTCCAGTTCTCCATCTTGATGCGGTTGATGATCGAGTTCTTCTTTACAGCCTCCTCGTTCTGCTCAAGCTCAGGCATATCGAAGTCAATCGAGAGCGGGATGTGACAACGAGGACATTCGACATCGCCAGCATCATCCTCTACTGATTGAGCGTAGTTCTTGACACAAGTTCTGCAGAAGTCGTGCTTGCACTTGGAACGAATAGGTTCTTCGGCAGGCTCGTCGCAGATGTTGCAGACCAAGACATTCATGCCTTCGGCAGCCTTTCTCTTGAGGATCAAATCTGGGTGGTTGGACACTTGGCGCATCTGCATGATGAGACCGAAGATGTTGGCGTAATTGTTCAGCATGACACCACGCGAGACATACGTGTCGAACTGGCGGGCAGTGTTGGACATGATACTCTGCGAGAAGTCGCGCTCGATGTCTCCGAAGAACTCATTGTGGACGATGACCTCTTTCGGTGGAAGCTCCATGGAACTGACATAGTCGCGCTTCATGCGACGGAGCATGATGCGAGATGTGATGAGGAACAACTTGTCCATGGCTTCCGAGCGCATCTGCGAGTCCTCAGACTGGGTAATCGGGTTGAGCAGCTCTTGATTGAAGACCGAGACGTGCTCCATGCCGGTGTGCTTGCACTCGGTACACATGTGCTGAGAATCCAGAGACCAGTGCAGAAGGGAGCAGGGACACTTCTTGCAGAAATAGTCTGCGAAAGGTCTGACCTCCAGGAAGCGAAGCAAAGAGAAGAACTCGCCGATACGATTCTGGACAGGTGTTCCCGACAAGCACCACTTGTACTTACCTTTAAGTGCAAAGCAGGCTTTGGCGACTTGAGTGGTTCTGGTCTTGATGCTGTGTGCTTCGTCCAGGATCAGGCGATGATAGGTCAGAGCATGAATGGGCGACGCCTCCTTGACAAGATCTCCATTGCGGGTCCAGCCCTTGACCTCCTTGCGATGCAACGACTCAAGACTGTTGTACGAGATCATGATAACATCGTACTTCTTGAGCTCACTGACCTTCATATTCTTGGACTTCGCATTGGTGCCGTGGTAGACGAGGACCTTGAGTTTTCCATCGGTGTACTCGCCAATCTCCTGAGACCATTGCATCAGAGCAACTGGAGGGACCAAGACCAGAGTCGGCTGTTTCTGAGGGTAGTCGGACATGACGAGAGACACAGCCTGGATCGTCTTGCCCATTCCCATCTCGTCTCCGAGCAGACCTCCCTTGTAGTTCGACTGCTCTTGCTTGATCATCCAGTCGACACCTTCGAGCTGGTACGACTTGAGTTTGCGGTTGATCGAGGGTGGCTGAGTGCCAGCGACGCCCTTGATAATCGGGATGGCCTCGAGGTCCTGCCACATTGTTTTGATCTGAGGATGTGCCTTCTCTAGCTTCAGTCTCTCGCGGTCCTTCCTGGACAGGCCCCTCTTCTTGGTTTCAGTGCCAAGATCACGGCCTTGGAGGTTAGCCTGGCCTCTTCTGCGGCGGATATTCGTCAATGCCAATGGTTGGTCGTCGTCGCTGTCATCCGAAGTCTCAGCGGCGCCTGAGTGAGCGTCTTCAGAACGAAACTCGTCCTCGGTCGTCATCGAGAAAGTTGATAATTCGCTGTCACTATCAGGAATGACAACCGAATTTCTGTGCTTGGACACAGCCGGTTTCTTGCCAGCACGAGCTTCGGAAAGGCGCGACCTGTACTTGGAAACCTCGTCTGAGAAGGGTGTGTGTAAAATGTTCTTGCGTGGTGCCTTTCCTTTGGGTTTCTTAAAGGTGGACTCTTCCTCAGAATCACCTTCAGACTTGAAAGAAATGGCTGATGAGAGATCACTCAATTCGTCACCATCCGAGTCGTCGATGACAGTAACCTCATATGATCTCCTCGACCTCGACATGGGTGCAGAGTCCAGAGGCTCTGTCTTGATGTTCGAAGACTCTGGCTTGACCTTTTTGAGTGGCTGTCCGACCTCTGCCCATTCCTCCTCTTGCAGCTGTCTGGCCAAAGCAGCATCATCATCCGTGTCTCTCTTTCTCTTGTTCCCTAGGCGTCCGCGTACCGTGGGCTCCGGAGTGGCACTAGCACTGGTGGCAGGGGTATCGATTGGTCGAGCGTCAGGGCTGTCGGCGGATGACAGTGAGGATGGGCTGTTGGAGCGGAGAGCCGCCTTTGCACGAGACGACATGACTGGAATGACGACTTGAACTTGAGGTTTTGATCTGGTCCTGGTGGTGGCAATTGGTTGTACCTGGTCTTGATCACTGGAGTCCTGGTCCGAGTCTGGAATTGTTGTAGACCTTTTCGAAAGGGATGTGCCTCTTGTAGAAGACATGGAGGGGTGCTGTCCGATGCGAGGGCTGGCACGTATTAGTCAGATGTACTTTCACACGAGAGTGACATTTGCGAGTTTGCATACATTGCGGGCCACGGAGAGAGGAGCGGGTGTGACGGGCCATTGTGGAAGTTTGTAGTGATGGAAAGAAAAGGAGAGTGGAACAACAGAACTGGATAGAGGCAAAGCTCAGGACAAGGCAAAGGCACGCTTGGAATGAAGGGACAACAAGATGGAAGAAAGAAAGGACCTGCTTTCTCACTCACTTGACAGAAACCTTCCGTTGCCACCAGGGATATGCTGGAGAGGGCCTCGACGGAGTTAAGCAGTCCAAGGATTTCAATGCGAGTCAGAGCCGAGATCCGAGAGAGACAATGCAGATCTCCGCCTGTTCCTGTGGATCTGGACTCTGCGATTCCTTGTTGACGAGTGTCACACTGTGCAACAAAGAAAAGTCGATTGGAGAAGGGCTGATGGGGATTGGGGTTGGAGATGGAAGGTGTGGAACTTCCGCGTGGTCTACAGAAGGAGTCTCTATTTACCTGCTCTTTCCAGCAACACTCGGGAAGCCGCCAGCCCGACCCGAAGGCAGCGAGCGCGAAAACACGACGCGTTGGCTTAATCGGGTGTTGATCATGGGCCAATTGGCATTCCATCTTGTAGCCTGTGTTCGCAGAACGACAGCAATGAAACATAGAAAGCTCTCAATTATCTTCCATCAAGGATCTCAATTGATATGTTTCGACCCCATACATCTCCACATGGCACTCGACTGTTTTGAGGCTCTCTGAGAGTCCAAGCGTCGTTCGGACCAACGTCATTGACTTTTGTGCCATCTGTTCACACGTCAATCATGTTTCGCTCTTTGTTTCCTCTACATGAACCTTACAGGCATTGCTGTGTCTAACCAGCTTCCCATCATGGCCGGCCAAAAGTACGCCTACTGTACTCTGATCACACGGTCGTCGTATCTCGCTGGTGTGCTGATTCTAGCTCATACTTTGGCTAAATACAAGTGCGCATATCCTCTCATCGTTCTCTACACGGACACACTACCAGCTTCTTCTGTACGCGCCCTGGAGCTAGAAGCTCCGCACAGTAATCTTGTTCTCCACCGTGTCGACGCCCTGCTGCCTCGCGAGAACGTCCACGTACACCTTATCGCTGAGCGCTTTGCCGATACTTGGACAAAGTTGCGTGTCTTCGAGCTGTATAAGCTTGACAACTATGACAAGATATGCTACCTCGATGCCGACATGATCCTGCGCAGAAACATGGACCACGTCTTTGACAAGCATCTGCCTGCTGACGACTGGATCGCTGCCAACCACGCTTGCGTCTGCAACCTCGATAAAGACCCTTGGGCTCCTGAGGACTGGACAAAAGAGAATTGTGCTTACACTGCTGTATCACACCCGAGGGCCCTCCAACACCCTACTCCAATTACGCCAGACTCGCGAGGCACATACCACCTGCTCAACAGCGGCATGTTCCTGTTCGTCGCCTCAGAGCAACTTTGGGACCGCATGATTGACTTCTTCAACACCACTCCTCTGCTAGGCGAGTTCAAGTTCCCCGATCAAGACTTCCTGGCCGAGTTCTTCAAGAACAAATGGGTGAGCTTGGGCTGGCAGTTCAATGCTCTAAAGACCATGCGCTACTGGCACGAGAACATTTGGAGGGATGAAGAGGTCGTCTGCCTACACTACATTGTCGACAAGCCTTGGGCTAAGCGTGTGACCGAAGACGGTGTGGCTGGATACCTTGGACGCGATGGCGAGACCCACACCTGGTGGTGGCAAGAATACGAGGACTGGCACCAACAACGCAAGTCTCAGAACGAGACGGAAGAACTGGAAATCGCAGTGAATCATGTTGCTAGACCTATTGGACAGGAAGACCAAGAGTCGGACGAAATGCGTGCCATTGGCAGCGGCGTCCAATCTNTTGCCAAAAACAAGAAGCCTGGTCAAAGCGAAGAGGAGGAGAAAACACAAAACGCCAACGAAGGAGACAAGGACCTCCCTCAGCCACAGATTCCTGCTCCCCATGAACTCAAAGGCAAGGCTTTGGGTGAAAGAGGACATGGCCCCAGAGTCCGTGGATGAACTCTTGCATCTGTCCTGCCGTGCAAATGATATGGACCTACTCTTCTTGTCGAACCTTTGTACGAAACAGCTGTACATAACCATACCCTCCTGTTGCTGGGAGCTCATACAGTGAATCAGACACACCTAAACACAACGACTACTTATTGCCTCTGAGCACACCGCTCATCATCAAACAAGCACTGGTTGCGTGGCCCAATGGCAAGGCGCTTGACTACGAATCAAGAGATTCCAGGTTCGACCCCTGGCGTGATCATCCTTTTGTCGGTGCAACAACCTTTTTGTTCTGTCTTTTCGGTTGTCAAGAAATTTCTTTCTTCTCTGCAACAGTCGTCGTTGAGGGAAGGTTTGCCGAAGCCGGTCCGGGACACGTAGTTTGACATCTGACGGAACGGGCCGAGGTCTGCGAACTTGGTCGACGGGAGCACCCTGTTTGATATATCTTCTTTTCAACATCCATGCATGTCTTGATATGTAATTCCATCTCCTTGCTTCGATACAAAGGTGCAGTCGATGCTTTGAGTCTCGTGATGTTTTCCCTTTGGAGAGGTAACCTATGACACGTCCAGAGCAGCGTGTTCATGAGCAAGTTCAATACTCACACCACCATCGTATGTGTGTATTGACTATGTCGATTAGGGACCATCGGCTTTGACTTTCTCACAATGATATTGGTACTTTAGCGAGAGGTTGTTCATATATGAGTCTGTTTCGTTTTCCCTTGTTGATCTCCTCCTCTTCACATATACACTGCAGGAATAGTAATTGGCACCTAAGTTGTCCGAGCATTGGGTCAAGGTCTTTCTGTATTATGCACGCTGTGAGCAATGTTTTCAAAGCCTATAGAGTGGTTTCTTTGTACAATTCTACCTCTACAGCCCAGCAAACAGATCGTCGATGGCGTTCTTCTTTTTCTTCTTCTTGACAGCCTTTGCAGCACTGGCGGGGTTTCATCTTCCTCTTGCTTCGGTCTCTTCTTTTTGAGCTTCGAGCTCGCCGACGACACCGAAATATCTGGCTTCGAAGAGTTTGATGTGGCTTTTGACGAGGTTTTAGGTAGTGGAGCTGTTGAGTTGTCGTCCCAGTTGACAGCAGGCAGGACCTTGGCGGCCTTTGATTTGCTGTCGGTTTCTGTGGGTTTGAGTTTCTTGCTAGCCTTTGTCTTTGTTGGTAGAGGCATGCTGGACTCTCGAGAAGATGTGATGGGTGTGCTGCCAGTAGCCATGGCTTTCAGTGCCTTGCGACTCTGTTCCAGCATATCGCGTTCAGGAGCCAGGCAACCACTCTCATTCTTCCTCAGCTCTTTCTCCATGGCTTTGGCCTTTGTAGCCGTCATGTCTTCCTCGTCTTCGCTGTCATCTCTTGTCAAGACTTCACCGAGATCTTCTCTCTTCTCTCCTTCTCGCGGCACAAGGACACCCAGACCTTCGTCTTCGGCCCATCCCTCTGCAGCAAACACTTCGATGGCTTTTATTGTTTCTTCCTCCCCTAGCTCCTCGTAGACAGAGATTAGACCAAATACCCTGCATACGTGACCTAGGATTGCCATCAACACCACGCCCAACACTGCAAAACGCCCATCGGCGATAAGTTGCCCAAAAGCATGTTGTGCTTTCGGTACCAGCACATCTCGCCAGAAAGACACGGTTTGCTGTATCCTTAGTCGCAACGCCTCATCTTCTGCCTTCTTCTTGTGTCGCGCAAGGTTGGTGGTGGGTACATGAGCGAGTGTTTTCAAGTGTTCGAGCACAGTGCCTACATGTCGGCGAAAGATGTTGAAGTGGCGATACCAAGTACTCCGGCGATGTTGGTTGTGATTTCGATGATGCAGAAGGTGCATTAACGTATGCAAATGTTGGAGATCAGCGGTTTGCGAGGCAGAGGGGAGTTTGAGAGGCGCGAGGTTGGGTATCGTTGTTATCGGGTTGGTCTCCATGATTTGTGCTTGTGAGGTCTGTTTGTTCCTGCGATTTCTCCAGCTCCAGAGGCCTGTTCCTGCCTCTCCAAGGAAACAGCCAAGAATCCGGTAGTTGTTAGACGGCTCAGTAGTGGAGTCAAACACCAGCCTCGTTGGCGTTATTCGACGAGATCTCGCTCAAAGGAGGGTCTCTTGACGAAGACTATGCAATGTCGGAGGGTTTGCAGATTTTGATGTTGATCCTCGTGGTATGAGTAAATTATTTGAGCAGCGTCTTTCACCGCGACTCGTGATGGAAAGTAGATTCTTGCTCGATTATAACTCCTCCTGAGATGTGTTTCTGATGGTTTCGATGGGTTTGGTCTTGAGCCTTTTAAGATCGACTGTCCTGACTGTACTGGAAGTCCAGAGTTTTTTCTTTTGGCCACGTTCGTGTTTGCCTGTCGCAAGGTCTTGCCCTTCAACACTGCGTGGATTTGAATAAGTAGAGAGCTGTATAATTTCCCTGGATATGAGAATTTCGAATCGAACAAAACTGGTCGCACGTTGATGGTACTAGGCGAAGAAGGTAGACAGCAAGGCCAAGAATAACCTCCGTCTCGGAGTTATCGGAGATAGGACGTGGGCACCCAGTACACAATCAAGATTCATCAAATAATCAATCACAAGCACGTATGGCCAGAAAACTTTTTTTTTATCAAGGCAACCTCGTGCATTGTTCTGTATGTCTGGAAAGCAAGGCTAAGCTAGAAGTATCTGAGAGAATGTGGAGTTCTCTATGTCTCTCTTTGTAGCATCCATCTCGAATCATTTTGTCAGTCAATCCTCCTTTTCAATCCCCTAAAGCTCAACCAGGAGAGCAACGATCCAGCCAAATGCTGTCCAGAAACTAAGAGTCTCCAGAAGAAAACGTCTGATCATGCCCAAACCTAAGGCTTCCATACCGCCAATATTTTTTTCTGTCGGGTTTTCTATAAGTTTCCTGTCGAGTGCCAACCTTGTGACAACAAAGAAGCATTCCTGTGTGTCGTCGCAAGACTTTTGTGAAGGCCAATCCCAATCGAGAGATGTTTGCGTCCAACGCGCAGCACTCAATGGCTGATGAGAGTGCCGAAACCATGAAGGGTTCAACGACGGTAATGGCCACGGCAGTTGCCACGGAAGAAGGGGTCCTCCTCGTCGAAGTAGTCCTCCTCCTCCTCGTCCTGGTAATCACCGCGGAAACGAGGCTGCTGCTGGTATCTACCGTTACGAGAGGCAGGGTGCTGACGGCGGTCGTTACCACGGTAGCCGATCATGTGACGCTCGTTGTAGCGGAGCTGACGCTGCTCCTCGTACTGGCGTTCCTCCTCAATGGCGAAGGAGGTACCGCGGTCGTACTGTCCCTCACGGTAGTGAGAGCCAGGGCCGTGAGGGCCTCTGCCACGGCGAGGAGGGAACAGACCGATGGTGCCAGCGTTATCCCTGGAACGCTTGCGCTTCTGCTCGTTGTTGGGAGGAGGGAAGGAAGCTTCGGTACCAATGGCCTGGCGGTTGGGGATGCCAGCGATAGTAGGGAGGTCGGTGGAGTCAACGTTGTACCACAGCTTGGGGCGGTAACGGGGGATTTCTTCCATGACAACTGAGTTACGGAACTTGGCCAAGAGACAGTCGATGCCCTGGATGGTGGCGTAGGAGACCTCGCACTTCTTCATCGAACCGTACATGTTCCATTCCTTGCCCACACGACGCTGCACGAAGTTGGTGATGAATTCGGGACGGACGAAGTTGACGAAAGCGTAACCGACATTCAAATTGTTAGAGAAGTCGATACGGAGGTACGAGAAGTCGTAGTGGCCCTCCGAGGTGGCATCGAGGAAGATCTTGAGGTCCTCAAAGTCGACGCGGTTAGGGATGTTGCGCAACATGATGGTGGTGCGAACATCGATGCCGGCCTCAATCTTCTGAAGATTGACTGTCTGGGGCTGGTTAAAACGCCAGAAGTCCATGTCGGTCTGGTGGACTGGAGAATCTTCTGAGAGACACAAAGCGGGGTGGCGAGAGCCATGACCACGGTAGCCGCTACGGAAACGACGGGGGACGTAGTCGCTACGGGAGCGAGGAGTGTAATCACCTCTGGAGTTACGAGTGGTGTAGTTGTCGTAGCGGTCGCTCTGATCGTCCGACACGTCCAGTTCCTCGGTAGCGGCGACCAGGTCAGTCATACCCGAGGCGGCGGGATGAACGTAGCGCTTGTAACCGGCCGGTAAATACTCCTTGATGGACACAGTCAGAGTGTTCTGAGATTGTTAGTGAGTAATCAACAAGGTAGACAGGCGAGAACGNCAGATGTATGGAAAATGAGAAAGGAAAACACTTACAGAGCAGAAGGCAGCATCGCGCTGCATCGAGGTGGTAACAATATCCTCGGCTGACTTGACAGAGAAGTATTCGGCGCGAAAGCGTGGGGCCTGGAAGCCCTTGGAGTCGACGTACGCAAAGGAGCGAACATCGCCCAACTCGCGAGCGAGGGCACGAACCTCGTCGAAGATGGAGTGCAGGTTGAAGTCGATCATGCTCTTGGGAGTAGCTGTGAACTCGACCTGGCCATCGTAGGCCGATATGGCCTGAGCACGAGGGTGCGAGGGATCGTGACCAAAGTATTCATGATGATCGACAAAGCAGAAGCTGGCAGTGGTAAGACCACTTTCGAACATGACCTTTGAGGAAGCTGCGGCGCGGAGGTCGTCGAAGCGACAGTACAGACTGACGTAGTCTTCAGTGTCGCCAAGAGCAGCGACGCAGTTGTCGATGAGACCGACCAAGCCAGTCTTTGACAGAGTTAGTAAAGAATGAGGAAATGGTTGATGAGAAAAACTTACTGCGTGGAGGACCTCATGGAGGGTGCTACCCTCAAGCCACTCGCCAGGGATCATGCCGAAGCGAACGAAGCGAGTCTCAGCAAGATTAGGATCAGCATCGGTGCTGAAGGCAGGACCATCCTTGAGCGAAGTCTGACGGGATGGAGAGGAGAAGCCCGAGCCGATGGGCTTGACAGGAGAGCTCGAAGAAGTCTTCGTCGAGGGTCCATCAGGAGTTGAACCGATGTTGAGAAGCTTCATAGCACTGCCATTGGCAGGAGTGTAGATGCTATTGGATGATGAGCTGACGCTATCATGGTAGCCCGAGAAACCCTTGCGAGGGGTAAAAACGGGTCCAGCAGGATTCATGCCACCGTTCTGCTATAAGAAAAATCAAGTTAGTGATGGGTCAAGGTTGAGGAAGACATAGAGCCGGAAAGGTAAAACAGGAAGCGACCTGAGGAAGGGTGAAGATCGGATAGATGAAGCATGATGAAGAGTGGAAAGGTTGGAAGTTGTATAAGACAAGGCAGAATGTGGTTGAAGAAGGAGATGGATCAAGCCAAGGTAGAGTGGTGATGAAGACGAGCCAAGGTGAGAGAGAGTGTCTAAGGGTGGAAGATGAACGGGATAGGCCAAAGTCGAAGAGCAAAGATCAAGGGCAAAGACAAGATACCGACGCAAAGAGCTCGTGAAGTAGGATCGCAGCGATCAAAACTCCGAGTCTCATAGCAGACGAATGCGCATGACGCGCAGGATAATGTGCCGAGGGAAAGAGAAGGGTTGGGTGCGTGCTGGTTGGATGCGTGCGTAGAAGGCAAGAGTGCTGATGGGGATGGGGAAGATGGTGTTCTGCGAAGTGCGTGCAGAGGATGAGAGAAGAAAGAAGACATACCTTTGATGATAGGATGAACTGCGCACTGGGAGCAGCCTTCTGCAGGACCTTGCGATCCTCGTTTGGGTTGGCAGAGTCTTTGCGCGCCATCTCAGAGGACTGAGGTGGAGGCATAGTGGAGTGTTGATGATTGTTATGTAAGATGCAAGAAGGGATAGGGAGAGGAAGAGAGAGGAAGATAACCTTAGTCCAAGAAGGAAGACACTGTGCGAAGAGGTGCGTGGTGTCAAAATTGGTAAAGGTTGTGGAGGGAAGGAAGGAGAGTTGGTGGAGGGACGGAGCTTTTCTTGTAGCCAGCGTCTTTGCGTCAATGATGTCGCTGGTATAGGTAGTGAGCACTTGAGCAGAGTGATCGAATGCTGAAGCTACTGGTAAAGAGACTTGAGAGAGATTTGAGGCAGACTCCACAAGTCCGACAAGGCATGGGTGAGAGATTGGGACAGAGGAAGGTGCTCAAAACGGTCACTCTCGGGGCAGGCTCGACCGCTGGTTCCTTCCTTTACGAAGCCAGAGTTCGACGAAACCAGGAGGTCGTGGATATTGACTCGATCAGATCGGCCAGACGTTCGACCTCGTAGAAGCTCGAACAATTCTATGGAAGGAGGGAGGAGGGAAGCCGTATGACACAGTAGAAGACGGCTTTGAGTATGGAGTCCATCGAGGCAGCGACGAGGGTACATCTACCTTGATGGTGAGCTCGCACGTCATGTTCTAAGTTCAACAACCGAGCGATCGAAGCGACTGAAGAGTATCTTTCGTGAATGTGTGTAGCCCAACATGATCCTTGAAAGACGCAAGTCTATATTATTGCACCGAACAAGGAAGGAGGCTTCGCTCTTTCTCATCGAGCTTGAAGCCTTCCGATGATGGGTCGTTTGCTTCGAATGCTTGCTTGGCAGCTGGATTTCCGGCCATGTGGATGAGGCTCTGCGGCAACTAAGCCATTGCAGTCGTAGCGTGGCGCATTGACCACAACCTACTTCTTGACTCCAAAGCATGGAGTACTTCTGCTTCCTCGAGTCCAACAACCATTGAGGTCAAGGATTTAGTAGATTAACCACGTTCGGTTGCTCTTCATTCCGTCGTGAAAAACAGGTCCATCACTGTTATTATTTCACTGGTCCTGGAACGATTTGTTCTGCCCATTTCTCAAGCCGATAGTCTTGTGCAGAGGAGTCATTTGTGAGCCTGTCAGTTCGAGAGCAACTCGATTGCGATAAAAGATGCCCGCGATCGTTGAGCCTCATGATGAGTTTATGGGCGCTGTCCAACAGGTATCGAACTTGGCTTTCCAAAACCGGACAGCGAGCTAATGGAGTATAGNNATAATCCTGTCATCTTCCGAGACAGACTACATCGACCAGTTAATCCCGGTGATGCGTGATGTCAGAAATTCCGAACGTGCAGGTCATCTCATCCAGGCGCTGACGCAAGTCTCGAACGACCGACAAGCCGAGATCGAGCGCATATGCAATACCAATCATCAGGAATTTATCAGCTCCGTCAACCAGCTTCAACGCGTCCGGGAAGGTACCGTCACCTTGACCGCTGAGATTATGAGTCTCAGTCAGTCTATCGAGGCTAGTACGGAGAAACTCGCGGAGCAAAAGAGAGCATTGGTTGATTCCAGGGGTGTCAGGCAGAACATCGACGATGCTACTCAAGCTTTGAAAGATTGTCTCGAGGTTTTGCGGCTGGCAAACCAGGTACATGACCTTCTTCAGGAGAAGAACCGCTACGCAGCACTCCGAGCTTTGGACGAGCTGCAGAATGTTCATCTCAGAGAAGTCACCCGCTACATGATTGCAGGCATGATTGAGCGCTCGGTACCGGCAACCCAGCGTCTGATATCTGAAGCTGTCATGGCAGATTTGAACACATGGCTTTTCCGTATTCGAGAGACATCGCAGTTCTTGGGCGAGGTCGCATTCTACCACACAGAGATGCGGCGGACCAGGCACAAGATGAGGTTTGAGGAGAATCCAGATCTCGGCAACTTCAAGCTCAACTCAGCAGTAGAGGCTGTTGCTGATGAGAGCGAGGAGTTCGATGTCCTGAACAACGAAGAGGTGCAGGTCGACTTCTCTCCTTTGTTCGAGGCCATTCATATACATGACGCTCTGGGCCAGAGCGAGAAATTTCGTCAGGACTATTCAGCGACCAGACGGAGGCAGAAGGAGCTGCTCTTGCCCGCGACTTTGGATCTCTTGGATGAAGACGCAGGCGAGTTGAGCACTTTGCTGGAGAGTATTGCTGGATTTGCCATTGTCGAAAAAGCCACCATGATGAAAACAGAGAACTTGAGAACCTCAAGCGATGTGAGTCCAGTCTCCTGAATTGTCCAGGGGCGTTACTGACAGCATACAGNNGTTGAAGAGCTATGGGACTCGATGTGCCAGAGTGCTATCACGCTTGTTAGCAAGTCCTTGCCAACCATCGACAACGACGAAAAACTGTTGAAAATTAAGGGTGTCATCGCGCTTTTCGTCCAAACCATGGGAGTGAGTTTCGTCAAAATTCACCATTCGACTGGGGCGGGCCAAGATGCTGACAAGCAACGACAGAGCTGGGGCTATTCTGTCGATAGTCTCGACAAGCTGCTCCTCAAGATTTTCGACAAGTACGCACAGCTGCTCAAGCAGAGATTCAGCGAAGATTTCCAGGAGGTGAGTGATGCAGGCTTCTCGAGCCCGGTAGAGCGGCTCGTGTTGCGTACGCAGGCTTGCTTACTATCACACGCAGNNATCGTTTCGACAGACGACTACATGCCCATGCCTATCAACAACCCTGACGAGTACGACAAGGTCATCAACGTCAGTTGGTACACGCCAGAAAAGGATCGCGAGCAGCAAAAGTATGTGTTTTACGTACAAGACAGGCAAAAGTATGATGCTGATTCGAGTAGCTTCCCCTGTGTTCTTCCTTTCTCACAAATGTACCCGCTTTGTTGCATCGACATCCGGAACTTTCTAAACCAGATCTATCTGTTCTCGGACGATCACTTTCAGAATACCGCAGTCATCGACGACACACTCAAAAGCGTGAGCCACCTTACGCCCCCGCGCTTGAAATGCACATGACTTACTGACGTGCCTCAAAACAGTNCTTTGGATGAACTCCTCTGTCATAAAGTGTGCAGGTCACTGGTCGAGAGGCTCTCTTCACAGTATCCCGGACAAATTGTGCAGATTCTGACCAACCTCGATCATTTCGAGACAGCATGCCGAGAGCTGCAAGACTTGCTCGCAGAAGCCCGTTCATCAAGCAGCGCAGCTGGCCCAATCGTGCTCGCCGCAACAGAAGAATTTACGACAGCCAAAAAGGCAGCCGAGAAGCGCATCTTTGAGCTCGTCAACAGCAAGATTGACGACTTGATCGAGACGGCAGAGTATGATTGGAGTTCTACTTATGAGCCACCAGCTGCTTCGCCTTATATGCAGGAGCTGACACGCTATTTGTCCGACGTCATGTCTAGTGTGTTACTTGGACTGCCTGTGCAGATCAAAGAGCTCATTTACTTTGACGCCCTCGGACATATAAGTAATGCCATCCTTGCATTACCGCTAGATCCCTCTATTCGTCGTCTCTCACCTCAGAGCGTCACGGCTTTCCAGCTCGACACTCAGCACTTGATCGAGTTTGTCCGCAGCCTTGACAACCCGGTGCTTATGGAGGGTCTTGATGAGCTGCACCAGACAGTCGATCTCATGGCCGTGGCCAAAGAAGGCGAAGGACGCGCAGAGGAAGAATTCTTCGACGTCGAGAAGGGACGCAAGAGATTCGGCAAGGTGGACAAGATGAACGGAGCCGAGTTGCTAGAGAAGGTCAGCCAGGGAGTTGAGGCGCAAAAGGCAGCTGCAGTTGCTCAGGCTGCCAGTCCGGTGGAAAAGAAGTCGACCATGAACTTCCCAGCCTTTGCGAGCAGGTTCAAGAAGGATACCTCATAGAGGGTAAGTTGAAGAGCACGGCCAAGGAAAAGGCAAGATACCCATGAATAAAAGTGTTTGGAGTAAAGTTTGTTGTTTCATCAAAAGTGCCATGATTTAGTCTGTACAAAGCAGTGGGAGGAGTAGCCTTTTTACTGGCAGTGCAAAGGTCGAGGCCACTGGCTGTCCTGCATCTCGTCGGGCCCTTCCGTGAACCCTCAACACGACTTCATGCCTCGTTTCGTCTATCGTACAATTCCCGACCAGCTTATCCTGCTTAGATGGCGAGAGGAGAGAAGAGCCTGGTAGCTTGTCAGCGTGCTGTGCTGCGAGATATTGCAATGACATATTCGTACTTGATCAGCGAAGGGCGAGGCACGCTGCGAGTGTAGCCAAGGTAGATGATCAGAGGAAGGTAGCCGCTATAAGAGGACCTGTCAGCAGGAGTCTCTTCGTGATGATTGAGCGAGTCGTCTTCGTTTGAATGTTCTCGTAGTTGATGGGAAGAAGTGGTGTGTTGGCGCAAGCTTCGACGTCTAAGCAGCCTATTCCCTTGCTCTTTCTCATCTTATAACTTCGACCAGCAGACCAGGACAACGATACGAGATTCCAGAGGGGTGTTTGAGATGCGAAGGACAGGGCGAACGTACTAGTGGACAGCGACACGAGAAATGTCAATGACGCGCGAGATGCGCTCCTGCTTCAGTGTCAGCCAGAAAGTCGCAAGATCGATATACACAGAGTCAGCGTACCTTGGTCTCTTCGGAAAGCTGCATGTTGACTGGATGGACACGGCGGTGGGTATAAGATGGCTGGACAAGAAGAAAGAAGTCGACGACAGGCTGTAAATCGTCACTTGCGACGGGCGTTGGATCGGTCTTTGCGGCGAAAAGAGCAGCGGAGCCTTCCGTCATTGCTGAACTTCTCCAGCGCATACGATAGACACGGCACCTCTGTCAATCACACTCAACCACACGAGCAAACATGGCGTCGGGAGGAAAGCACTGGTATGTCGTGTCCTATCATTCCTGCGACTCATCCTCAGTCCTAGCCGATACACACCCAAGGGCGCATACTGCTACCCACCCAGAGCTCAAGCTAACACCATGTCTAGGGAACAAGACAAGGAAGCGACCGTCTACGTCGGCAACCTCGATGAGCGCGTGACCGACCAACTCGTCTGGGAGTTGATGCTGCAAGCCGGCCGTATTGTCAATGTCCATCTGCCCAAGGATCGCGTCACCCAAACACACCAGGGCTTCGGTTTCGTCGAGTTCGTCAGCGAGGAAGATGCCGACTATGCCGCCAAAATCATGAACCAGATCCGTCTATGGGGAAAGCCCATCCGTGTCAACAAGGCCTCGGCAGACAAGCAGAAGACGCTGGATGTGGGTGCCGAGCTGTTTGTTGGAAACCTGGATCCCATGGTCGACGAGCGCGTTCTGTTCGAGACCTTCAGCCGCTTCGGCAGCTTGACCTCTGCGCCCAAGGTATGCGCCGTTCAGTTGACCCGCTCTTTGGACTTGCTAACATATAACAGGNTTGCCCGCGACGACGCAAATCTCAGCAAGGGCTACGGCTTCGTGTCATTCACCGCCTTCGAAGCCTCGGACGATGCCATCGCAAACATGCACGGTCAATACCTGATGAACAAGGAGATCACCGTCCAATACGCCTTCAAGAAGGATGGCAAGGGAGAACGTCACGGAGACGCCGCAGAGCGTGCCCTGGCTGCCGCTGGTCGCGAACACAACATTGAACCTCAAGTCCAGCCTCTACCTCCGCAATTGCTGGCCCCTCAGATCGTCACTTCCATCGCGCCGCCTACTCCCATGTCTGCTGCTCCCTATGGTGTTTCGCCCGTCACTGGCGGATACGGCGCTCCCCCGGCTGCAAGAAACCAGCTTCCACCGCCTCCTGCAGCTGCTGGTGTACCTGCACGACCACCTCCGAGTGTCGGCGGATACAACGGTCCCCAAGGCGGCTACAATGGTCCTCAAGGATTTGCTCCTCCACCAGGTTTCGCACCAAATGGAGCTCCTCCTGGCTTTGCGCCGCCGCCAGGTTTCGGAATGCCCGGCATGCCTCCTGGTTTCCCAGCCCCTCCACCAGGAATGCCTCCGAATGCTTACCAAAGACGATGATCTAGTGGGTTTCTGGAATAGAGGGCTTCATCTATGATTCAAGGAAAAAGCTGTTATTTTTAGCGAGGCGTTCATGGCATGCTCGGGATTTGGTTGCATGGTGAGAGGAGATGGAAGTGTATATTGATGGATATTAAGAAGTGGGAGGACCTCCAGAGACTTGGCCTCGATCGAAGATAACTAGAAAATGAAATTGGTCTGTAGACCATGGTATATCGAGTAGCAAACAGACAAAAGAAATGCAAAGAAGCCAGACCACGTTCCATTGCTGGAACTCAAGAAGATGAGAGAAAAGAAACCGTGTGTGACCAGGACTTTACAGACGGTCAAACATGACAGCCTTTGGGTCTCTCGGCCTACCATCCTTGCCAATATTCTCACGCCCAAATCTCTCTTCCATGACTATCCTTCTAGCCTCATCGAAGCCGCATCCTCTGCTCTTCATAATGGCCTTGACTCTCTCCTTCCCTTGCTCATCCAAGCCCTGTCTGCTGTCTCCTCCTTCAACATTCTCCCTCAAGTCAAAGTTGGCACTGCTGAAGCCGGCTTCAATGTCGTCTTCGAAACTGTTTTGGCCCAGACTGATGTAGGCATTTTGAGCAAAGGGGTTGAGTCGCTGAAGGGATTGAGAGAGTCGCCAGAGAGGTTCAGGGATGTGGCCTGGGGCTGTGAGGTAGGGGATCGGTGGAGCGTGAGCGATCCAGAGGTGTTTGGTTAGGTATAGCGCTNNACAAGGTTGTGTTAGTACGAGTCAAGCGGAGGGAGAGTTAGAAGCAGGCATACCGGTTGCGGTGACGAGGAAGAGGAAGGTTATTGAGTAGAAGAGATAGGCCATAGTGCCGGTAGTATGATTTTGAGAGCAGAGAGGTATAGAGGGGATGCGCGGTCCTTGTGTAGCAGACTCGGAATAGACGGATGTACTGATGGTGAGCAGCGGCCTTGGCCGGAGATAGTAGCGATTCGAGTGGATGTTGGAGTTCAGTTGTAGATGATCAGATCAGGGCCCAGGAAGGCCAAGGGTATACGCAGTCACATAGAGGGCTGACGGAAGAAATGAAGAAGCAGCAGACGACGACAGGGGAGATTGCTGCTGAAAGAGGATCGATCTCAAACGGGCTGCGGCGGAGGCTCAGCTTACGACTGCTGCCGACCTTCGTCTTGTATGCTTGGCGCCGAACCCCAGACTCTCTCGGCAAGGGCAACCGACACAGAATCTAGGGCTCCTAGAAAGCGACCAGTGCGGGAAGGTTAGCCGGGCTTCAGCCCACACAGACGCCCTTTGAATATTCACGATTTCTTCTCTCAAGATCCAGTTTCATCTCATATCACAGCAAAAATGGCCACCAACTTCGACAACAACTCCTACGACCTCATCTGGGAGACCATCCGTATGTGCTCCCCCGCTCCGAACAAGAATTGAAAGAGACGGACCCTCGTGGGCAAGGGATTTTGGGAATTTCGACAACTGTTGAATATCGCGCTTCTTCCGGAGAGGACGACAATTGAAAACATCAAGAGGACCTGTAACTGACGCGCGCATTCTTTTTCAAGGCNNCACAACAATGCCTTCCTCGTGAAGCGCAACCAGGCCGGTGGTGTTCAGTTCTCCAAGGACCCCCTTAACCTGACCAACCTCCACTCGCGCAAGGTAAGGACACCATTCGTCTTCGCAATCGCAACCAGACACCTAACCCCCAACGCGCGCAGTNACTCTTCGCTCGCCAACCCCCAGGCCCTCGGCATCAACGCCAAGGACGGCAAGATCGAGCTCACCACCAAGGTCGCCAAGAACTCGAGCAAGCCCNAGCAGCTCGTTCGCCAGAACCACCTTCAAGGCCACCACCCCTCGCGCAAGCTCATCAACAACGCCGTCTCCGGCTCCACCAAGAAGGGTTACCGCCAGGACTTGCACATGGAGGCCGTCCAGCGCGCTTCCGCCGTCAAGAAGTCGACCCGCCAGGTCAAGGCCACCGTCAAGCCCACCAAGCTCCGTGGCTCCAAGGCCCGCAAGGCTGCTGAGAAGCAGTAAGCATCTCGCTCTTCTTGATTGTAGACAAAAAAGGGGAATGAGGTGTTGTCGGCTGGTATGCTGTTTGCCGGAATGAAAAAAAAATGATTCAAAGGCCATATGCGATTTCATCCTCCTGTGATTGTGCTCTTGTAACATGTTTTGATCTTCTCGATGTTATTTCCTGGAAAATTCTCTGGGAGACTGCTTCAACACCATGATGGCCAGACATTGAATGGGGACGCAGTGCACTATTCAACGGATTCTAGTCTTGATATCGTCCAAATGCCCAATTAGCTACGACATCATTTACAGAGCACCGCCGACCAGCGTCACAATCCACATGGCAATCCTCACATGCAGACCAACCCTACGTTCCGTCTTTTCAAACGTCCCTTGGTCAACCTTGGTAGCATACTCCTGCAACCACTCTTCTTCCTCCTTCAATCTCTTCATCAAGCCTAAATCCCTCGTGACAATCAACGCATTCGCTTCCAGATCCAGACTGTAGCTTCTCTTCGTGTAGTTGCTGCTACCGATCAAACTGACACTGGGACCAGGTTCATCCTTGAGAGTCACCCAGATACCCTTTGCATGATACGTCCAACCGCCTGGTGTGTTGACCGTGCCTTTTCTCCACTCCTTGAGCGTGATTTGGTTCTCGAGCCCGGCTTTCTGGACTGAAGAGAGGAAGCGGCGACCGAGGAGTGTGTATGCTGCCGGCAGCATTCCTGATACACCAGGAGAACCGTAGAAGCCGTTTGCCCATGGCGAGGCAGCAATGACATTTGCAGATGCTGGATTGGATGCCAAGAGCAAGTCACGCAGCCAGGGCGTCATGTTGAAGTAACCAGCTGTAAANGTCCATTTGCTTCCTGCGAAAGCTGGGGTGGCCAAGGTCTTGAGAATGGTGGTGAGAGCTGGGAGTTCGGTTGATGTATCAGGCTTGAGGAGAGGTGTTAGTTGAAGGAGGGGATATATTTGTGTATCCGTTTGCGATGTCGGGGTAAGAGTCGAAGTGGCAGGCTTCAGTAAAGGAGCAAGCAGTTTAGTGGCTTGAGTGATGAACTCCTTGGGATCTGTCAAAGGTGCCGGATGTGCGTTTGTGGTCGGCCAGTCAAGGTTGAACCCTCCAGGTGCAGAACCATTCGGTACTACGCGATAGCTAATGCTACACACTGTGTCGTGCACCTTGGCAAAGTAGTCGGTGATACGCTTGCAAGAAATCAGGTGGTAGCGGTCCTGGCGGTTGGTAAAGTAATCAGAAGAAAGGTTTGCACCTGACATGATGATCTCGTCGTCGATACCGTAGAGCTTCATATGTTGTAATCCCCAGCCTTCGTTGATGCGCTTGGGAATCAGGGACTTGCGAATGCCGGTGAGGTTTGGTGTGTGGTACATGCATACTCCGACACGGTCTGGGCCGAACTCATCGATCAGGGCCGCCAGCAAAGTAGCACATGATGCTTTTGGTGTCTCTCTGGTTCCTCGGAGAGAATCCGTCAAAAAGGAAACTTTGAGGTTGGGGTTTCGTTTCAGAGATTCTTGGATGGTTTGAATNCTATCACGGCCGTTAGATTTGCGACACATTGACACAGATGATCGACGTACCAGTTCATGCTCGGACTTGCCGATGTACAGAGTGGAGAGGTATATTCTCCTTTCTGCAGTCCGGATCTTGGTCTGNTTCTTCTAGTCAGTCGGGTGGCTTCGAAGGCTGACTCGAGACCCAGTGTTTCAACCATTGATAACAAAGAACATATGTAGTTCGGTCTTACAGAAAGCAGGATAATGCTTTGGAGTTATGAAAAGAGAGAAATTGATGAATATGGAAGTGGTTGCTCAACTTGCCTTCAAGGCCTCGTAAAAGTCAGATGGAGATTTCAGAATCTCAATCTGAGACGACGAGATATCAAAGCGAGGGGACAACTTGTCTAGCTCGGTGTTCAACCCTCCCAATGCTGCTCCAGGAGATGGTGCATTGGTAGTAGGCGCGACGCTGGAGTTCGAATAGCGTCTTTTCATGGGCATTTGATGAGAAGACCTGATAGATCTCACTACCCTACGGGCCGCTTGCCTCGGAACACATCTTGCAAACATATTCCTACTCGTGACCAGTGCTCTGATGTTTGATAGGATAGATCAGACAAATAAATGCTTCGGTCAAACATTTGGTGCCAAGGCTGGCGATCGAGTCGGGAACAAACAAGTCAAACGGTGTGCTGACCATCGATTGCCGCATCCTCAATCGCGACCAAGCGACGAGAGCAGTGAGGATTGTAGATCACACACCACACATCATGTCGACTATTATGAGAACGCTGCGCAACTTGCGCTCAATTGGCCTCAAGGTGAGTAGCTGTGGCTATCTTTTGGATCGCTTGCGCTAACTGTTGTCCTAGGAATATGGCCACCAGATGCAGGTACGTCCGCCGCTCCGGAATCTACGAATGACCCTCTACGAACAATGACTTACTCGATTTTCCGCCGCTATAGTACATGGGTACGATGTGCAACGATCTCGACATCTCGCGACCGAAACTGAAGGAGTACAGNGTGATACCAAGGCTGGAACCCTCATCGGCCAGGACCGTTACGGCAACAAGTACTATGAGAATATGGAGGACCTGCNNCCTGTACGTCGATTCGAAACCCGGACATTGGAAGAGCTTGCATCTAATTCTGAGGTCGCAGTGAGAACAAGATGGTGCGACTACAAGGACCAGGAGTTCAACCCGTGCGTACAACTGTTCGATGATACTAGATGAAGTAGCAGGAGGACTGACTCAATATCAAACAGTGATCAGATCGAGCCCGGCTGGTATGAGATGCCGCCAAAGCGATGCATCGCGCAATCTACTCACAAGACCTTAGGCNACGCCTGGATGTCATACATGGTCGACAAGGCCCCATCCCAAGACCCCCTTCTCCAGAGACAGGTTCGCCCGTGGGAGCCTGCCGAGCACCGTCCCTGCTTGACCTGGAGCAGAAGTGCATACAGACCCTTCAGCACGTAAGTCATGAGGGAGTCCGAACTACAAAGAAGCCCGGAAGAACTAAACCAAAGTAGTGTCAAGAACAAGTACCAGCCATGGACCCCAGTCGCTGCTCCTAGAAACTAAGCGAATGCATGCGCGGCATTTTCTAGGGGGTCAATAGCGGGGAGGGCGTGAAGGATTGCAGTATGCGCCCTTCCGAGCATTGAAAGCTGATAAGAGAGTGGCTGCTGCTTTGACGCGTGGACCCTTTTGCAGGTGAAATGACTGGACTTCTCACCCAGCGAACCAATTAAATTCTCTTTGTCAATATCAAATGGCGTATAGCGGTCTGTTAACAAATTTTGCCGTATCTCAATTGCTCGTCCGATGTACCTCTTTCAAAATGTGGTTGAGCTATGCTCGTGTAGGACTCCGCAGGCTTGAGGTCCTGCCTGATTGGGAAGCCGGTGATAGGTCGTTGCGAGTTATCGTAGCTTGATGAGTCAGGAGGATGGATTATCCAGAGCTGTGGTACGTGTTGTATGGAGGCTGCTATGGTCAGAAGGGCACTCGTAAGTGCTTCTGATATGATAATAGGCAGTGTCCTCGAGTGTCGTGCTTCTCTCTTCCAACCGTGAATTTCTCCAGGTCTTCTTGCAAAACGAGCCAAATCGAGCGAGTCATTTGGGTCAAAGCAGGCGAGCTTAAACTGGAGCAAGCGTTGCCGAACTGACGCAGATACGATCAACGGGGCATATCCAGGCCGAGCAGCGCGATTGGCTTCTTGCTTCCTTCATCAACATTTTCATCGCAGCGTCGCTGTTACACAACACATCGAAGTTTTGGTGGTTGTTGTCGTTGTCGTCTAGAAAGAGCCCGAGACTGCACAAGCAGAGCAGCTGGCCCATATCAGAAGAATTGCTCGAGGGAGCGGCGAAACACTCAGCATCATCCACGCTGCCACGTCCTGGCGCAATCCCCGCCATGTTGAATTGGGGGCAATGCAAGGGGCCCATCTGGCGGAGTGACGATTTCACCGACTGCTTTCAGAATGAGTGAGTTTTTGAGAGACAGACATGTTTCGCCTTCCTGTCTCGTGCCAAAGACATGCCGCTAACCGTGTGTTAGCNNTACCTCATGGGAATCATCCCCCTCATCGCGAGCGCAATCTCCGTACTATATCTTACCTACCAACTAATTCAAACCGCCATCAACTCGAAATATCACTATGCCTACAAACTCGTTAATCCCAAGCATCCCCATCCGTGGGACCTTCGCATTCCCAGAGCTCAAGATGACGCAGACACGGACGACGACTCGGATGAGTTTGACAGAAACGAGCATCTCGCTATCCACACCGTCCGAACTCGTAACACTGAGATGTCTGTGGTTGACAAGCCACGAGGTCAGATCGTCCTGCCTGTCATCGAAGAGTTGGCTGTGTTGGCCGAGGTTGGCATCCACGCTGCTGCATGCGCCACTGGTATCTGGGGTTGGAGCAGGGCTACAATCATCTGCAGTACCGCCCTCTGGTCATACGTTGCAGTCCTGACCACTCTGCGTCTCTACTTCTCCAGCACAAACAACTACTCGTTCAACAAGCTATGGTACCACACCGCTCTTCTCTATGGCGCGCAGTGGATCTGCGCATTCCTTCTCTTCCGCTCGGCAATCATCCACCCAGTCTCCACGGGCGTCCAAGCTCTTACAAGCACTCACTTTGCACTTACGACTCTGCTGGCTTTGATCATGCTCACCTCACGCAAGGGTAACAAGCCCGTGGAACTCGAGTACGAAGGCGAGATTGAGCCCTCAAGAGAGCCTCTCGCTAGTGTGCTCTCTCTCGCTACCTTCTCCTGGATCGATCCAATCATCTGGAAGGGCTACAAGAAGACTTTTGAAATGTCGGATGTTTGGAATCTCAATTCCAAGGACAAGGCTGAAGCCGTTCTCTTGGACTACCGACAGGTCAAGAAAACCTCAGCTCTCGCCTGGCACTTGTTGAAGTACTTTAAGCGTGGTTTACTCGTCCAAGCTGCATGGGCTGCCCTTTCTGGTGTCAATCTCTTCGTGCCTACTCTTCTCCTTAAGGTTATCCTGGAATACGTCGAGAACCCAGCCGATACCCCGGTCAATGCTGTGTGGTTCTACGTTATCTTGTTGTTCGTTTCTGGTTGCGTCTCTGCTCTGTCTGGTGGCCAAGCTCTCTGGGTTGGTAGAAAGACATGCATCCGTCTTCGTGCCATAATTATTGGTGAGATCTATGCCAAGGCTCTACGTCGTAAGGCTGCAGCGGCCGGCGACAAAGTGCTTGGCGAGGAAGAGAAGANNAAAGACGATGAGGCTCCTGCACCCAAACAATCTGTGAAGCAAGCCTTCCTCAAAAAGGTCAAGTCGTTCTACAAGGGCAAGAAGACCTCAGAGGCTACCAAGGATGTTCCGAAGAAGGAAGAGAGTACCGATCAGGTCACCTCCGGTACGATCATCAATCTGATGGCCGTCGACTCCTTCAAGGTCAGTGAAATCTGCGCCTATCTGCACTTCCTCTGGGCCGAGACACCTGTCCAGTTTGTCCTGGCTATCTACCTTCTCTACAGCATTCTGGGTTACAGCAGTATCGCTGGTATTATCATGATGGCTCTTCTTCTACCTGTCAACCTCTTCATCGCCAAGCAGTTCACCAAGGCTCAGAAGAAGATTCTTGCAGCCACTGATGCTCGTATTCACACTACCAACGAAGTGCTCACCAACATTCGAATTATCAAGTACTTTGCCTGGGAGCAGCGTTTCCTAGGTCAGGTCGATGAGAAAAGAGCAGTTGAGCTGAAGAACCTTCGAAACAGATATATCATTTGGGCCGCCGCAGCTACCATCTGGGGAGGAGCTCCCATGGTCATCACTTTCCTCACCTTCCTGGTCTACACCATGGTCGAGAAGAAGGACCTCATCCCATCCGTCGCTTTCACCGCTCTCTCGCTCTTTAGTCTTTTGCGTATTCCCNTGGATCAGCTTGCCGACATGGTTGCCCACGTTCAGGAATCCAAGGTGTCTGTTGACCGTATCGAAGAATACCTCAATGAGCCAGAGACCGACAAGTACAATCAGCTCCAGGACAAGGAATTCGATGAGGATGGAAATCATGTCATTGGATTCGAGAATGCAACTTTCAGCTGGGGTGGCGGCACCGAAGCCGATGACTTCAAGATGATTGACCTCAACATGCGCTTCAGAATCGGCGAGCTGAACGTCATCGTTGGACCCACTGGTAGCGGTAAGACATCTCTTCTTATGGCACTGCTAGGAGAAATGTCCAAACTCGATGGTCATGTGTACCTGCCTGGAGGACACAGCAGAGAAGAACTAAAGGCTGATCCGGAGACTGGACTGGTTGAAAGTGTCGCGTACTGTGCTCAACAGGCCTGGCTTGTCAACGGAACCATCAAGGAAAACATCGTCTTTGCTAGCCCCTGGAACCCTAGACGTTACAAGGACGTCATTATTGCCTGTTCTCTCCAGCGCGATCTTGAGATCCTTGATGGTGGTGACCAGACTCTTGTTGGTGAAAAGGGTGTCACTCTCTCTGGCGGACAGAAGCAGCGTATCTCTCTTGCTCGTGCTCTGTACTGTAATGCCAGACACGTTCTCCTCGATGATGTTCTTTCTGCAGTCGATGCTCATACCTCTAAATGGATCTTTGAGAAGGCTCTTATGGGCCCTCTCATGCTCAACAGAACATGTATTCTGGTCACTCACAGCACCACACTCTGTCTTCCCCATGCTGCATTCGCCGCTGTACTTGACAACGGCAGAGTCAGCACTCAAGGTAGTGCCAGGGATGTCATCATGTCTGGAAAGCTTACCGAAGATCTTAGCACAGCTCTGGAAGAATCCGAAGGCGGCGCATCGCATCTCCCATCCCGTGTACCTTCTGACATCGGTGGTGACAAGGCTCTGGGCGAGAATGGCCATGCCGAGGAAGAGGCTGCCAACCCAGCCGAGTATGAGGACAACACTCTTCACAAAGTCGTTACTAAGGATATTCCCGGCATGAACAAGGACAATGTCGCCTCTCCTGTCGAAACCAAGGCTACTGGAAGTGTCAACTTCAAGGTTATCCTCATGTACTTCTCTTACATGGGTACTTGGTACTACTGGGTGATTACCGCCATGATGTTTGCCCTCCAGCAAGTTTCGCAAGTCTCGACCAACGTTTGGATTCGTCAATGGGCCAACGCTTATGCCGATAAGAGGGAAATGTCTGTCATGGGCGTTTACACCGAGCCTCGCCAACTGACTCATGTGTTCAGCGGTATTGGCAGTGGAGCCTCTTGCGTGAAGAGTGGATCTTGCCTTTGGGGTCTGCCTTCGTTTGGCACTTCCAATGTTTCCGACCAGTTCTCTATCCGTTCAGAGAACTCCAATGGTGTCGATGTTTCTTACTACCTTGCTGTCTACGGTATTCTTGGCCTTGTCTACATGCTGATCACTGTCACCCGTGAAGGTGTCCTTTTCTACGGATCTCTGGTTGCTTCTAAGAGAATTCACAGAAAGCTTATGGAGTCTGTCACACACGCCAAGTTCCGCTTCTTCGATTCTACTCCCCTCGGTCAGATCATGAACAGATTCTCCAAGGATGTTGAGGCTATCGATCAAGAGATCGCTCCTGTTGCAGTTGGAGTAGTCCACTGCATGGCCTCGATCATTACCACGGTCATTCTCATCTCGGTCATTACACCTCGTTTCCTGATTGCTGGTGTCTTTATCAGTGTCCTCTACTTCATGATTGGTGCTTTCTACATCAATGCCGCTCGCGACCTCAAGCGTCTCGAGTCTGTGCAACGCAGCCCGCTGTACCAGCAATTCGGTGAAACCTTGACTGGCATGACAACCATCAGAGCTTATGGCGACGAACGCCGCTTCATCCGTGAGAACATGCACAAGGTCAACACCCACTCAAGACCGTTCATCTATGGTTGGGGCACTAACCGTTGGCTCGCGTTCCGTGTTGATGTTACCGGTGCCTTGGTGTCGTTCTTCACTGGTGCTTTCGTCATTCTGAGTGTCGGCAAGCTCGATGCTGGTGCTGCTGGTCTGGCTATGACATACGCTGTTACTTTCACAGAGAACGTATTGTGGTTCGTCAGACTTTACTCGATGAACGAGCAAAATATGAACGCTGTCGAGCGTATCAAGGAATACTTCGAAGTCGAACAAGAAGCGCCTTACCAAATTGAAGACAAGAAGCCTTTGCCTGACTGGCCCAGTCAGGGTGCTGTCGAGTTCAAGGATTACAGCACTAGATACCGCAGTGACTTTGACATGGTGCTCAAGGACCTCAGCTTCAAGATTCTACCTGGCGAGAAGGTCGGTGTTGTGGGTAGAACAGGTGCGGGTAAGAGTTCGCTGGCTCTCGCTCTCTTCAGAGCTCTTGAAGCCGAGACTGGAAGCATCATCATTGATGATGTTGATGTTAGCTTGATCGGTCTCCAGGACTTGCGTGAGAACATTGTCATGGTTCCTCAAGATCCTACGCTCTTTACCGGCACCATTAGAAGCAACCTTGATCCCTTTGGCTTGTTCACTGACGAGGAGATCTTCACTGCACTCCGACGAACACAACTCGTTGGTGCTGCCTCGGCCGAGCCGTCGCGTGCCCCAACACCTACAAACGGGAACGCCAGTGTCCGTTCCGAAGGTGTACCCGCCGAGACCACCACGGACACTCCCGCCACGTTGGAGAATAAGAACATCTTCACCAACCTTTACTCGGCGGTCGCAGAGTCTGGTAGCAATCTTTCCCAAGGCCAGCGTCAACTTTTGTGCTTGGCGCGTGCTCTGCTCAAAGATCCTAAGGTCTTGCTCATGGACGAGGCAACTGCATCTATCGACTACGCCACTGATGCAAAGATTCAAGAAACCATTCGTGAGATCAAGAACACGACCATCACAATTGCTCACCGTCTGCAGACCATTGTTGATTACGACAAGGTCCTGGTGCTGGACAAGGGAGAGTTGATCGAGTTCGGTTCCCCTTGGGATCTTATCAGAACGGATAACGGTATCTTCAAGGGCATGTGTGAGATGTCCGGCGACTTTGATATCCTGATCAAGGAAGCCGAAAAGGCGCATAAGGGGCGCCAGTTGGTTGATGTCGATGCTTAGAGTGGCTGTTTGAACATGGAGTTTTCTGGCGGCTTGTCTTTGTTGTGTTCTGCATCTATTATTTTCCAGCATTGTTCTGCTTTAGCAATTCGCTAGCAACAGAAAAACAAGAGGTTTCGGTAGAGCCTATGTATATAGATCATATATCTACACGGTTGTTGCTTCTCTCGTCTCCTGTTCCACGATAGAAACCTCCAATTTTCCATGTACGCTTGTATACTGCATCGACCTATAGCTACTTCATTTCCTAGTCCATCTCAATATGTACATCCCTTGTCGTCAAGTCCTCATCTTTGATCTCGCATGACTCGTTTACTCGGGCGATGGGCTCAAGATGGCCAAGCAGAACGTTGCCAACAGTCTGCATCACTTTACCATCGAAGCTGTCTTGAAGGCATCGAACCTTCCCAGCGTGAGGCTTGAGATGTGCTTGGCGCTGGCGGAGCCTGCTCAACCTTTTCTCCTGTTTGTCACCAAATCTAGCCACCACTCGTCATGCAATGAGGCTTGGCTACTCTGTGCTTCGATTCCAACTTGATCTCGTGGTATCTCAGACTCCATGCCATTCTTATACCACATTTGAAAGTGCTGGCTAATCGCCAATCTCGAGTATGCTTTGCGTGTCGCTGCATACCAGTACGATGGCACTCAATACAGCGAGACGAGCCTAACTACTAGACCATTTATGTGTCTATTGTGCACAGACACATGTCTCTCAGCAGATATCTCACTGTAGTAGAATTACCGCCGGCAGTGGTATAGCACGTGCGTCTGGAGTGTGTGCTATCAGCCGTTACAGAAAACGTTTCACTACCCCTACGAGTATATTGGAAACCTAACAGACCATCTCGTTGCAAAGCCTCCTCGAAGGATGAGGCAGTGACAACCAAAAAGGCTATAGGTAGGTCCCATCGAATAAAGAGGCACGCATTGCTCCTTTCTCAGCTGCCTCGTCGCGCTCTTGTATTCCTCATATACCTCATCTTGCGACCATTTTCTGCTGAAATTCGTATCTTCTCTTTCAATACACAATCCGGTCACCAAACCACTCGAAATTCTCCAAGATGGTCAACTTAGCCATGGCGGTCGCCGTACCATTGTACATCTGGCCAACCATCAACGCCTGGCAACCTCTCTACAACACCATCTCAGCCGCCCCAAACACCACCTTCAACATCATCATAAACCCCAACTCAGGACCCTCCAACGGTGCCTCTGAGCCCGAAATCGTCTCTGCAGTGACCACTCTCCGCTCCTACTCCAATGTCCAACTCTTTGGCTACGTACACATCGAATACGGCAAGCGCGCCGCAAAAACCGTACACCAAGACATCTTCACCTACTCCACCTGGAAGAAAACAGCAAAGTCAGACATCCATCTCGACGGCATCTTCGTCGACGAAGCCCCTTACGAGACCAAATACCTGTCATACATGAAAGATTTGCAGACCTACATCCACAAGACAATGCCCAAATCGCACCAAAAGGTTTGGACAAACCCCGGTATCCCCATCGATGCCAAATTCTACGAGTACGCCGATTTTGTCAATGCGTATGAGAACTCGTATGCAGATTGGAGTTCTGCTGGTGGCAACAAGAAGATTCCCGAGTGCTTGAGGCAANAGAGTACGGTCATGATTTACGATTTCCCCAAGAATGCCAACGCAAAGTTGAATTCTGATACCAAGAACATCATTGCGGCTGGATATAATGGAACGCTCATCACGACGAGTAGTGGGTACGAGGAGTTTTCGGCTAGTTGGTCGCAGTATGTCAGTGATGTTGCGAATCTGACAAAGACGACCAAGGTCAAGACTCTGCCGGCTTGTAAGAAGTAGTGGATATCGATAGCCTTGAAATCTATAATGCTTTTCAGGCAGGACGGCGCTTAACCTCAAGACTTATCATTAGGCACATAACAAAAGTAAACAAGCTACGACCAAACAGCAAAAGATATTGTGAGGGACTTTCCGCAAAGGAGTGAGTGAGCAACTCCGTCCAAAGACCAGGTGAAAGCAATAGATAATCGACGTAGTTGGAGTTCGATACTCTATGTCAGACAATAACCCTCAAAATCATATTCAAGAAAAAATTTGCGCTCCAGTATCGGTTCATCAAAAGATCAAGAATCGGGGACCTTCAATGTCGCCGCCGTCCAAGCACCTTGGACCAGGTCCCGAGTCGCAAATGTCACGTCGTTTCCAGTCGTTTGGTAAAAGACACACAAACTGTCTCCCCCACTCTGGTCGGGCAGAGTTGTCACACTCATGTGAGTACCAGGTATACCAGGATCATTTACTGGAAAGCTGCCTTGTATGGTGGTGTTTTCAGACGCCCATGTGATGTTGTGTCCTGTGATCCAGCCGTCAGTTCCCTGGGTGTAAAAAGCGTTCGTGTAGCCTAGACTAGAAGACGGATGAACGTTGTTGATAGCCACTGAACTGTTTGTCCACTGATTGATTGGGTGGTTGGCAGAGAACGAAGTGGTGGTGTTGGTGTCTTTCCACCAGATTTCTGCCGTGTTGTACGAGTTCACCATCATCACATAGGTTGTTGTGCCTGGACCCCAGGAGTAGCAGCCTAAGCCTGCGTGTCCATTCTTGTCTGACCATTCTTGTTGGTAAGTCCAGTTGTTATCGCCGTTACGCCATCCGAGCTGTTGGAACGTGGAAGCATCAGAGGCATACCAGAGATGCATACCGACATCTGTATTCGAGCCTGTAGTGCTATTGGCAGTATTGTTACCTTGGTTTGGCAATGGACTGTGCTTGTAGTCGGCGTCGCCGTAGTCATTGCCATACCAGCAGGCTTGCATGCCGACTTGATCGGCATCCAGAACAGTGTGGTTCTCTCCGGTCAGTGGTCCTTCTACCCATAAGTTTGTCGCGTTGCTGTTGATCTTTTCTCGAAGTCGATTGCTGTTGTCGATGTAGAAGAGATGCCANCTAAAGTACATCAGCATGAGAGTATCAGCTTTGATCATGTGCAGACTTACAGTAGATACACCATTCAGACTATAGGCTACCGCGCTCAGAGGCGTGCTGTTTTTGGCGTCTGTTGCAACGACCTCCGATGCAGTTCCTCCCAGCCAGCCATTGTCCGGTGTCAGCCTCTGCCAGCGAATCGATCCAGAATGATGTTGAAAGTAGAGGACGAGCTCGCCATACTCGCCTGAACCGAACGACTGAGATGCCAGCGCCAAGCCACTGCCATTGAAAGCACCTTGCTTCGAGTAGTAAGCAGGATTAAGTGCGCCACCAATGTAGTAGTCAGAGGTCTTTTCCGATGTTGATGCTGGCTTTTTGGCCCTATGTTTTACCCCAAGTCCCACGCCCAGGCCAATAGCAAGTCCAATCACTATTGCGAGGGTAGCAGCCAGCAAAGGCCAAAAGAAGACACGCCTGAGTCCGCAAATCCGTGCCGGCTCCTTTCCAGGTGGTGTTACTCGTGTGTGTATCGGTATCGCTGTTGGTGCCGCCGTCCCTACCACGACTTCCTTGTCTCCTTCGCCAGCCCATACCGATTCGAGACCTGGCGAGATAGCACTGATGCCACCCATTGATCCATGCTTGGCACCGTAATCCATATCGACGGGATCTGGAGGTGATGGTGGCCATGGCTGGTATGAAGGTGGGTGAGTTGAATGTGTCGACGACAACGTAGGATATATGTGTTCATCATATGGAGAAATCGCTTCCCTTCTTTTGGTCAGCATGTATAAGTTCAATGATTGCGCCAGGGATACCTGAATCCAGAAGTCCTTGGTTGGTTGGTCATGATGGTGTTGTAACACGATCAAAGAAAAACAATGTGTACAGAAGAAGTTACGGAAGAAAAAGATGTAAGACAAGAGGGGTGGATGCTGCATTATCACCATTGATACCACGGTCAGCTGCATGGACAAGGCAAATGGTACTGTCACAGTAACACGGAACATGTCACATCAGCTCGTGTGCAGCGAGTTTGCTTGAGCAGCGAGTCGCAAGGCTGATGAGAGAGCGAAGTTGATTCGCTCATCAGCCATGCAGCTGCAGCTTCATGCATGGCGTCTGCTTCCCCGCTTGTTGCTAAAATGGAGAGACAACCAGGTCTATCATACATGGTCTTATAGCCTTTGAGAGCCCAAGCACTAGATTGGGTGTCTCTTCCCTTTCTGTTTCAACAACCATCGGCTGACTGCCAGGGATGTTGGAAGCTGCAGTCACAAACTGAGAATCAGGAACATCTCTCGTAAGAGAGGATGAGGCACAGTCAAATTTGGGAGGCCTCTTTACAGTATGCAACATTCGTAGGGTACTTTGACTAGATCCATATGGCTGTCACTGCAGCACTATTGGTTGGGCGTCTCAATGAGTGCATCCAGCCTTCGAGGCGATAGTAAGCAGCGCATACACGAGCTGACTGCAAAGTCTGTCAAAAGAAAAACCAAGCGCACTCACTATATTGAGACCGGTAGCTAGATGTGGATGTGCCGTGCTGATGCGAATGTCGAGAAAGCTTTATGGGTTGGCCTGAGTCTGTCGGCGCCGTCGCTTTCGAGACACCATCCTACACATGTACTCCAGTACGTATAGAGCCGCAGAGCCCGGGGCATGCGGAATTTTAGGATCAACGTGAATCTCTGCGACACATGGTCGTGGTGAGGAACAGGTATGAACAGGGGTGGCTCTTTCCTTTTGCGCGAAGTTCCGGTGCGCACGTGTCAGCGGCGTACAGTACGGTGGCACGAGGTTCTTGGAGTAACTGGACTGCCGTCATTCAAATACCCTTGATATCAGATGTGAAACGAGCACTGCAAGTTTTTGTCATGGTTGTTTGTTCAACATGACCACTTTCAACTCGCAGGCCCATCGAGCGGTCAACATCCAGCCCTACGACACGACTCCCGCGGATGCCGGCGGCGATGGACCCCTTATGCACGGGCCTCAGCAGATAGCCCGGAGATTGACTTCGGAGATATGAAATGGGCTGATTTTTTTGTGTTGATGTCGTCTTTGATGTTACAAAACCCATGGGACTAAGGAGGGCAATTGGGACTCTCTGGACTCGCCGCTCTTTCCTCTAGACAACAGACAACAATACAAAAAATGGCAGCGCAAAAGAACGGCGGCTCAAGGTCTGCGCAAAGCAGCCGAGCAAACACCTTTTCCATCGTCGCGGTTCTTATCGCCCTCTTCTCAGCCATTGTTTACTTTATGGAACAAAATCTTCAAAGTTTCTACGTTTTCGACACACAACAACTGCACGACCTTTCGAAAAGAGCCATCGCAACCCACGGGAACGACACTAGGGCTGTTGTTGCACAGATTGTTGGCGAGCTCAGCCAAGGCCCTGCTGGCGAATACGTGAACCTGGATGAAGAATGGGTTTTTAACAACGCCGGCGGTGCAATGGGTGCCATGTACATCATTCACGCCAGTATTACTGAGTATTTGATCATCTTCGGTAAGACCCTCCTCGATCATCGACCTCGAATTCTATCAAAGACTAACCAATTTACAGGCACCGCCATTGGCACCGAAGGACACACTGGTCGCCACACCGCAGATGATTACTTCCACATTCTCAAGGGTACCCAAACCGCCTATTCGCCTGCCGCTGGCCACTACGAGCCCGAAGTCTACCCCCAAGGCAGTGTGCACCACTTGCGCCGCGGCGAGGTCAAGCAGTACAAGATGGACGATGCTTGCTTTGCTCTCGAGTATGCTCGTGGTTGGATCCCGCCCATGCTTGGGTTCGGTTTCGCCGATGGCCTCACAAGCACCCTTGATTTCCCTACGTTGTGGCACACCACCAGGATCACTGGCAGAGAGATGTTGTCAAATATGGCTAAGGGAAAGCTTTAAACGTGTTAATCATATAGATTTCTGGAATGACTTTTCAATCTCGACACTGCAGTATGTCTGACATCTTTCTGGCCGTGTGACTCAATACAACAGTTCAAGATAGGTCTATTGAGACATCACAGTTGTATCTGGCTTAGTTTTTGGTTCGCAGGTACACCTTCGCAAGTCCTCGGAGATGACTTCCGCCGGTCGATTCGATTTCGAAAGGTTACCTGCCGCTCTCGCATTTGCGTCACAGACATGGAAAACCCGTGAGGGACAAACCCCATGTCGAGAGCTAACAATTTCACCGCACCAGGCTCATACAAGATATCCTTCTCATGACTCTCTCTGATAACACAACCTCACATCAGTTCGTGGTATCTAGTACTTTTGGCCAGGATCTTATTTATGGTGGAGGGTACTCACATTTCTTCTTCTCCTCTTCCTGTTTCTTCGCCAGTTCCCTGGCCTTCTTCTCACGAATCTCTCGACGTTTCTGCTTGCTAGATTCTCCGGCTGCCTGGAGCAACTCAACAGCTTTCTGGTCACCAGCTAGCCCGGCGGTGACAGCAGCTCTGGCGTCCTTCGCAGATTATGACATCTTGGAAATGTACGAAGAGTTATGTAATGTATAAGGAAGAAGGGTGTTGTTCTGTGAGTTGTGTCACGGTCAACGAGTCTTGGGTGCTGTACTTATGTGTTACGCATATGGCACTGAAGTATATTGATTAGCAGGTCGGGCGCTTCAAATATGGCTGCCATTCTCGTGGTGACTCTGGTTGGCACTGCGTGGCTCAGAGCGCTTCTGCAGATGACACCTCACCTGCCAGCTCGCCTGCGGCGGGCGTCTAGGTAAATTAGTGAATAACTCCAGCGCTTAGTTCGCGGCTAAGTAGATGCGTACTCCCTGCCCAATCGGGGCCAGTCAAGCCCCGAGGTTGTTTGAAACGCTCGGAGCTTGGCGCCTGCTTCCTGTACACATACCTTTGACTTCATTTCGACTTTCCCATGCTTGCCTTCGTCGAAGAATGTCGAGAACTGATCACATTGGATACCGTGACTACAATGGATGCTGACGAGCTCAATGCAACCCATCTGGACCAAATGGTCTCATGGTGCAATTATTTTGATAATGTCTACGGCTACCCCGGGGTCGAGAGACTGGCGTCTCGGTACCGTGATGGCCATCATTGTCGCTGTGTTCTCAAGGTCAGCGGATCTTTTAACCTCTGCATCAAAGTTGATTTCGACGATGATCAAGCTTGGGCTGTACGTTTCCCTGTACCTGGCCGAGTCATGCACCCGGAAGAAAAGGTTCGTCAAGAAGCCGCTGTGCTGAAGTTCATCAAACACAATACGCGAGTGCCAGTCCCAACGCTCATTGCTTTCGGATCGAGTTCAGAGAACCATGATCCAGAAGTCGGACCATTTGTCATAACGACATGGATTGAAGGTGTACCATTGGTCAAGATCTTGGAACAACTACCACGTCCAACTTGGGGCCCTGTCCTGCGAGATGACCTTGATCACGATATGCTGTCTGAGATTCATACTCAATTATCCGAGATACTGCTGGAGTTGAATTCGCAAGAATTCGATAGCATAGGATCCCTGAGGATGTCCGAAGAGAACTCCCAGCCTTCCTGGTCTGTCGTCACAAGACCTTTGACATTGAAGATGAATGAGATACAATCAGCAGGCTACGTCGTCGTAGACGGTCAGTATTGTCCGCATTGCCTGTTGACAACTTGGACTGACCAAATGTAGNACCACACAGCGCCACCTTTCGACAATGCTGTCTCATACGTAGAGAACCTTGTGCAGCAGAACATAACGCATCTGTATGAGCAAAAGAATTCTGTTGATGATGCAGAAGACGCCCGCCAAAAGTTCATCCTCCGTCGACGGATGCAAGCACTTGTGCCTTACTTCATTTCTAGACACGGCCTCGGCCCGTTCAGAATCTACTGCGATGACATACATCCCCGCAATGTGTTGGTTGACGAGACCACACACCAGATAACTGCCGTCATCGACTGGGACTGGACTTATGCTGCTCCTCAAGAGTTTTTGATCGGCCCGCCTTCTTGGCTAGTGTTAGAGGACATAACAGGATGGACCACATCGAGTGAGATCATGTTTAAACAACAGGTGGAGCTCTTTCTCAAGGCTCTTTCAGATGCAGAGGTAACAAGAGAGCAATGTGGGTCCACACAGGGATCGAATGAGTGTCGTATGTCCGACTTGATGCGTCAGAATTATGAAGATGGCACATTTTGGTTCATCCAATTATTGTTCCAGGCTTTCAACTTTGATGGAGACGAGGTATGGCCAAACCTGGAGCCATTCTTGGAAAAACGGGGGCTGCTCGAAGTTGGAATTCCAAGCGAAGAGGAAGTCGAGGAATTCGTGGCTTGGAAGATGGAAGACCTTGAGGCGTATAACCAGGAGCTGCAGAGGAGGAACGACGAACAACAGACAGGATCAGAAATCGAACCGGAGATCCAAGTCTGCCAACACGCAGGCGATAATAAGACTACTACAAAGCCTCTAGACANNCGCCACAAGATGAGCCAGAGATGGATACAAGCGAAAGTCCGAGCGACAAACCAAACAAATNCTGCCGATGGTTGTGCAGACGATCATCATGCATCATTCAATACTCAAGAAGAAGAGGACATGGATACGAGCAATCAACCAAGCGGACAGGCAAGCAACCCCAAAGATGACCGCACAAACGATGACACTTTACCATGCGTAGATTTGCAGTCTCAAGCCATGGCAGACCATACCACCACAGGAGCCCAAGAGGCCGAGAAAAAACGCACTTGGTTAGAAATGATGATTCCAGCGTGCGTCTTCAATTGAACTCGGTGCGGATAGCCTTCCGCAGAACTCGACAAAAAGAATCGAGGTCAATTGGCACTCACGACATCTGAGTAGAGGAAACAGCATGTTGGTCAGTCGTGAAAGTGACGAACAAGCAGGGACACCACTCCGTTTTTTTGTTTTCCATTGTTGTTCTTGTTTTCCTCTCGTCTTTGCCAGTCAGGTCGCGCAACTCAAAGGACAAGGCCGATTATCGGTCTATGGACAGACATCATGTACCACAGGTCTAATCCGCTCCCCGTACTAAAGTAGAACAGGATCTCGTGTCACTCAGCCCAAGCTTACCGATCCGCCAAGTACCTGACGGGTGTGTCACTCTGTTGAAAATATCTACCGTTGCTATCCTTGGTGTAGCTGAAGCTGTTTGATGAATATGACACGGTAGAATCATCGACCATATTGATGTAGATTGCTGATCGACGAAGGAATGAACTCGATCGCGAAAACATGGTAGCTTCTTGTACATGGTCTTTGTCTATCTGATGGGGAAGGAAAGAAGAGAATGTTGTGCATACTGCAAAGTCCAACAAGGCCCCTCTAGAACATAAATGGTCCCACCACCCTTTTGCACCCAGGTTTTCATTATTTCACTGGTATCAATGGTATAGTGTCATCTAGACACCAGAGTCGTCCTTCTTCCAATAGGACTCTTCAGGGTAGAAATCGCGCCATGCCGAGCAGATGTCATTGAAGCTAGGGTCGATTTTGATCTGATCTGGTGTCTCGAGAAACTGGGTGGCCAGACCATCGGCTACATGCCATGCGATGTGACAATGCATGATCCAAGCACCAGGATTGTTTGTCTCAAAGGCAATGACCAGCCAGCCTTGGGTTGGAAGCATTGCGGTATCGCGACGGGGCGGGTTCTTGAAATTCAGCTCACTCGCTTGGTCATTGGTATAGTTGCTGTTCTCTTTAGCACCCAACACGTAGAAATCGTGTCTACAGTTGTATTAGCAGCGTCCTAGTATATGTGTGCAGGCTTCAACTGACCCGTGCAAGTGAATGGGATGAGGAACAAACAGTGCTGCGCCCGCAGGAGTGGGAATCTCCTGAAGAACCCAATAGGTCCACTCCGCATCGGGCATGTTTATTAGATTCATGGAGGGCGCATAGCTTGTGTTTTTCTCCTGAACGTATTCAAGGGTCGGCTTCTCCCAGGTTACGTTGAGAGCAGTGGTGTCGATGGCCCACCTGAAGATTGTCGCGTTGTCTGATCTAATACCAGCTTCCTGAGCCTGCACGCTTAAGAACTCAGGATTTGCTGTCAAGGCATTGTCGGGAACGAAGCTGTCCCAGTAAGGCGCAAGTTTGTTCGAGTTGTAAGATTCATCATTGCATCGATCTGCATTGTCCCCGGTTGTTTCCCAAGCGATGCTGGTGGGATTGGAGAATGTGGTGTTGCTGTAATGAATGATTGCCCTAATGCCATTAGGATTTGCGTTGTTGCCGCATGCAGGGAATGCACCACCAACAGCAGGAACATCCGCCCGGAACCAGTAATTGCCTACTGTCTGATTTGCCTCAATGATAACATCGAGTCTTTGCCCAATTCCTACAAAGACTCGCTTTGCAGCATAAGGCATGACTGGGACAAAGTCATTGGTGATGACAGTGAAAGGGTGGCCGTCGACTGAAACCATGAAAGCGCTGTCCACAGATGTGTTGATAAGTCGTAGACGATATCTCTTGCCAGATTGGACAGTAGCGTTGAAATACTTTCCCTTGGTTCCGTCGGGGCTGACATTCATGCCATTCACGAGACCAGTGTAGGCCTGTGGAGGTATACTGCGTGCCAAAGGGTTGTTGAAAAACGCAGTTTCCTCATACCAGTCTGTCAGCGCGAAGGGGCCAAGGTCTTCATCGTAGTTATCGGTGGCAGGACCGTCGATGACGAGCGTACCAAGAGTTCCTACACCATATTGGACNACCTAGTACAATCATTAGTATCCATACGAAGTCGAATCAGGAGTCAACCTACTCCAATGGCTATGATACCAACTAGTACCATACTGCGTGCAGTGGAATCTGTACGTGCGAGATGTTCCCGGAGCAATGGGACACTCGGTTATCTGGCGGCGAATAGATCAGCACTGAGACAGACTGAGACTCGATGGTCAACATACCCCAGGGACACCGTCCTGGTCGCAAGTCTCATACTGCCTGATGCCATGCCAGTGGATTCCAGAACCATTGTCAGCCAAGTGGTTGTTGACTGTGATTTCGAGCCAATCTCCCCAATTAGCCCTGATGATTGGTCCTGGGTACTGATCATTGATCAGCATAACCCTTCGATCGCCTGTGCCATCGGGGTCAAGAGTAGTGTTTGTAATGGTCAATGTGTATGGAACTGTCTTTCCGGTGTCAGGGAACTTCTGATCAAAGTCGGTCGCAATGCTGAAGCCATTTCCCCAGCATGCACGGCTACCGGCAGTGTTGGTACACTCTGTATCAGCATCGTCCGGTGTCAAAGTCGTGGAAGACCCAGCAGCAGAAGAGGTCGAGGAAGCCTGACGTTTTACAGCAACCGAAGCAGCAGCGTAAGCCGCCAAGGAAGCAAGAAGGGGGAGAGAACGCAAGAGATGCATGCCTGCGAGCAATTGAGCAAGTTTGAAGTGTTGTAGTCAATCCGAGGTGGTAAGCAACTTTTATACACATACAATTGCCTAAAAGACATATCGTGTGCAGCCTGTTGCTTACAGGGCTGACGAGACCGAAATAGGTTTCTGTGGGCTGGGACACGGCTGTTGTGTATGCGTCGAGAGCATTGCCTTCATCGTCATAATGGATGAAATCAAAAAGTCTTCCTTGTTCTCGATCGGGAGAAAGGGAAAGCTGCAAGTCAGATGGTCTGCCTACTTTCCAATAGACTGCTGCAAAGTCAGCATGTGTGATTTGCAAGCCCACTTGGCCACTCAGTACGTAGGATTTCAGCAACGAGGGAACGCTGGTATCTGTGATCGGGAGTTGTTGTGAAGAGAATGGAGAACACTCTGGAACTTGTGATTGGTGATGCAAAGTTATCCGGTGACCAGTCTGCCATAAGAACCTTACCGGGTGAGACAAGATTGTATCTTCCGACTTAAGGTACATGACCTTCAATACCCCTGTTTGCACAACGTGGTGGACTATTGTGCCTTGGGCAATTATCAGAGTTTGAGAACAACGTTCCTTTTTAGACCAAAAGCCAGAGCTGACTCATGATAGACCAACCGTATCAGTATATGCTATGTAAGAGAATGCAGAAGTTGTAGCGTGACATCGTATGCTCTTTCTCGGAATCGTATCTGAGAGGAGATAAGGCCGTGACAAGGGTGATATCCTGAGTGGCAATGCTCGTCACTCTGTCTGTACCGTGAACTAAATAGAACATGGCGTTTGATCGTGATCTGGAGTTTCCAAAGATATGCCAGAGATGTTGAGTCGGGTTCCGAACGAACCATCGTACTTCAAAGTATGCAGGGCATGGTCATTGTGCTTAATCGCCAAGGTCAGCCTCATGGTTTGTCCTAGGGTTAACGGAGCCCTCGGAGAGCTCCTTGCTTAGTGAGAGCGTTATTCGGATTTCCAGCCGGGCGCCAGGCCCAGTTCTATTCTTTCACACTGAGGAAACCGTGAGAGGGCGCATTGAACATTCTATGGAGAATGTCGTCTCCAGCATTCATATCAGATGTGGTAGTAGGCAAGCATTCTTTGCAGGTAATCAATATCAAACATGCGACAGGTGGATCTGCCTCGCAGAGTGGCTGACCAGTCTGCTCTTTTCAGAAGAGAATACCGCGCTTTTGGTCCTGTCATGCGCCATATCCCGGACGAGCTCAGCCACGTGTCCAGAAGATACACACCAGACTTGAAGTCGCCCAATTACATACTGTTGTGATCAGTGACGTCCCTGCTGCCTGGTGTCTTCAGACAAGAGTACCCTTGGTGTCGTGCTGACATGTGGTTGGGTTGAGAGAAGGAAGCCAGTCGGGAGTGCTGCTTCCCTCGTTCCAAATTTGGCGCCTTCCCCCAGCCCTCCGAAGGATCGTCATCTTCTGCCGCGTACCACATCGCCTTCTTCCGACATCTACCTTGCATCGCAGGCCGCTCGCGTTATCGCATATTCAGAATGATACTTGCATGTGCAAGGCTGCTCGCCGGGACACAGTCCTGGGCTCGAGATGTTCCGATCATGAGGTCCAGTACAGTATTACTCCTGCTCGGCGACTTGAGCTCCATTAGGTCTCTGATGTCAGATTACGAGCCTGCAAGTCCGCAATCCATGCGACGAAAAGATGTCTCGCGAGGCAGTGTAGAAGTCTTTATGAGGACTCTCAAGAGCATATGCTATTTTTGCTGAGGAGGTAGGTCTTTCTTGGAGAAGACGTAGCTGCTGCCAACTCGACACCTCGCAGCCTCGAGGAGTATAAAGTGGACCAAGGTACAGCTCGGTTCTTTACTTTGAGCATTTAATACTGCAATCTTCTTTCTGACCAAGCAGTCTTCGGAAACAACGACACCATGTGGACTTTTCTTCTCACTACCGGGCTTGCTTTCTTCCAGATTGCCAACGCCTGTGAATCGTACGGCATCGACTTCAAAAACAATCGAAACTATTTCATAGACATCAATTCAAACGAATCATTCACCGCCGTATCAGAGTTCTATGGCTGTTCGGAACCTGCCCGCGCCATCTTGTACACTCCCAGTAACCATTCAATCTTCTGCTCGGATGTTGCAACGACACCAGACTACACCGATGCCACCACTACTTGCCCAATCTTGAAGAACCAGATGTATTCTGGTGACTGGACTCTGGTACTTCTGGATAACAATGGGAATGGTAGCAGTTTCAACGCCCAACGTAAATTGCACCTCAGCGTTGGCGAGCAATCCACCTCGGTCGTCATCCCTACCATAACTCTGATTGTTACGCAAACCCCTACATCTATTGTGAATGCTACAATCACGGACGTTGATTCAACAACTCTCCAGCCAGTTTCGGTCACCAGTCTTGCTAGCAATGCAAAGACACAGACAGTGACCTACTACCCGCCCCGAGAGACCATCACCAAATCGTCGACGGCAACGGTCAAGCACACCTCCACACGCTTTACCTACACCATCAAGACCTATACTGAGACCAAACTCTGCGCAGTTGCGTTCGCAGCTTTGGCAGCAGATCCTACAGCTGACCCCAAGCTTCTCTCGATCGCCCAAGCCGCCATTGCTTCTGCAACCCCTTCCGCAGCTCCTGCCCGTCGTGCCAGAATCAGACGCGATGTCACTCAAGTTGTCCAAGTTGCCAAACGCAATGTAGTCAACCTCGCCAAGCGCGCCCCTGATAGCGCCACTGTGACTTCAACAGATACCAACACTGCCCACTGGATCTCGGTGACGTCCAGCTTTACAGCTGCTCCTGTTACTCAAACATCATACAGTAAGTTGCAATTCAAATCTCGCCCGATGGNNAAAATCCAGAAAGCTAATCTTCTTCTAGCTACTGCGGAGAGTACGACAACAATCACTCCAGCACCCGTTACCATTGTGGAGAGTCAGACCACGGTCACAAAGACTGCAGCAACATCTGTAAGCATGAGATACAGCCCGTGATGCACAAGTATGACAAACTAATTCATGGAAACAGACTCGCACGATCACCAGACGAACAACGACAACATCCAAGATCACGAAAACAGTCACTGCCACGTACGTTTCTCTCGTGCTATGCACATATATGACATTGCTGACAATTTTCGTACAGTCTCAAGGTTACTACCTACGTGCCTGGCAAAGGCTGTTCCTAGGGAAGATTCTTACCCTGCTCATGTTCGAATCATGAGCTGCTTTCTCTCTTCAAGCGAAAGAAGTAATCATACATGACAACGTTTCGATTTGGATCTTCTAGACTTTTGGGTTTATACTAGAATTTCTTTTCTTTTTCTTCCTTTCATCACGTCTCTTGTTCTTTCCTGCAGTCTTCTTGTCTTTTGTTGGTAATACACAGTGACTCATCTGAAGAACGCTTTGTATAATGCACAAAGTTCGAAGATATGGGTTGCCCTTGACTCGATATGTATAACGAATGCCATTCCTTGGGACAAAGTGATCTAAAAAGTAAAAGGCTCCATCTTGGGAGCACGCCATTGAACGCCTTCCGCAGCTATGCATGAATAAAATTTCGTCAAAAAAAGAAACCCCCCCCCGCCGTCATTCTCTCAATTCGATAGAGATGTAGGTCATGATAGGTTGATACCGTAATCGTTGGACTCGTTGGGAGTGCCCCAAGTATCCTCACCGGGTCCGGGGCCATAGTTGCCGAAACCACCACCACGACCACCCATCATGCCGGCTTGACTCTTGTCCGTCTTTGCCTTTTGCACAATCGAGTACTTTGAGCCCATGTCCTTGGCTTGGGCTACTGTACGAGTGAGGGAGGCGAGCAAGGATACCATGTGTACATCTGACTGTTCTTGTGAAGCGGCTGTTGCAAGAGAAGACTGAGGCATGCCTGGGACAGGAATGGCGGTGGAAGATTGAGATACAGGAGGGGCGAGTAAAGGCAAGCGAGAGAGCATGGAGGAGATTTCGCGCAAGAGTTGGTGATTGGGAGGAGGGTCGCTGGAAGTGGCGGAGATGGAGGCGTCGGTCAGGTATGATTGTGGTAGTTCGGCTAGATAGGCCTTGATGAGGTTGATGCGTTGGTGCAGCATCTTGATGGCATTGTACTTGGCAGTGAGGGATGAGATGACNTATGGATCATTAGCTTGTGACACTTGCAGAGATATGTGGTTATGCTTACCTTCTTCGTCGGCAGCGTTGAGCTGCACATCCGTGTTCACAGGAGCGTCGTTGGTAGCACTGCCTTCGGAGCGAGACTTGCCCTTGGGAGGTGTAGCAGAGTTCTGAGCAGCAGATCCGCTACTCTTTGCGACAAAATCAACAGCGATCATTTCGGCCTCTCCAGTCTCGACTTCGAAGGGCAATTGACGGAAGCGCATCTGCAGTTGGCGACCCATGCCCCATCCATCGACCTGCAAGCCCTTGTCTGCGTTCTCACTGCCAGGCTCATAGTATGACTCGTAGATTGAAATGGGGAGCTTTCCGCCAGTGAGGGAGCCGTCAAGGATGGTCTGAGGATGGAAGAGCAGGAGCATGAGAGATTCGTTGTACGAGTGCTGAAGTTGTTGGAGGATAGGCACATGGTCGGGAAGTGGACCTGAGGGAGGGGCTAGTGTGAAGATGGCAACCAGGTCGAGAGGAGGTGCCTTGTGGACGTCCTTGACTNNGGTTGGTTATTAGTCGTGATAGTCTAATATGGATGAATAGTATTACGCACATTGTTCTAGACGCTCGGCGAACCACTCTTCATCGACCAGAACCTTGTCGCCGTCTTCCTTGGTCTTGCACTGGAAGGCCTGCTCCATGGTGATTGTACGGCCATTTTGCTGACCGATGATTGCACCAACGATTGGGCCTGGTTGCTTGCGCATAGAGTGGCGCGTTATGTAATCGGAGATGGTGAGAAGGACCAGTGGGTGCAGTTGGACTGAGAGCGACGAGTCCGAGGTGCTGCTGGACAGCAGGAAATTGCTTGCCGTCTCGACCATGATTGCGAGTGTGGATTGTGAATGTTTGGCACAAGTGGATGGTGTAGCGGAGAGAGTTGTTGGATGACATCGGTGTTTCTAGACTGAGCTTCGTAAACCCCGTCTATCTCCGTCCCCGCGCCTGCCTCACTTTCGTCTGTCTCGATGGGAAGCTTCGACAACTTCGACCACGCAATCAACTTGCACGCCACCTTCCTCTTCCGAGCATTCAAACAACCGGCTTGACTGTCTTCGTCTCGTCTTCGCGACACCGACTCTATAATCAAGCGCCCACCCTCAGACAGCCATCATGTCGCGCCATCACCCGTACGTCTCTGGTCACATCCACCACAAGAAAGGCACACACTAACAAGAAGGATACAGTGACTTGGTCATGTGTCGCAAGACCGCCGGCATCGCCATCGGCCGCCTCTGCGACAAATGCGACGGCAAGTGCCCCGTCTGCGACAGCTACGTCCGTCCCACAACCCTCGTCCGCATCTGCGACGAATGCTCTTTCGGAAACTACCAGAACAAATGCGTCGTCTGCGGTGGCGAGGTAAGAACATGCTTTCTTGCTCTTTTGTCTGTTGGTCACGTTGCTGACATGTCATCCCAGGGCATCTCCGACGCCTTCTACTGCTTCGAATGCACACGTCTGGAAAAGGACAGAGATGGCTGCCCCAAGATTATAAATCTGGGTAGTTCGAGGACCGATCTGTTTTACCAGAAAAAGAATTTCCGGAATCATTAGTACCAGCGGATACCGTCTTGATGATGCAGGACGGTCAGTTAACTACAACATGGAGCAAAAGGCATACAGAGCTTTTTGGGACTTCTGGTTACGGACACTGCGAGGCACAGCGCTGACAAGAATTGGTTAGCCTTGCAAAAAGGACCTCAAGTCGGGAACTCGAAGCATAAATGGTCAGATCAAGGAGGTTCTGTGTCCAAAGGCCAACCATCTTCGCAGAAGACAGTTCAGGGTGCCAAAAACTCCTGAAGACAGTTCTATGTTGGTACCACCCGAGCCTCGGTAGCTCATGCGCAGCAGCACTCTGCATGCCAGGCTCCTAAACAACAGAAAAGTCACCACGCACGAAGAGGTAGCAAATCAAATTGCAAGCTTGACAGGACGAGATAGATAGTTAACAACGTCTTCTAACGACGATTTCGGACTTTTGTCATTCAGCTATATCTTTCCAGCTTCTGTGATCTACAACGTGATGTTGCCATGGTCTCTACAAGGCGATCCAGGGCTGACATGGCAACTGTGTATGTCTGTACAATATCCTTGCATCAGATTGAGACTCTGTGACAATAAGTGATGGCTCCTGGGAAGTCTTGTACTCGGTTCCTAGCTGGAAGGCCGGAAGAGATGGCTGGCTTTTCGTGGACTCGTAGCCTCGCGCCTCCAATGGGCGAGAGAGGCATTGGCTGGTAGTGGAAGAACACACATTAGACGCTCAGCCCGGGATATTGGCAAGCTCTCTCGAATTTGCAGCATTCAGCTCGGCCATGAGCCCGCCCTTGTCTCTCTTCTTTTCGTCCTGGTCGAGCTTTGATTGCACAAATTGATGCAGAACCTTGACCTTCTCCAGCGCAACATTCGAGCAGTTGAGAGTGGTCAACGGGTCCACAGGCACACCTCCATACTTTGCGATTTGGCAGACCTCGCCGTGACGATTCATGCTAACAATCATCTCACCGTCGCGAACGCTTTCTTCCGCGAGGTTGGCATCCAGTAGTACCGTCTCGCCGCCGTGGTAGAAGGAGAAGGAGACACAGAAGGGGTGGTGTTGCATGGCCAGCTTGACGGGTTCGCGCTCACGAGTGTCAAAGACAGTGACATCTTCTCCGTGTACTTCGACCTCGGGACGGCGGAAATGTTGCAGGGCGGCGACCAAAGCGATACAGCAAGCATCGATCAAACCACCATCGTGGTCCAGAACGTGTATATCTGCACGGACGGCGAAACACTTTGCGCCAGCAATGATGCAGAGAGACTCTGTGTCCAGGGCTCCTGAGCGACGGATAGACTTTTCCAGTAGACGAGATAGCACGACTTCGGCATCGTTGGGTCGGCCGACTTCAAAGGCGGGAGAGGCCATGGGTGAGAGCTCGGTCGAGATGGTGAAGACGCCGTCGAACTTGCGATCCGGAAAGGGTGTTGTTACTTCGGCAGATACTCTCACGACGACTCTATATACATGTCAGCAAAATGTGATATGCAAGATAATGGAATGCACTGCACACCTCGTCTTGCCCAAACGGACATCGGCAACACCATAGTCGTCGCCGAACTCCAGCTCTAGATTTCTGTATTGATCGAGTTGACGGCCGTCGAGGCGGATGCTTTCGAACAGAGCATCGCGAATGAACTGGCGCTCGTTGAGCGAGGGCTCGACTTCTCGCGGCATGGTATCGTGTTGGATGTGAGTATGACGTGAATGTCGATTTAATATTTTGTTACATGCAAGGAAGGCGCAAGCTCCGTCCGATGCGGCTTCTCCCGCACTCTTGAAGGCCGACACTTTGCGACCATCGACATCTCTCCTTCCCACCTGCCATAACAACCGCATACTCAACTCACCATGACTACCGCCCATCGTCCCACATTCGACCCCGCCCGCGGCAAAGATTCCCTGCGCGGTCCCGGATACCACCAACGTCTGCTCCCAGCCCACAAGACCCTCAAGTTTCGTCAAGCCACTCAAGGAACCACCGACGAGCACTCTGCTCGCGACCTACGCGCCGAACTCTTGCGCGCCGAACGCCGTCACTTTGCCAAGAAAGAAGGTCGCGAATTGTCACCCGAAGAAGAGGAACAAGCAACACCCCAGCTCACTCTCGAACAAGCCTCCATCGATGGCAAGAGTCTGAAGCGCAATCTGGAGGATGGTGCAAGTGGAGAAGCACAGGATGGAGAGCAAGACGAGGAGGAGTACGAAGCCAAGCGAAGGAGGGTCCTGGAAGAAACTCGCGACGTCGACGCCGATTCCGACGATGCATCAGAGGAAGATTCTGATTCCTCAGACGACGAAGACGATGATGATGACGAGGCCGAGCTGATGCGCGAGCTGGCCAAGATCAAGGCCGAGCGCGCAGAGGCTGCTGCAAGAGAGGCTGCCGAGCAAGCTGCCAAGGAGGAAGAACAGCAGATGCGAGATATCGCTACTGGAAACCCACTCCTTAACAAGGGTAAGCTATTTGTCTTTCTCTTGCCATGTGTCATCTCGAGGTTCTAACAAGAGCGTANNGGAGCATACGATGTCAAGCGAAGATGGGACGATGATGTCGTCTTCAAGAACCAGGCCAGAGGAACAGAAGACAAGAAGGGCAAGGAGTTTGTCAATGACTTGCTGAGATCCGACTTCCACAGACGTTTCATGAGCAAATACGTGCGATAGATGGACACAACCCTTCGACACTCACATGAATTGCTCTGGATTGAAGGATTCAAACATAAAAACATCATGATTGGTATTCGGTCGTTACGCCATAAAAACTAACACTCTGGTTGCGCATCATGCTGGCTGCAACCGAGCTATTACTTCCTCAATCTTTCGTTCCCGGAAAGACACTTAGTAGTCGGAGCGCTCGTTGTAGGCACCGGCGGCCTCACGCTTGGCCTCACCCTTCTCGACCATCTTCTCGTTCTTCATCATACCACCGAGCTTGCTCATCAGCTTGCCAGCGGTCGAATCTGAAACCAATGTGTTAGCATGCAACTCATTGCGAAAGATTGGAGGACTTGTCTTACCGCCTTGCTTTTCAGAGCTCTCATCATTGGTGTAACCGGAGGACTTGTTACCGTATCCTGCACCACCAGTGGAACCACTACCGTACTCGTTGCTACCGGAGTATGCACCAGTGTCGGTAGACGAGCCAAAGCGAGTGTTGCTCGAGTCGTCAAAGGTGTCACGACCAGACGTGGACTTGTTGCCGTATCCAGCACCACCAGTGGTGCCAGAGCCAAAGTCGGTGCTTCCCGAGTAGGCGCCAGTATCAGTGGAAGAGCCGAAACGGGTGTTGCTTGAGTCGTCGAAGGTGTCGCGGTCAGAGCTCGACTTGTTGCCGAAGCCGGCGCCACTGCTGGTACCGGAGCCGTAGTTGTCGTCGATTGACTGTGGGGTCGAGATGTTAGCTTCTGGTCGATTTGATATTGCAATAGGCTTTCGAATCTTATAATCGAAAAGAGCCCATACGGTAAACTTCTTCAACATTTTTGCTTCTAGTGTCAAGTGTGATGTGTAATGTGTGATGTGTGGTGTGTATGTGCGGTGGATAGAGCGTTTTGACAAATGAAATGAAACAGATATCGAGCAATATATTCATGTGAAGAAGGGGCAAGATAGGTGTGTAGAAGATAAGGGAAAAGCTCGAAGGATTCCTCGTGCATAAAGAACTTACAGGGTAGTTGCCGCCAGTGGTGTGGTGGGTATCTCTTTCGATACCATGGCTAGGCTTCAAGTCATCATCACCCACACCCTCACCAGCAGATCTGTGATGATGACCATAGTTGTCGCCAGAACTGCCGGTCACACCAGAACCGTAGTTGTCTCCCGAGCTCGAATAAGTATCTCTACCAGTGTTGGACGAACCATAGGTGTTGTCACGACCGGAAGACGAGTATTCATCTCTACCGATTCCAGAGCCAGAGTTGCCGCCAGAGAACTCGTCTCTGCCCAGGGTGTTGCCAGTGTTGCCGCGCGAAGCAATGTCATCGCTGCCAAGCTCACCACTACGGTATGTGTTTGAAGAGTCGCTGTATTGGTCGCGGCCGAGTCCACTGCCGGAGTTTGCTCCGCTGCTTAGATTGTCGTTGCCGTAGCTGGAGTCATTGCCATAGGCTCCTGAGCCAGTGGTTCTGTCGTTGAGACCGCCTTGACGACCCTGGTTGAGATAAGAGTGTCAGATACGTAGTCTTCTTTGGGTGGGGAAAGTGATGATTTGCACAGCAAGCAAATAGAGTGCTGGGTGGGAAGGGATGATAGGTTCAGAGTAGCTGGCAAGATAAGGGAAGGATGCCGAGGAGAGAGAGGAAACATACAGTACTGCTGTACTCATCATTGCTGTTGCTGCTGTACTCGTTGTTGTAAGACATGGTTGGATATGCGTGTATATTATTGTTCAGAATATGTGAATTGGATAAAAAAGCCAAAAGGAAGCTCTTACAGCAGAGGCAGGAAGGGGTTTATATAACTTGTTCAGAGAGAACCAAGTTTGTCGGTGACCTTCTCCTCTCCTATCGCACACAGCTCTGAGGAAACACACCATAAGCATGCGTCATGTCTCCATAGAATCCCACCAAACCGCTTCCGCAGTCGACACCTCCCCCAGCAAAGGTGCGAGAAAAAACCCTGCTGCGGGGACCTGGACACGGGTCCCGTCCTGCTGTTTCACGCGAGAGATCGAAAGGAGTGCAAGCACATGCAGATCATCGCAAGCAGGTGCCAGGGTCTCCAATCGAAGCTCCCCGCTTTCGTCACCTTTCCACAGCGAAGCGTGCAGCCAGCCCATCGCGCAAAAAGGCCCAGAACATCGTCTGCTTCGTACAAGCCACCGCACGCAGTAAAGGAGGCTGTGTTTGCAAGAAAACCTGCTTGCTCGCCCATCCCCAACTTCGGTTGATCTTTCTGTTCAGTGGGAGATTGCATCGAAACATGATCTCCCATCCAAGGGCAAGCCACACATCCGTCATAGTCAAACAAGCTCAAGGAAGCACACAGCAACCAAGGCAGCTGTGGTGAGAAAGGAAGTAAGATTGCATCTACGTCTAACGGAACAGAAACCTTGCTTCTACTGGAGGTCATCAGATCAAGGCATTCCTTGACCACCTCCTTATCCTTGTCGTACAGAATTAAAAAGGCATAACTCGTCATGATACAGGTGATTGATTTAATCATCGCTTATAACGCCACTGCCATCTCCGCCGGCTGGCCAAGGTAACGCCTTGAGATCTCGCGATCCGCTGGGTGTCGAGGGCGATGACTGTGTTTCCTGTGGTAGCGACGTTGAAGAAGCATCAAGGTCTTCTTCATCGTCCTCTATTCCCTCGCCTACAAACGAGCCTTCTCCGCGAGAGGACGACATCGAAGGCGAAACGAGAACACCATCTTCGCCGTCGGTTCCCTGGCTGGCCTCTAAAGTTGGAGTGGGTGGCTGGAATCGCAGATCAGGGTTCTCGCTCTGGGAGTGCTCCTCTACAGATGCCTCGGACACATTCCCGTTGCCTCTAGAAATGGGTCGAGATACTGGAGAATTGAAGCTGCTTCTCCAGAACCCTCTTCGGCGTCTGATATCTCCATTAGTGAATGGTGGAGAAGTCTGATCCGGTGATGGTGAGTTCAGAGGAGAATCGTAAGCGCCCCTTCCAAAGTGCGACTTGTTCACCATCTGCTGGATGATGGGCATGTCTAAGCTGGTGCCACCTCCTGTGCGTACAAACAAGACAAGGCCAAGGCAGACCATCATTACAGTCATTTGAGCAATCGCCATCCGCTTCTGAAACAACAACTCATCAGCGACAATGCTCAAACGCACACTGACTGCGTGAATCTCCCTCTGATATTGATCACGATGGTTGTCAAGCTCAATGACGGTACTCTGCCATAACTGATCATACTGCTGTTTGAAGTCTTGGAGCTCGGCAAATACAGTTGTATTCAGGTTCTCGAGGAATGCTTCGGTCTTCTTGATTTGGCGTTTCTCAACCTTTATAAAAGCATCGCGCAGAATGCGGGACTGCTCTTCGATATACTGCAGAGACAGAGTGGCGTTACTCTCGAGCATCTGCAGACGTTTGTGAATAGACTTGAAAAAAGACTCTTGAGTAGTCGGGTTTGAGTGAGCCGATGATACAGTCGATGTACCCGGCTTCTGGATATGCACATCAGACGATGCAGATGGCTGCTTGTTGCTCGAGGCCGTGCTTTTGTTTTGGTTGCTAGCATTGGCAGAATCATGTATACTGGGGTTGGCGGTAACAGGTTTACTGCTCGAGTCCACGGGCATCTGCTGTGAAGAATTATGAGTAGTGACAGCATTCGAAGAAGAAATGTGTGCCTGAGAGGTGACGATGAGATCAGAGGACCTCACGGCACCCGCTGAGCTGTTGGTTGGGCTCGACGCACTTCGAAAAGATGTAGATGTCGTGTTCTTGAGATCGCCTGTCTGTATGCTGGGGTCTGTAGTGGTCTGTATTGTGTCGTTTCTTTCTGGTGTGGTGATGTTGCGTAATGACGAGGCATTGATGATACCTGATGCGTGGACTTGAGTACTGGTCGATATACCTTCGCTGTTAGCAGTGGAAGTTTGCACCTCAGAGTCTGTTGACGTGGACGCTGTTGAAGTGCTCGAGGGTTCTGACCTAGGGTCAGATGGAGCTAGAACAGCAGAAGGTTCTCTCGAAGTCTCGATAGGTCGAACAGATTCCACAGCGATAGACTGATCAGCTTCCTTCGAAGACTGAAGAGGTTCCTGAGGAGGTTCTTGAGCAGGAGACGGTGATGCGTCAGGCATGACTGATTCCTCCAGGTCATCGCTAATTTCACCACGAGCCAGCTCTTCCTGATGGCGAAACTCTTCCATCATCGTAGTACCATGCACTCTGAGCAGACTGACGGGACAGTAATATTCATTACCATAGTGAGTGAAGAACTCTATCCGAAGATATCTGGCCCAGATCAGGGGTTGCTCGACCAGAAAAGCCTGGACTGAGCGGGTGTTTCTAGCCTCGAAAACACCAAGTTCTCTCCAACGATCTGCTTTGACAGGGTATCGATCAGAGACCGAGACTTTGAAGTTGCGGAATATCGAAGAGAAGAATTCATAATTGGCCAGAACGATTGTATCGATGAGAATGTCATTGCACAGTTCGACGATCAGGAATTTGTTGGAGCTCGAGCAGATGTTGAGCATGTAGCTATCCTTGTTCTCAATCAAAACAGCGTGGGCGGACTTGGATTCAGGGTTGGACTTGAGCACAGTCGCGGCACAATCGAATGAAGCGTAATTGGAGCGTTCTTTACAAGTCTTGCCAGCATCCTTGCTTCGAAGAGTTTGCTCAGAGGCGACAGTAGGCTGAGCACTAGCAGTTGATGACGAAGAAGTATCCTGTCTTCCAAAGCCGCCAAAGTCCAATTCAATCTCCGAGTCTTCACCAAGAATATCGAGGGCGTGGTCGATCGGACGTGGGTTGCGAGGTTTGTCCTGTCCGGAATTGGACTTCTGGCCGACATGATCAGGCGACTGACCAACCTTGGCCAAGTTTTGATTCTTCCATTCTTCGAATGACAGGAAGTTGGCATTGTCCAGTGGTGAGTCGGTCTCAAACTCGGCTTCGGGCTGCGTCGAAGAAGAGCTATGGGTCTCCGTTGAGGTGGAAGGTGGCTCCTCCGGGGCAAGGCTGCTTGATAGAGGGTTTGAATTCGTAGTGGAAGGGGTAGGTGTGACGGTAGGGGTGAGACTGATGGTCGAGTTTGAGGTCGGTGTCGAGCGGCTTAGACACTGTTGGGGTAATGAGTGTGTAATGTAGTTGACCGTGCCAGTACGGCATGTGGTCTGGCGTAGATCGGTATTGCGCGCATCTTGTGTTGAAGAGATGACACTGTTGATAGTGCTGTTGCTGATGACGATAGGGCCAGATGTCTTGTTGGTCTCATATTGCGCCGAAGCGAGGTAGAAGAGAGAAAACAGCAGCGCCGCCAGTGCTCTGCCGTTTCTGAATGCCCGCTGCATCTCCTAGGCGCATTCTTCTGCAAGTCAACGGGATGCGTTGTAATAATACATGAAATTTGTCGCGCTTTCTGGACCGTTCTGCCTTCTGCATCGTCACTTCCATTGCGAATGTGGGGAAAGCACCTGTCAAGACTCAAACGGACCCGATCGACTTGAAGCCTTGACCTCAGCTTGTAGCCTCAACTCAGTCATGAATCGCTCGTAATATTCTTCTAAGGAAACGACAGAATGGCTCTGATAGCCTGAGAAATTGTACCAGAGTCGTGCGTCCCCCATGCCATGTTGATAATAGACCGCCCAACGCCGCGCAAAACAGAGAGCCATGGCTCACCGTCGCATCCATAACCCACAACCAACCAACCCGAACCCGAAGGAAATACATATAAAGGGCCACTTGCCCTGAAACTAGTGTTACAGCCCTTCCTCGCCGGCCTGGCACACTTTGATACCCTTGCCCCATTCCGAGTTCAGCACTTGGTGTGCACTGATGCGTCTGCTGGCATTGGGATCCAATATCGAATAGATGACATTTCTGCATCGCGCCTGGGAAGCATGGGTTAGTAATCGTCCTTATTTTAATCGTCAAGAACAACTTACTCTATGCAATGACTCGATTGGTCCATAGCCAGCGTCGCTCTTGCGACCTTGCACGTAGTTCTCGTAGAATTCATCTTCGTCCTTGTTGGCCACGCGCCACAAGTGTCTGCCAGTTCTCATGGCCATATAGATGACACCGCATGCCCAGACATCTACTGCGCGAGGGTCAAATTCCTTGTCTGTGTACTCTTCTGGCGCGATGTAAGGCGCACTGCCGCAAAGACCTGCTGTCATGTGCGGTTCTGTCTCCCAGGCCATGCGGAAGCACTCGCCGTTGCCAAAATCTGTAATCTTGAGGGCGCCGTGCGTCGTGAGCAGAAGGTTCTCCGGTTTCAGATCGCGATGTGCTACTCCCATCTCGTGGATATATTCTACACCACGCATGAGCTGCAGGAAATAACAATCCGCCTCGACAACTTCCAATTTGCCGGCAGCGAGGACTAGCGAGTAGAGATCTCCGCCGGCGCAAAATTCCATGACTTCGCAGTAGTCGCCCTTTGCATCAGTGAGCAAGTCGAGGGTGTGGATGACATTGGGGTGTCTCAAAGAAGATGAGATACAAAACTCCGAGTTAAGGCGTTTGCTGTACTTCTTCGAATCTTCTTGAGGTCTTCGGCGGAACTCCTTGACGGCATACAGTTGCTCATGTTTCGAGTCATTCGGATCCACCTTGTGCGCTATCCTGACGATACCAAAAGCACCACGGCCGACGATTTCTTGACACTTGCCGTATTTCTGAACAAGTGTTGCGGTACCGGCAGGTCCGTTCTTCTGGTCCGAGGCAACCCGGTTCTTTTCGTTTTTCAGCTGGTCCACCCAACTTGCCATGAGAGACAAGGGCTGTTCCTCGTGATGCTCCTTCTTCTTGCCTCCAAGGAAGTCGCGAACCATGTCCGTTAGCTTCTCCTGTCGTCGGGCGCTCTTAAGTTGATGATGGTGAGCACCGTCTTCGTCGATCCAGAAGCGACGATGTTGAGCAGGAAGACCTTCGACTTCCTTCTTTTCCTTCTTCGCATCACTGCCACTTCTCGAAACTGTTCCCGCCAGTCTAGCTTTGTCGGTCTGAGATGATTGCCTAGAAGGGTTTGCCGGTCTGATGGGCTTGGGAGGCATGATGGCTTCAGCCTCGGGTTCTTCCACTGCGGTCTCAGGGACCTTGTCGGCAAGTTTCTCCTTGATCGAAGGCTCCCGCGAAGACTCATTGGTATCCTTAGCCGAGAACATGCGACTTAGTCGGGAGGTGAAGGTAGGCTTCTTGGGCGGACCGGCTGGGCGCACATCGCCATTGAGAGGGGATTTTACGGCGGCGGCGGCCAAGGAGGTCTGTGAGCTGACCGAGGAAGGATTCGAAGGGGTGACTGAAGGTGATGTCTGCTGAGACTTGAAGTCCTCAGTAGCGACGGCCATGGTGGAAGGATACAAAGACGACGTGACGTCGATGGATGGTTAAATGGATGAGGCAGGAGGCCGCGGAGGCCGATCGTTTTCGCGTTCAGACAGCAAAGCCGGGTGTCAGACGGGCGCAGTGTATGGATTTAGATGTCGTTGGTGATGCTGGACAATGCTGAAGGGCGTGGCCACAGAGACTGAATTGTGGCTGTGACGTCTAGTGCTTTCACTGCTGACAAACTTCGGGCGCGACGAGAAGCGGAACGCAGCCAACTGACCGAGCCAGAGCCAAGCCCCAAGGCAAGCAAACGTATATGTGGACGAGAGGATAGCCAAAGGCGCCGCTCTTGGTGGAGGTAGGACCAGAGAGAGAAGGTCGAGCAGGCCAAGCGGTAAGTCGGTCGGCAATGGGGTGCTTGAACTGAAGAAAATGCAATCGCGCTTTCCCACTTTACGGAGACTGATCGTGGCCGAAAACCGCTCATGCTTCTTTTGCCAAGCAATTGTCTACATTTCACCTTCCCGTACGAGGGGTTTGACGACAACCGACCGCTGACCGCCATCGCTAACCATCTTTGGACTCGAGCATCAAATGTCGTTTGGCCCTTTGCTCATCTCGTTGCTGCCGCGCAATCTCAGCCTGATGCTGGGCCAAAGATATTGAGGGTAATACACATGGCGTGCATACCGAGATACCTCATGCTCTCCACATTTCAGCAGAAAGCGGGTGTGAATTGTCAAAGGCTGCTGCGTCATCGAGGATCCATCTGCCACTGAGATCAGAGCAAGACATGGAAGTCAATAAACTCAACTTCGATGTGGCAGTACCGTCTTCATCCACCGGACACCGCTGCCCCCGAGGGCTTCATTATACATAGTCTATCGTGTCCTAGCCGTAGGCACACAAATTCTCCTCGGGAATAATTGCATCGATCAAGAGCGACAGTCAAGTTGAAGTCAAAACGCTGTCGCATCAATCCGCTCGCTAATTGCTTGCCTACTCAACCCTGAACTTGTCTCCGTACCACCCCTATTGCCAACTTTCCTACCATTCACCTGATGCGTTAAGTGGCACCGCTGTCCTGCAGTTTGCCGACCCGAATATGCATCTCTCTGCTACGATCTACATCATGTGTCTGCGAGGTACCGTAATCGCATGTGTACGTGGAGATATATAAGGAGTGAGAAAATCGCGCAAAGGCCTCGCCCTTGTCCTTCCAATGCGACGTGTCGGCTTGTTGCATATCTAATGAGCGGTCGTCATCTTCACCTTCACCTGATCATCAATCACCAACCTGTTTTCTAGATCCTCTCGTGTCCTAGTAGTCGGCACGTGGTCGAGCTTTGAGCTGTCAGATGTCGCCGATGATTGTGTCTGGATGCAAGTCTTCTCACACCGCCATACTCGCTCCCTAGGCAGTGTCTCCTATGTCTATCTTTCGTAACAGCATGCTAGAGTGTTATCTGTTCATCACTGCTCGGATTACGCAAACAATAATCTCGGAAGCACGAGGCCATATAAATTGGCTCTTGGCTTGTTAATGATTGCTGCTTCTAATTTATGTAGCTTAGCAATGGTTGTCCAGATATGTCCATCCGAACTTCTCCCTCATAAAAACAAGTGTTTTCTCGTATCCGACCCCGTATTCTTGTGGAGCATTACAACCTTCCGCGGCGCCCTCATCCTCGACGTACTCGATTGTACTTTACAAAACTTGTCAGAAGGTTCCTGAAGCGATCTTCCTCCTAGGCAGTCTTTCTCTTCTTCTTTGAGGATGTGGGTGCCAGGTCGCTGGCGTCGGCGCCATCTTCGTCCTCGTCCGATTCGATAATGGCCTTCTTCTTGCGTTTGGAACTGCCGTTGCTGCTTGCTGTATGACTGTCGGCCAAAGGATCGCGCTTTCTTGCAAGCTCGAGGAGGCGATCGTAGTCTGCTTGGATGTTTTCAATGGTTGCTTCCAGTCTCTCTACACGCTCTTCGGGGNNGTCCAGTTGTGAGAGTGTGTCGCGGTTAGAGATGTAGAGGCGCTGTTTGACATACAGTCGCCAGAAGTAGTAGGCACGATCCATCTCGTTGGTGCTCTTCTCCTTTCTTGAGATTCGTTTTACCGAGCGGTTCAGTTTGGGTATCTTTGAGTATGTCTCCATCTCGATCAGTCTTCCTAGTTGACGTGGCATGATCTTGCTAGCCTTCTTGATGCGAGCCTTTGCATCGCCTGAAACGATGTCGTCCACTGGAATGTTCTCGTTCATCTTGAGCTTCGCGCTGTCAATCTTCGTGTCGATCTTCAAGGCCGCGAAATCATCGATTTTGTTGCGAAGCCAGAGCAAGTCGCAAACATCACGCATGTCATCAAAAGCCTCGTTGGGATCTTCGACTGTTAACTCGCAGATGTTATCGGGAGTGATGAGACTTTCGAAGACGGTGTTGTAAAGTCTAGCGCCATGTCCGGCTCCTTGATGGGTTGGTATTATCAGGAACTGTGAGATGCGCTCCCTGCTAGGCAGCTCAAGGGGAGTTCTGACAATGTCGTTGTAGACATCGTTAGTCTCCGAGTTCCATCGGCCGAGTATCGCGTCCATGTCTGAATTATCGTGTTGGAGGAGAGCAAGATCGTGCTTTGCAGGGTCGCGGCGGTCAGGTAACGTGAATACGCGGTAGGATGTCGAGAATCCAACGAATGTGTAGCATGATATGTCTGCCTGCTTCTGATCGACCTGGTAGAGCATAAAAAGCGTCCAGCGATTTGCAACCCAAGGCTCGTCGAGCTCAAGAATAGTACCGCCTTCGATGAACATAGGTACCAGGATCTGGGCGTTCTCCATGATTTCTCGAGCGCCCTCGTCGGCTAGAGAAGCCTTCCAGATCTCGAACTTGTAGCCTTCATGTGTGTAGCCGTGCAGGCGTCTGCCTGGAGGTCTGAACAAAGCAGCGTCCGGATCTGCGAGAGCTTCGGTTCGTGATTTTGTAAAGGCAGATTGGGGAATGAAGTCTTCGAGGGCTCCGCGGATATCAGATGCTTTGACGTCGCCGAGCTGAGCGAATTGTTCAGTCCAGGAGATGTCCATGTGTGGTCTCAGATTGTGTGCGGCCAGCGACAGCGACATGTCCAGTCCTTGGTAACCAAAGACAACCTCTTCCTCGCCAAATATCGGATATGTGTGAGCCGGTGCGAAGTCTGATACGACCTTGTTGCCGCGGTAGAGCGAGATATGAAGCGCATCGTTGCTGCTGGTCGACCCTGGGATGCGATTAGCTCGGTGCTGCGATGCATGGGGAAGCTGTGCAGATACTCACATNTCTTCTACCTGATCTTTGATGGTAGAAACCAACTCGGCGTTTTCTGAACTCTCCGAATCTGACATTTTGATGATAGGAGTAGAAAACTGATGTGCACAGGTTGTCGGATGGTCGTCGGATGGAAAGTCAGACAGATGCAAACGCGGGAGACGTGTTGACGCGATGGCGTGAAATTGAAAACGCACGGACGCTCAATTGACTCACTCGAACTCCGACTATCGAACTTCGAACTCCTTCACATTCTCTCCATCTCATCATCAAACACTTCAATCATCCCCAAGCTGACCATAGTCTACATGGTCACTCTGAGACCTGTCCCATTACATCTTGTGACCTACCAAGCAGTGAACTGGACAGTATGTGAGCTGTTCGTATGCTTAAAAATTGGCAATAATGTCTCGCTCCCGAATGGCCTGCTCTTTTGATCTTGAGCCTTTCATGTTTCTTGTCCTTGATGCCTACGTTCTTATGGTAGAGTAAGTCCCTTTCTAGCCACAAATCGATATTCTGTGACATGTAGAGTTCCCTCTTTCTCTCAAAAGCAGTAAACAGCCTGCATTTAACACTGTCCTATCACACATTCTTTCCAGTCTTCAAGTCAGGTCACATCCAGATCCCTAGAAAGAGATATGCTGTAATGCGGTCAGTACTCAGCCGCAGGGTCGTTGTATTGACCTTTGAGCTGTTTGTATGGTATGTTCTTTGCTACAGACAGCTAGCCTGGGGCAAACATCAGACAACCTAAGCTACATATATGCTGCTCAGATGCGCCAATGTAATGGCATGTTCGACAGTTCTATTCATCTTGATAGTCTACGATGCTTTCACAAAGCTCGGACTTGCGGAACATGTCTAATCGAGATGTGCGTCGTGGCTCACCGCGGCGTCAATACTATACCAATACACACAACCAACAGCGAAAACCATCCACCCGTCATCGAGACAACACGGAGAGAGACAGTAGTAAGTGATATCTCATGATATCGTCCGGGCCACCATCGAGCTGATCTTTGGTTAGTGTCGTTCCGTGAACGAAGCGATCGCAGCATCTCTCCTAGATCCACTCGAACCTCGTCGCCCAACCTTACACTACGCCATGTCCAGACTCGTCGTCGCAGTGCTCGTAGTGGCTCACCAAACAGAAACGCTCGCAGCGTTTCTCCTAGAGGTGGTCGCATTACCCCCTTCTGCGCCGAGACTCCTTCATCGTCGACCGCCAAGTTCATCACATACTCCAAATTTGACCTTACTAATTGTCTGNCAGGCTCCCAGGTCGCGCATCCCGTCAAACCTAAAGACTTCCGCGTTCCTCTCACTTGCTTCTTCTGGTACCATACAGGAGACTGCAAGAAGTCTGACAATAAGTGCCTGTAAGTCAGAACATTCATGTAACATCACCTTCGCTCTGCAGCCATGTTTACATTAAACCACATTTCACGTAATAATTGACCGAAATCATACAGCTATGCACACTATCACACCGGTACCGTCGCAGAGCCACCCATCTCTTACAACGGCAGAGCTATGGGTGGAAACAGAGCCAAGAAGATGATTGGCAACATCAGCCAGCGCGAGGAGGAACTCAGCATCCGCGGCGCAGAAATCTACGATGCCGAGCAACGCCTTGCTGCCGCGCAGTCCGATCATGCAGAGCAGGTCAACGTGATCACTGCACGCCAACAGGATGTCCAGCAGCGCGAACAAGCTGTTCAACAGCGTGAGCAGGCGGTCCAGGAACTTGAACAAGCAGTCCAACAACGCGAGCAAGCAGTTCAACAGCGCGAGCAAGGTCAGCAGCATACTCAGGCTCTTGCGGACCACGAGAGAGCTGTCTTCACCCGCCAACACAACAACTACGAACGCGAGCAAGCTTTCGCTGCTTTCGAAGAAGGAATGCTTCGCCAGCTCGAAGGCAACTACACTAGCATTGCCTCAACTGTCAATCAGATGCGCAGAGCTGTAGGTAATGCACAAGGCATCCTCACCAACCGCCGGCAGCAAGTGCTTTACCACGAGAACTTCCCTAATGTCGCACAAGGCACTCAAGGACAAGGCAAGTGAAACCATTCAATCGCATCAGGCGAGTCAGTAACTGACACATGAACAGGCAGATACGGTGGTTCCATTGCCATTGATGGCGCGATCGGTGCACTTGGAGGTCTGGATCAGATGCTTGCACAAAGCGAAGTCACGCTCCTCAGCCAGATCCACACCGCTATTCGCCGCCATTAGCTTGCGGCCTCGGCTATGGCAACTAAGTTTGGCAAGAGATACTGCGATCAAGAATAACCGGCATGGCCTTCTCCATTGATTGTTGGCAAGGAGGATGTTGGAGAAGGACGAAGAGAACTGCTCGATGAGACACCAAGCAGCAGTGTTGTTATAGAAGAGGTTGAGCAATCGTAGGACTACCTTCGGATGAATTAATAAGTAACAGCCTCTTGCCATGTCCTGATTACAGTGCAACTCAGCACTCGAAAATGACAGGTGTGACAAGCAGCACGGCTAATTGCAAAGTGAGAAGAGTCTATGATACATGAACTATAATACAGCTGAGACAAAAATTGTGATCTAGAACCCACCACTCATCTCAGAAAGCGCAAGCTTCATCCTCTGCGGATTCATCTTTTCGAATCGGTCAACAGTCATGACAAATGTACCTCTTCCTTGAGTCAAACTGCGCAAATGCTTCAGATATCCCACCATCTCCTTGAGAGGAACTCTTGCCACAATTTGACGCATCTGGTTGCCTACACTGACAGATCCCGCGCCAATACTTGACGCCGATCCGCCAAACGGATCGGGTGGTGAGTATATCCTTGTCGGATCGATTTCCATGTCATCTTCTGAAGCGCCGGTTTCGTCGTCAGCACCGAGGGAAACCACTTGCCCTCCTCGGGCAGAGCTGATATCGTGAACAACGCTGCCTAGACTAGGTTCGTCTACGGTGATTGTGACATTCATGACGGGCTCCATCAGTGCAGTACCGGATCCAGCATCTGCTGCCTCGCGCAGAGCTTTCTGCACTGCAAGACGAGCCGCTGAAGAAATGGCAGCAGCAGTGGTGGTTTGGAAGAGATGTTCGGAAGGGTCAAAGGTAATGGTAATCTTGGTAGAGTGCAGAGGGTAGCCATGCGAGGGACCTCGCGCAAGTGCTGCTGTGACACCAGTCTGCATGGCTGACTGAAGCATCTGCATCGGCAGGGTTGAGGGTAGAGGTGGTAGTTCAGAGTCAGTCGCCGAGCCATCTGGGTACAGATTAGGAGTCTTCAGAATCAGATAATTGTTGTCCAGCAGGCCGAACACATGCGTATGTTCGTCCGCTGCATCCAGTTCCGACTCCTCGAAAGGTATCACGCTTGCGGTACATCCAGCTTTGGATGCTTTTCCAGCCACTTCTCTGTCAAAGATAGCAGACGCATCTGAAGAAGGAGCAGAGAGCATCTCGCGGTATCCAATCTGGATGTTGCCGATCCTGGCCTTGGCCTTGAGATCGTTGATGAGCCTGTCGCGAGCAATTTCCAGATGAAGTTCGCCCATGCCAGCCAAGTGGGTTTGTCCACTCTCGGGGTCCTCTCTCACATTCAAGCTGGGATCTTCGCGAAGTAACAGTGCCAACGTCTCAGAGATGTGCTTCTCCTCGGCTAAGCTGTTCGGCTCTACACTTGTGAAGAAGACGGGTGGAGGAACAGTAATCGGCCTTAATTGGAGAGTGTTGATCGGCGAAGGCGGGCCAACCTTCGGGTTCACTCCGCTGTACAAGATGAGCGTGTCACCTGTACGCGTAGACTTCAAACCAGGGATGACTCCAATCTGACCTGCTTCGATTGAGGCGATCTCGACAGCCTCATCGGCATACATTCTCAACAAGCGAGGTGCTTTTTCAGTGATGCCAAGATTTGTGTTGAAGAGAGGAGCGTTCTTTGTGATCGATCCTGAGTATACTCTAACGTATACCAGAACACCTCGACGAGGATCGGTGACGACCTTGAAGGCCAGAGCACAAGCTTCAAGACTCTTGATGATGGACATGTTCTTGCTCGCAGCCAAAGCTTTGGTCTTTTGTTGCTTCTTGGCCTCGATCATTGCAGGCAAAGCACTCTTCCCCGAGAGGAGGTCGTTCAGCCCGTACTTGGAAGGACCAACGCTAGCCTCGGGATCAGGTCGCTCCTGCGGTGAAGGAAGAAGGTCCACGACCGCATCCAGTAGCGGCTGAACACCGACATTACGGAAGCTCGCACCCGAAAATACGGGCACAAGTTTTTGTGGCTGCTGCAGAGTACATCTTCTGAGACTTTCTGTAATGTCGACAGATGGGATGGCCAGATGATCTTCATCATACTCGAGAAACTTTTCGACCATCTCATCGTCATGTTCGCTGAGAAGTTCAACCAAAGCTGTTCTTGCTTTCTTGATCTCTTCTGCGAAAGCAGAGTTGTCGGCTTCCAGGTTTTTGAGAGAATGCACTTTCAAAGTCTTGCCATCACCTCCTTCTTCATACAGCAAAGCACGAAGACCTACTGCATCGCCAACGCCCTGGAGTTTGAGGTCACCAGGTCGCCACCATGGAATTTGACATAATGCTGGCCAGACACGAAGACGAGTGCCTATCTCGGAGATGGTCCTCGCGAAGGCGGCGCCCTCACGATCGAGCTTGTTCACAAACAAGATCTTGGGGATCTGGTACTGGGTAGCCTGGGTCCACACTTTTTCGGTCTGCGCTTCAACACCAGCGACTCCGTCCAGGATGCAAACAGCACCATCCAAGATACGTAAGGATCGGAGGACCTCAAATGTGAAATCGGCGTGTCCAGGGGTGTCTATCAGATTGATGTTGTGGCTTTGAGTGGAGCGTGGCAAGACAACCTTATTGGACGAGAGATCGGTAGCTGATGAAGCAGCCGGTGGCCAGGAAAAGGTAACTGCTGCTGACTGAATCGTGATACCTCTGGCACGCTCGGCAGGTAAAAAGTCTGTTACTGTGGATCCTTCGTCGACGTCTNNGAGAAAGACTCAGCACATGCATTGCACTAAAGCGAAAGCAAAGAACAGAAACTGATATAGGTACTAACCTCCTAGCCTACGAGTGAAGCCACTGTAATAGAGCATGCGCTCTGTAGTTGTGGTTTTGCCCTTTTCCATACTCAGTACCTACATTTTGCGAGAGTATACACTGCGACGTACCGCATCGATATGGGCTATAATGCCAATGTTACGAGTTTTTGATGTGGCTAGGTCGTTGCGACGAGGTGTGGAAGAGGCAAAAGATCTGGCAGTCACGGATGCAAGAGACTTAGCATTGTGGTGCACACGGCGACAAGGCCATTGTAATACGAGCAGCATCCCAGAACAAACGCCAAACGACAAGTAGATCAACGACCTGATGTAGAAACAAAAGATTACTTTTGGCGGCTTGATAAAAAGTGCGAGGCAAGAAAGCGCTGGCATGCAAGACGGACATGTTCGCGGCCCTCGGCTCTTGGCAGGTGCCGGTCCGGGGCAGCGATGTCATGGTCTCGAGCAGCTGCACCCATCGACCATGCCCGTCCAGCGACCACCGAGACCTTCACCAACCACGATGGATTATTCTTCGGCCATAGCCAACGACGCGGGCCGTGACCCATGGGCCTCGTCGCCCCAGCACGACCGGACCATGTTTCAACAGGCCAACAACAACCACGACGTGCCGCCTAGCAACTCGCTGTCGCACCAGCCTCCGGCTCCTGACGCCGATGACGAACAACGTGACGAGCACTCCCAATTGCCTGNNCGCAACACAACCAATACCCCTCGCAACAGCCCCAACCGCAGTCCTACGACAACAACTCGACCCGCTCGGAGCCTCAGCGCTACCACCACGCTCGTCCGCAACACCCCCCCTCAGCAGCTCAGCCATCAACAGCTACCGCCCCAAAACTACCAGCAACAGCAACAACAGCAGCAGCAACAGCCGCAACAACCGCGAAAACAGTACAAGCTTCAGGCCAAGATTACTGCTTTGGAGCGTACCGGTCGCAAGGATCCCGTCTTGCGCTTCGACGTCTATGTATGCCGCTTCCTGAGAAGTCATGTCTGGGATATAGCTGACNACCTTACGCAGACCAACCTGCCCAAGTTCCGTACCACCCAATTCCGCGATGTGCGACGCACCCATTCCGAGTTCGTCAAGTTTGCCGACCACCTCATCTCGTCGAACCCCGAGGCTTTCGTACCTGCCGTTCCTCCTCCGCTCACTGCTGCTGGTGTTGGTACCGAAGAGGATGAGGTGCGCGTCAAGGCTTCGATGCAGCGCTGGTTGAACACTGTGTGCTCCAACCATGTCCTTATGCGGGACGAGGAGATGGTCTTCTTTGTCGAGAGCGATTTCGGCTACAGCCCTGTCGTGAGGCGCAAGCAACCTGCTACGGGTGTTCGTCGCAAGTACATCAAGCAATTCGCTCCTCNNCCCCCTGATGATACTCCCGAGCTTCTCGAGGCCCGTCCCATCGTCAAGTCCTTCTATCTCGGTACCATGGATCTTGGCCAAAAGGTCGACAAGGTTGTCAAGTCGCGCAGAGGTAGGCAGCACGATACTCCTGGCATTGAAACTGTATACTAATTTGCACAGNCTCTCGGTCTGGCAGAATCCGATTTTGGTGTCAAGATGGGCCACATGCAGGTCCAGGAAACACATGCAGGCCTGGCCAATGCCTACAGGAAGCTAGGTAAGGTCATCCAGGCCGTTGGCGATTTCCACGCTGCCCAAGGCACTGCCGAAGCCACCACTTTGGCCGACCCCCTGCAATACCACTCCAGCGATGCTTTCATTGTCAAGGAAACCCTTACCAACCGTCACATTCTCTTGCGCGAGCTCATCCAAGCGCAACAATCCACTCGCAGCAAGACAAGCGCTGTGGACCGACTGAAATCTTCCACCTCGGTCAAGCGCGACAAGGTCGACGAAGCTCTCGCCGCTCTCGAGGAAGCCAGGGCTCAAGAGTCTCATCTGAAGGAAAAGACGGATCGCGTGACTGAGAACCTCGTCCACGAACGTCGCGCCTGGGCCGCTCGCACAACCTCTGATCTTCGCGCCGCTATACGCGAATACGTCATGCGCGAGATCGAGGCAGAACGCCGTACCCTGGCCACGCTCGAGCAGGTCCGCCCAGACGTCCGCAACATTGACGCTTCAGGCGGTCTCTCTCGTCTCGGTCGCGAAGCCCACCCCGTGGTCCGCCGTACCAGTCTTGCCAGCAGCCAGGGACCCAAGGGCGACGCATGGAGCGGTGTCCCACGCAGACCCGATGGCCTAAACCGCAGCATCAGCGGCAGCTTCGCCGGCACAGGCACTGTCCCCGAAGACGCAGAGGCCGAGCAAGCCGAAGAGGCCACGACGGGCAGGAAGCGAGCCACTAGTAGTGCGAGCAGTCTGGGCCGTTTGGAGGAAGACGACGAAGATAGAATCGACGCGAGGAATGCTGCCAGTCGACTTGCACAGACGACGTTCTAAGAGGTCTTGGTTTGCAGGAGGCGAAGTACGGCATTGTTTGGTGTAACTTGCCGTGTTTCCGTCTCCACTTCCTTCTCCATCCTCGCCCTTTGTAGATGTAGTAAATGTTGAATTTTCCTCTCATGTCTTTGCCATCCATCATGTCAGGGAGATCAATCTTTATCAAGTAGATCGGCACGGTGATAGTAAGAAGATGGTCAAGTTAATGAAACCCAATCGCTCGGGTGATGATGTTTTGGTATTATTCTCCAAGCTCCCAAACGCATGTTGAAGTATTGGTCAGGTCATGAAAAGGTCGTCTAGATACATAAAAAGGGGGTTGAAAGAAAAAAAAAGATATCGTTGCTTGCTTCCTCACACACATTTCACTTTTACCAAGCCGTGATGTCGCCAACCTCGGCTTCTCCAAAGGTCGAAGTCTTTACTGCTTGGTCGCCTTCAACAACATCATTGCTGACGAACGTTACAGGTTCTCTGGCCATGACGTCTGGCAAAACCTCGTGCAAGAAGTCCAGCACGAAACGATTGACCTGTTCGAATTCGAGCAGGAAAGCATCGTGGCCTTCAGGACTGTCAATGTTTTTCAGCACAGAGTTTGGTATGGCGGCGGCGAGTTCTTTTTGCTCGGCATAGGTGAAGAGGCCGTCGGATTGGATACCGAGGACGAGGGTTGGCTGCTCGATGAGGGCGAGGGCGTCGGCGACAGGCGTGGTGGTTTGAGAGTCTGGGGGCAGGCGGCCGCGGGAGACATCGTGGGTGTCTAGTTTGCGGGTGATTGCAATATAGCAGTTTGCGTCGAAGCGCTTGATGAACTTTTCGCCTTGGTAGCGGAGGTAGGATTGGGCGGAGAAGTAGGTGGGTGTACGTTTGAGTCTGAGGCTGGGAGGTGCGGCGTTGGTGGGTAGGGGTGTGGTGCCGTGGAATTGGGGGTCCATGATTGTTTGGGGAGGGGTGTTGGCTGGAGGCAGGGATTCGGTTGAGGTGGATAGGTCGGCGGAGCTGTTGACGCGGCTGTAGCGAGGAGAGCCGGCGTGCTTGTGGCCTTCGTTGTGGATGGCAAAGTGGTCGCCCGAAGGGGTCGAGGGTCTGAAGGAGCCATTGATGTTCTGTCTGCGTGAGGGATCGGGTGTGTTGCGGCCGAACCTGGATTCGAACGAGTCACGACTGCGGTAGGTCAAGAGTGCTGCCATGCGAGCGGCTGAGAGGCCGGTGGACGGAGGGTCTTCGAAGGTGTAATAGCCGTCGTCGTACTTGGGATCGCTGTAGATGCTCTGTCTCTGGGCCTCTCCCCAGCTGATACCCCAGGCGCTGTACTGAGCCGATGTGGCAATGGGCACGATGCAGCGCACATAGTCCTTGCCAAAGTAGGCGAACTCGAGCACGAGCATGCCACCCATGGAGCCACCAATCACAGCAGCGATTTGCTTGACACCCAGATCGTCCAGAACGAGCTTGAAGATGTTGACATCGTCTCTGACGGTGGTCAAGGGGAACTCGGGACCGTAGTGCTCATTTTGTGAGTTGCCGTCCTTGCTGGTGACCGGACTTGCACTGCCGTAGGGGCTGCCCAGACTGTTCAGACAGACGACGAAGAAGCGCGACATGTCGAAAGCCTTGCCGGGCCCTCCAAGCAGAGGACCCCACCAGTCGCCAACGTCGGCACTACCAGTCAAGGCATGGCAGATGACCATGGCATTGTCGCAGGCGGGCGACAGGGTGCCATACGTCTTGTATGCTATCGGCACATTATAAAGGACACCACCGCTCTCGAGGCTGAATTCCGGGATGACGGCTATCTTTTGTTCGGGGATGAGTTTGGAGTATGGATTCTCGGGTTGCGATGTCACTCGTTCTGTGCTTGTGTTAGTCAATGCAGCTGCCATTGTCGTCTCACGACATACCGTATGTCATCGTGGTCGTAAATCAAGGATGGATTGATAGTTGAGGAAACAGAAGCTCTGGTTAGAGTTGGCCATTGTTGTTTCAACTCACCTATGAGTCTAACCACTGGCCCTTTTTTCTGCCCGCAATCGCCAGTCGCTCGTCATTGGCCAAACACCGATATCGAAGGACCCCCACACTCTCTGCCCCACATTTGCCAAGATGATCTGAATGATGGGACCACCCTGCCTTCCAATCAATGCTACGACAAACATGCTTGAAGGATGCCGTCAACAACTGTGTCATCCTGTAGACGATCAGTGAGTACTGAGCCTCATTCAACGCTCACTATCTGCGTCTCGGAATTGTTGTTGACGACAAGGGCAGAATGTACAAGCGACTCGCGTTTCGGGTGGAATTCACTCATCAAACATGAATTGGATAACCACAATGAGCTGAGACATATAACAACACCAACAATGCTACAAGCAAAACATCTAATGGGAGTCTGCACGACCACATAATTCCCTTGTCATCTTCGATATAAATGCCCAGATATCGTTGTGACTACACAGTCGGAGGTGATCTAGAAAAGTAGAGACTCACCTGGAAAGTGCTACGTCATCGATATACCGTTCGATCCAGGTCAACACCAAACACAATCCACCTTTGCTTTCACATTCAACATACATGCTCTTCATATCAACAATCGTGAACACTCATCACTTCTTTACTCGACAACTTATCAGCTCACCTGCCAAACACCGACTCAGCAGCCGAATCATGAGCACATTCACACTGCCGGGCTCGTCACCCGAGTGTCCGGTCCACCTCACGAAAGACCTTACAAAAGACCAACTACTATCCTTCCCTGCTTTCAAGAACTGGTCCGAGACACTCCAGCACTCGCTAAAGCAACAGGAATCGAAGAACCACACATTCCACGAAGCACCCTACAAGCTCAGACGCATCGACATTCAAAGCGTGGACTTCTTTGGTGGTGAGCGCATTGGTTTCATCAAATTCAAGGCAGAGGTATCAAACGACGATGGAGAGAAGTTCCCTGGCTCTGTGTTTCTGAGAGGAGGTAGTGTCGCGATGCTAGTAAGTTACACAGCATGAGGTACGAGGACACAGCATTTGTTGACAGATTCACAGCTTATTCTGCAACCTGACGATGTCGAGGAAGGTTCTGAGAAGGACAAACATGTCATATTGACCGTACAACCTCGTATACCAGCCGGATCGCTTTGCTTCTCCGAGCTTCCTGCAGGTATGCTCGACGACGCAGGTACGTTCTCCGGTGGTGCTGCCAAGGAGATTGAAGAGGAGACTGGCCTCAAGATCAAGGAGGACGAACTTATCGACTTGACAAAGCTCACGTTCGGCTCCGAAGAGGAGACTCAAGACGGGGAGAAGCTGCAAAAGGCAATGTATCCAAGTGCTGGAGGATGCGATGAGTTTGTCCCTGTCTTCTTGCACCAGCAGCGCATCCCGCGTAAACAGCTCAAAGATTGGCAGGGCAAGCTGACTGGACTTCGTGATCATGGCGAGAAGATCACATTGAAGGTGGTGAGATTGGAAGAGCTGTTCCGTGAGGGAGGCAGGGACAGCAAAGCATTGGCTGCGTGGTCAATGTACGAAGGGTTGAGACGTGAGGGCAAGTTGTGATGAGGAGAGCAAGCCAGATTTCCATATTCTGGTGGTCATGATGATTAGTACCTGCCTTGTGCCAACTATCTTAGATACTTAACCACACAGGCAACGAAGCCTAGACGTGTTCATATTTCAAGCTCCGAAAGAAAACAGATGATTCAACGCAGATGCTCCATGTTTTCCCATGACCTCAGTGAAAGTGGCAGCCTTGCGACGACGAAAGCGACCATGGTCTGGTGTTGTCGAGGGCGACCGGATTAGGCGGATAATGACAGTGGACTTATCAGGTGCAGGTGTTAATTCCGTGATGCCCCGCTCACAGGGCACAACCCTGATGATTCACCCACCGCTTTGTCTTGCATCTTCTGTTTCTCTCCTCCACCTCACCTCATTACACCACTGCTGAACGCTACCAAGCACAAATATGTACAAATACATCCATACCGCTCTCGATTCAATACGCGACTACGCCAAACCCTCGACCACGTCCAACTTCCGCGAGACCGGCAAGCTCACACCAGAGGAGTTTGTCCAGGCTGGAGACTTCCTCACAACAAAATTCACCTCGTGGTCGTGGTCTGGAGCTGCCGCTCCCGCTCAGCGTGTCTCTCACTTGCCCGAAGACAAGCAATACCTTGTCACTCGTGGTGTTGCCTGCAAGAGACGTCTCAACGACAACTTCGCTGGCCGCGAGGGTCTCGACGACTTGGTCAAGGAGGGTGAAGCTTTCAACCCCACTGGAGACGACGACGATGGCTGGCTGAGAACTGGCGGTGACATCCACAAGCCCGAGTCCCGTCCTGGCGACATCCGCACCGTCGACGACGATGGCCATGTCGAGCAAGACAGCGGCGACTACGAAGAGGACGTCCCTGACATCGAAGACGAGGAGGACGATCCTGATGCCATCATCCGTGACCCCAGAGCTCAACATGACCCCAACGAGTGAGTCGTCGTCGTCGTCTTGTCTGAACCTCACTCAAGCCTGACTAACCTCTTGATCCAGCNNACCCTCCGCAACTACACCATCTACATCACTTACTCAACATACTACATGACTCCACGACTCTATCTCTCGGGCTACTCGTCCTCAAACGAACCTCTACCACCCCTGGCCATGATGGAAGACATTGTCGGCGACTACAAGGACAAGACCGTCACACTGGAGGACTTCAACTTTGTCTCTCCACCCATCAAGACCGCCTCCATCCATCCATGCCGCCACGCCAGTGTCATGAAGATCTTGCTTGACCGTGCCGATGCCGCTCTGAAGTTGCGTATCCAAAAGATGAAGAATGGTCAAGAAGTTTCCAACCAAGGCATGGAGGGCTTGGTCGATCAGACCAGTGGACTGAAGTTGGATGAGGAGAAGAAGACTGATGACAAGAGAACCGACGAGAAGAAGAATGACGAGTGGGAGGTCTTGACTGATGATGGCAAGGATGACGAAGTTGCCATTCGCGTCGATCAGTATCTTGTCGTCTTCCTCAAGTTCATGGCCAGTGTGACTCCCGGCATCGATCACGACAACACCATGGCCATGTAGACGAGGAGACCAGTTTGCCGTAGTTTGGCTGACGCTCACTCATACAATAGGAGTTTTTCTTTTCTAGTGTTTCTGATCATGGGACATCTCAGATGGACTGAGACGGGGAGTTGGGGGTTTACGAGATTACGGCATTTCCATTCACCAAACACAACCCCCGTATAGTACAAGTTTCACAAAGCAGAGAACAAATTCCAGATACCCAGCTTTATAATGATACTCTGTTTGACATTTCCATCAATCTATCTGCCGTACAACATGATGCATCTCCAAACTCCAGGCCGTCAAAGTCATTACATCAAAACCACAAACACCTAAACCAAGGAACCCCAAACAATCATTTCCATCTAAAACTGCCACCGTCTATTCCTCACCGGCCTCAAAACCTCTACAATGTCACTTCCTTGCTCTTCTGCCTTTGGTCTCTTCTGACCAAGAAGCCTTTCCAACAAACTCTTTCCCCCGATAACGCCATGCAAACTTCTCTGGCGAACAGCCATGGTGCGCTCATCAAGCATACCCTGGAACCCTTGCTCTTTTACGCCATCACCAGCCTCTTTCGGTAGACGAGAGTGATAGGATGGTGTAGGATGTTGACCGATTTCGGCGTGTATGTCTTTCTAGAATTCTGGCGTTTGGGTGTCAGTATCAAAGGTTGTATAGAGAAAGAAACTGTTTTTGGAGAAAAAGGAGAGTCGAGGAAGAACACGTACTTCGGAAAGTCCTCGTTGCCATGATTTTTCTACTTCGGCAAAGGTTGTGGGTGCTGCAGAGATGGAGATGGTGAAGAGAGACAGGAGTAGTGTGAGGAAGATGAGGAGGTGGGATGGATATTCCATGTCTCTTTTGCTTGTTGATCAGAAGGCTGAAACCTTGATGGAGCGGAGGCCAAAGAAGACAACGAGAGAGAGAGAGAGAATGGCCTCACGAAAATTTGTTTGTAGAACGAAAAGCAATGGTAACCTCGACACTGAATCTTCCCCCAACCGAAAGAAGGAAGAGGAAAGAAGGAAACAAAAAGCGTCTACCAAGTATTATATAGAGCTCACCACCCCTTCTCTTTTCCAGCATGGCAGTCTCACTCATGTACATGCCTGTCTAGCCTTTCTCACTCTCAATCTGGAGACCATTGCATGAAAGAGGTCCAGGCTGACTTACCAAAAACACGGCTCTTCGATTGTCAAGCGACAGGTGGCGTTATCCTACTCAAGAATGTAAAACCACCTTCCGCGTGGAAGCAACAGGCGTTTGGCCGCGTGGAAAAGCAGATAAGAGGGAGCGAAAAAAGCTTCAGTGAGAAGCCTGGTAAGCAAGGGATGAAGTGGTAGGTCGTGAGACCCCTGAGACAGAAAAAAAAGACCTAGAACATCCTGTTCTTGTCCATTCATTCGCATATGATGCTGCTCGTGCGTGAAGCATGGTTGAAGGACAAGGGGTATCAGTATATAAAGCCGAAAAGCGAATAAGCCACAACCAAAAAGAACGCCATTTTCCAGCCATGTCTTTTTCTTCCTTTCTATGCAAGGTCATCTAGGAAATATCTCTGTGATAAAAATGTTCAAGACTCATGAGTCAGAACATGGAGCCAGCCATGTTTCTGAACAGGGAGTCGTCCTAACGTCTCCATCCACCCATCGAGCCAAGGGGTGCGCCGAAATTTGAACTCGGCTTCGTACGGAGACGGATGCCTCCATTGTCTAGAATGTCCTTGTCCTTGCTTTCGGAACTGGTCGATTCAGTCCTGTCCTTGGCCTCGTTGCTAGCTGAATCGACCTTCTCGTCGTGATCAGGTAAGGCCTCGGAAGGCTCCTCGAGAACCAGGTTGGTGCTTTGACATACCAGAGGCTGATTTTCCTCTGGATGCTCAGAGATATCTTTGAGTTTTGCGTCGAGCATATCCATGGTGAAGTTCTCGGCGCCTGGATTGCAGGGTAGTGAAGGCATGTGCAAGGGGCCCTTCAAGGGGCGATCTTCGTCGGCACCGTCATCTTGCGACATGACCTCGTTCATAAGAGTGTTTTTACGGGTTGGAGTATCGCTCAGTTTGTCTGAGCGTACGCTCACGGCAGGGCTGAAGTCACCAGGACGAGGAGCCTTGAGGGGAGTATGACCGGCATGTCTCAAGTTAGCTGGTGGTGGAGGGCTGAGGATGTTTCGAGTGGCTGGCGGAGAGGCGGGTAGATCGCCTTGTAAGACTTCCTCCAAGGAGGCATCGTCGTCAAAGACAGACGCATCTTGTAGGGTGGGTATATCGATGTGAACTGGGGCGGCGTCCCTCTTGATACGGGGTTGTTCGGGAGAAAGGCGAGAAGTATCGACTTCGGCTATGCTGGGGAGTTGAGGAGGAGCAGGCTTGACGCCGTTCTGAGGGGACATGGCAGGGCTGCGTGCCGGACTNGCAGACAGACACGAGGTCAGCAATGTGGTTATGAATGCCCAGTCGATTAGCAGTTACCTCTGGCCGTTGGGAGACTTGAGTAATGATTCGAGGGCGGTAACACGACGGTGCATCCTGTCTCGCTCCATCTGCCAGCTCTCTCGCTCGGCGACAAAGGCCTGATGTTGTAGACGTAGGGCTTCATTCAGCTTGTCGAGCTGAGCCTGCATATCATTCTCGGTGGGCGACGTGCCGACAAAGTAGGGCGAAGAGACGTGCGACAAGGACTGCATGGCCATTGGATTGAATGAGGGAGCCCAGAGTGCATCGTTGGACGTCATCTGGAAGGCCATGGGCGGCGACCTGGGCGGCACTTGCTTGGCCGCTGGTGTATCGAGAAGTACAGAGTCCATTTTTCTGGTACCTGAGAGAATCTTTTGGCGTGGTACCCGGCGTTGTGGTCGAGGCTTGTATCTGGACGTGGAGTTGGGGAAAGGAGTCGGCTATGGATTGCGGAGGTGGAGATGAATTGGATTACGGAGGTCAGACGTCGACGTGGACATTCGCGCGCGTTGATCGTTTCCTTTTGTCGAAAGACGAGCGAATCTCTTTTGGTTTCAGAGCCCAACCCGAGAGCCTCAAGGCTGCCGACCGCCAGCCAACGCCAAAGCCCATGACGACGAAGGCCCCCGGTCCCCGCCATTTCCCGCCCTCTTTTGGCTCAAACTCAGCCATCGCAGTCCATTCGTCCCTGCAGATCAAGCCAGCCAAGACTCTTCTACATCTTCTGCGTTTCGGCCTGTGGCTGATATTTACACGTCCGTCTGCACCTCTTTGACCGCCTAACCTTATCCAACCTTGACATAGTTTGCAGGAAAGCTGCCCACCACTCCATTTAATTCTCCCTCCCACCAATCATCTGTGGATGCCGTCTTCTTCGCCACCTTGATCCTGTCACCTTCACGGAACGCAAGATCTCCTGACCCCTGACCAGCAAATTCATACAGAGCCGTGACGAATTCACCCTGAGATGATGACAATCGCTTCTTTGGTGGAGGCGGCGGAGGCTTCTTCTTGCCCGTGACACTGAATGTTCCAGACGACGTGGAAGGCTTGCGCTCTCGCCCAAAGTAGTCTGACCCCTGATTCTGATGCGACGAAGAAGGCGTCAAGAATGGGGTCGACGATGAACTAGGTGTACTCGAAGCCGAATACATTGGTCGAGCTGCTCCGCCGTTGGCGTAACCATCTGGCGTAGCCATCGGAGAAGGCTTGGAACTAGAAGGGATCCGTGGTTTGCTTCCCATGTCGATACTAGGAGCTGCTCCAGGTCGAGGTGGCTTTACTGGGGGCGCCTCTTCGTCCTCGTAATGAGAGTTGAGTGTAGCCGTATCCTCGTAGTGCGAGTGCAGTCTATTACTAGAAGATATGCGACCAGGTCTAGGAGGCTTTACAGGTGCTGGCTCATCATCGACGTCGCCTGACCCGATGCGTAGTTGTCCTGGCATACTAGGTTTTGGCAGTGATCCTTGGCTGCTGGTTCTCCTAGTAACCCTATTGCGCAGACCAAGCCCAGTGACAGTGCCTTGTTGTTTGTCCGGGATACTCATAGGTTGATGTACAGCTTTGCCTGTCGAGAGAGTCTTGATGTTACGCTCAAGGTCCTCACGAAATGGTGTGAATTCATTTTCGAACGTCGAAACGACCTGCTCTAGAGCTGGAGCGGGTGAGGGCAGTCCATGTGTTTGGCAATACTCGTGGAGATGGGTGTACATTTGGCCTACAAGCTGATATTGAATCATGATTTGTATGGCGAGCAGGTGTGGGAAGAGGTTTGCCAGAGCATCCAACAAAGGGGGCAAGACTCTTCTGAGCTGTTCATCAGCAGCGTGATAGTCCNNTGAAAACCCATGAGCCATGGTCCGAGAATACGTTGTCAAGTCATAACTTACAGCATCGGATCGGGCGAGATCGGTCTCGTGTTTCATCAAGGCATTCTCCTCTCTGGCGGACCTTGTATCCTTGCGTCGAGCGCTATCCACGCGCGAATTGTAACGTTCATAGTCAAGCNNTGTTTGACGAAGTCAGACAAGTGACAATGCGATAACACAACAGGAACAACTAACCTTCAGATCTTCTCTTCGTTTGATTGATTTTTTGAGCATCTTGAAAGAATCCTTGGCATCCATGGCAGGTCTCAAGAGTCTGGGTTCAATAGAATTGATCTCGGTGCTTAGGTCCTTTCCAAGATTTGAGTAGATGTTTTGCAGATCGCTAGCCTTTTCCAGATATCTTCGGGGGGTTGGAGCCGGTTTGTGCTGTGTAGAATTGTCCGGATCATCTTCGACTTCGATGGGCTTGTACAGCAAGTGCAATGTTTCTGCTATGGAGAGTTGTGTCTTCAGTGTTTCATCCCAAGCATCGCGCCATGATTTTGTTGCATCAATGAANCTAGAGACTCCAGTCAGTACCTACATAGTCACTGTAAAGCACAATATCCTGCTTACACTGCCAAGGGCTAGGTCCGCGGTGTTGAATTCACTGATGATGTTTCCGACGTCTGAACCGTCGGCAGACCGCTTCATCAATTTACCGAACTTGCGCTGTACATTCTGCATCGTGACGAACGTCGATCAAAGGAGACCAAAACAAAGAAAACAAGAAGAAGAAGAAGAAGAACAAGTGAGAGAGCAATCAAGTGGAAGGATTTCCGAGGATGGTCGGTGTTGAGACAACGTGTATTGCGAGCGGGGCCAAGACTTCGGCCTGCCAGAACCTGGCAGCGGGTGGCAGGCATTGTTCACTAGTCATACCTTGCATAATTGCCATTATATACAGTCTAGATTACGCGGCGCCGAGTCGGTTCTTAGGACCGACATTTATTCGTCTACAGTCTGTCTATGAAACCACGATGCGCAATGTTCAGTGTCTGTCACGGGCAGGACACGAGGTGACGCGTCAGTGACGCGCCAAGACCAGCACTTTCCCTCGGAGGCCATCGCAGCTTCCGTAATTGTCTACTGCCTGTTCTCGACAGTTGCTTGTTGCATCGTCGCCTCTGGAGCCTCGACTGCTCACGATTCCTTCACGCAATGACGGGTTTGACGATCGCATATTCAAACCACCACCGAGGATCATGACGGCGGCAGTCCTACGCAGTTCGCCAAACCTCGCGGTTCCTCAAACCCAGAATACTGCTCCTGTCTATGAATTCAACTGCCTCTACACCCACGATCTAAGGCGAAAGCAAAAGAGATGGCAAGATGGCTTTTTGCGCTACCACACTTTCAACAAGCGTGTCATGGTCTACGATGTTCCTAGAAATTTCCTCGGCGACCTTCACTGGACCAGCGGCGATGACCTTCAAGAGGGCGATGAGATGACCCTTGAGAAAGGCGGAATCATGGTCCAAGTTTCTGAGAGGATAGGCACTATACAGACCGACCTCTCAGACCTGTTGCAGCGAAAGGACAAGACTCCTGCGAAAAACTCTGCCTCGTCGAGAACGTTGATGCGTAATGGACCTCCGTATGCCGCCGCTGCCGCTCCGTCTACTACGCCTAGAACTCCCAATGCCGCCTCGATAACACCGATGAAGCACAAATCGCTCAACACTCTGCTCGGAAGGTCAAGACGCCCGATAGGAAAGGCCTCTCTTCCTACGGAATCCCCCTATGAAGCACGAATCAGGGACCTGCAGACTGCTGAAGCTCAGGATCAAAGAGAGCGTAAACGACAAAGGCTCGATCACCCAACCCAGACGACGCCCATTGCTGCAAAGCAACGTAGCCACGCCTTTGTCCAAAAGCGAGCGAATTCTGTCCCACACTTGGATCAAGGATGTGAAGTCATCGATCTTTCCTCCGATACCGAGGACATTTCGGCAGCGCAAGCGGCAAGCCGTGCTATCGACGCCGAGTTGTTGGCGACATCTTCTCCAGCTCGTCTGCATGAAAGCCCCGCCCACCGCCAAGTACATCCTAACCCCTTCCGCTCTATCGATAGGTTACCAACTGCAGCAAAGCCAACTGTTGCTGGATCTCCTTCTGCCAGAGTACCAGATCGGGCGAAGCATGCCGATCCTCCAGCACCTACTACTGCCCGCCCCAGAAAGGAGGTGAGTGTCCCACGAGAGGCAACANAAAAAGCTGCCGAAGTGCCTGTCGACGAGCCTTCAAGAAATGGCTTCTTTGCGGCAGAGTCTGAATCTCAAGTGCGAGGAAAGTCTCTGAAGCTTGTTGGCGGAGCCCCTCGAAAGATGCTACTCTTCCAATCACAAAATTCGCGCCCGACAAGCTCCGAGGTGGGGAATGAAAGTGCTCTGCGTGGCAAGGCTCAAGATTCGAGACAAGAGACCAACATCGAACCAGCCAAAGATCCTGTGAGAGCTGATGTCAATCAACCAACAATACAATCTTCAATCGAACAAGCTCCTGAGGACTCCGTCTTTCAACGACGTATAGGAGAAAGAATTGCACGGATCGAGCAGAAAAAGAAGAAGCCTGTTTTGCAAAGAAGTTCTTCAGATGTGACTGAGCAACGTCCCGTCGTGGAGAAAGCTGTAAACAACACTGGCTTACGAAAGACTACTTCTGCTGTCATGTCTCGACTTGACTTACCCGAGGACCCTTCCTTGAATGACTTTCAGTTTGCAAATATTACCCCTCTGGACTTCGACGACCCTATCATTGATGACTCTGTCGCTCAGCCACCCATACGACCAAACAAAGAGCCAGTTGCGAAAGCTACGAGACCAGCAGGCAAAGGGGCTAGTATGACTACTGCAAGATCATTCAAGCCTCTGACGGTCAAAGCAGCCCCTGTACTAGTTACAAAAGCTGCTCAACCTTTAGTAGTGGAACAGAAAAAGAATGAAGACATCGGACCATGGAGTAAAGAGGCGTTTGACCTGATGGATTGGAGGCCACCGAACATGCAGACCAAGAACGGCGAGACAGCATGAGTGAAAGTAGGCAAAAGGGAATAGTCTTATCATTATGAGTTTGATGCGGTATGAAGTCGACGAAGGAAGTATGGTATGCTTTGCTCTTTTCTTCTTCTACAGCGACGGCGTTCTGGGATCCATGGGGTGTCACACGGCTGCATCTTCCTGGCATGGAGCATTGTACAGGCCTTTCGTATATATACCCTTGCAGATACGAGATCCAAACGAGACAGCGTTATGAACAGTGCACCTCGCGAGCAGTACAACTTTAATCACCGGAGGGTCTGGTATTGGAAAATAGAGGTGTTGACATGAATAAACTGCAGAAGCGGAACTGATGACTACATACTCAGACTCGTCTTCGCCGCCTCAATTCCCACATGGTGCTTTCGTCATCATTATCGACCTTGTCGTTTACATCCACACCGAGTTTGTCCTGTTGACCATGTTGCTGAGGCTGCTCATGGGTACTCTGCTCCTCCTCAGCGGCAGCAAAGTTGAGCTGACCACCAAGGAACTTTCCAAAGTAGATGACAGCATCTAAGACTTCCTTGCCTGTAGGGACAATGTGATCCTTGGGAAGTAAGAAGCCATAAGTACCGCGATCGCGGAGCTTGAGCTGGTAGGTGTACTTGACCTTCATGTCGTGGAAGAACCAATCGAGGAAGCTGCCACCACCTGTCTCGAAACGAGGGAATACTTGACGATCGCCAGAGGCGGCAAGGCCGACGTTGCCCTCGCACGCAGGAGCAGACTGGTAGTAGCGTCCGCCCGAGAGGCGCATGACTTTCGACAGACCGGCAGCAACCTCCTGCAGATTTTCCAAATTGGGAGGGCTGTCGTTGCAGGTGTATGAGTAAGGGTACAAGATCTGCTGTGAGTACGAATGCAAGTCAAGCAGACCTACGAAATCAACGTTGTTGTGCTCAGTCTCATTTCGTACCCAGCCAGCCAGGCTATTGGCCTCGACAGCTTCAAGAGGTGCGGAGCCTGAGAAGGACTCACTACAGGGATTGGACTGTGTATTTGCCGCACCATCCCACTGGTAGGAGAAGCTTCGGTCGAGGTCGAGGCCACGGCAGAAACGCAGAGAAGTCTGTTGACGGTTCTTGCGCCATAAACGGTCGGTTTCCCAAGTGTAGGCGTAACCGTCTGGATTCACAGTGGGCACAAGAACCCAGTCGAACTCTTCTAAAAGACTGGTAATAACGTGGTTCTTTCCGTAGCCTGTGATGAGCGAGTAGGCAATGTAATTAACGGTGCTGGTTGAGATCCACTCTCTGGCGTGCAGACCAGCGGTGATCAGGATAGTCTTGCGACGGGTAGGAGAATCATCATTGGTCGGGTGAACGCCGATACGCAGGGCAGGAATATCGCGGTCTTCAAAGGTGGTGCCGACGTTGATTACACGCACGTGGGTGGTGAACAGGGAGGCCATCAGACGCATCCAGGGCTGGATGACAGACAGCGGTTGGTAGTCGTTGAAGAAAATGTTATCAGACGAAGATGCACCAAGCCTGGGACCAAACGCATCATGGTGGGTGGGAGCATTGGACTGGAGCATACGGGTTGAGCGAGAAGAAGGATATGTATCTGAGATGGCATTTTGCAGAGTGAATTCGTCCATGAGCAAGTTATGTGCTTGGTGTAGCGAAGGAGGCAGCAGGCCGAGCAATGAAGGAATCAGGTCTTTCTGCATTCTGATGTCGACCCAATCGTCGGTGAATTCCCACAGGTCGAGGAAAAGAGTGTCGGCAGCATCGGCGAGGCTTGTGGCATCCTGAGCATTGCTGATGTTGAAACGGACAACAACATCGTCACTGTGCTTATGGTGTGGTAGAGAATTGACGACGGGCTCAGGTCTGGAGTCTACCGGCGGGCTCCAGATGTTGCGAACTATGGCGTCGGTGACGGAGCGCCATACCGGGCGATGCGATGGTTGCTGAGATGGTGGGGGCGGTTGTGGATGCGAGGGCACTGCAGACGCCGTCGGAGCCAGCAGAGTCGAGACGGCGACGAGCAGCAACGACGAAGCGCGCATGTTTGGATGTCAATTGCTGTGCAGGCAGTCACTTTCAAACAAAGTCGCAGCTTCGATGGCGGAGCGGCCGGAGGCTGTGGAGAGGCAGGAACTGGAGCAGCTTGGCAACATGCATCGCGCCTTCCCTGCTGGCAGGTGTGGGACCTTTTCCAAGCCTTGTGCGCGGTGCTGACGAGGCAGTCACGCAGAGACCAGTTCAGCTCCTTCTAGTCCAATTACCGTACCACTGTCATCAATCTAAACTTCTGTCCCCAATCCCTGCATCTCTTCGAATCTGCGTGTCGCAAGTCCGCTATTCCTTCCCAGAGAGAGACACGCTCGTTTACCCCCCCCGGATCTCCAATTTCCTGCACCCCTTCAATAACCCACCAGAGAGTCCTCTTTGAACGCCCACCAGCGAGTACCCTTCTCAAGTCCGACACATGCACGCCTAGTACCCTCATTGACGCGCCGCCAATACGCTGTCAAATGACAATCCATTCATTGCGACTTGCCGGCCATGCCTCTGATGTCGCGTCGCCGCAGTACTCTGGACAACCTCTTGAACGACATCCGTAGTAATACCCAGGAAGATGCTGCCGCCGCAACTTCTGGCTATGCCACCCCGGTACCCAACACCAGCCGTCCCATGAGTGCTCAAGAGCCCATCTCTCCTATGGATGTCCCCAGTCTTGGTCCCCCTTCTCCGCCCGTCCAGACTGCTACCCCAGCCACTGCTCGCTTTAGCATGATGCGATGGAGGCACTTCTCCGACGGACAGCTCTCAGCCAAGGCAAAGCTGCATGCTGATGCAGACAAGACCCCTCCAGTGCCGCAAGTCCCACTCCAACATCAATCGCAAAGTATGTATACCGATCTCCGTCAGTCCCGTCACCCCTGCTTATAGCTATCCTCCAGCTNNCCTGTGCCAAACCCTCAGATCATCACCACTGCCCCCACCATGGATGAACACAACCATCCTGTCCATCGCCCTAGGAAATCAAAGAGTCCGTTCAAGCGTCAGATATCCAAGCTTAGCCCAGCGAAGCGTCGAGAATCCACCGAAGACCACCGACCCTGGCGCAGAGGCCGCTCTGTAGACATCGACCGCCTCGTTCCTGATGCCGTTGCGCCCCCGCCCTACGGCGATGAATCCAACTCGGCTCTGGCACTGCCTGTCACTCGTTTGTCGGACTCATCTGGAGAACAACGAAGTTCTGGAGAACATGTCACTTATGCCACGACGACCACCACTCATACCATTTCCACCACTACAACCCTGTTCAGATTGCCACGCCGCAACAAGAAGAACAAGTCTCTGTTCCCTCTACCTGACAAACCGGCGTCTCCACCCAACCCACCGCCGGAAACGCAGACCCCACATGGCACGCCTCGACCCTCGACCAGCGCCATCTCGACTAACTCTAACATCGAGTCGCCAGAAAGGCAGAGACGACCTCCTCCTCTAAGCGCTCTACAGCGACGTCATACTGAAGCCTCACGACCACGCTTGTTCTTGTCGTCTTCGCCAGCTCCTGCGCAGCTTGCAAAGTCGTCTATTGCCGCTCTTGCTACTCATGGGGGTGCTCCGCTGTTCAGGAATGACTCCAGCAACTCTACCCATTCAATGGGCTCTTCACCAATACTTCATCCACCACGTAGATTCGGCTTGCGAGATAGGTCTTCAACCGTGAGTTCGTTCGGACGCCGATCAGAGGACAATACCCCTCCCACTCCGCCTATCCCATCCAGCGCTCGTAACTCGACCTCGACCTCGGGACGGACCAGCTTAGGAGGCTTTCTTGGTTTCAACCGCTTTCGACACAACTCGGATCTCCGGGACCGTAACTCTTCGCCTGGGTTCCATTCAAAATCTAACTCGTTATCTCCTAGCGTTCACGAGCCTCTAGTGATACCCGACCGCGAAGATGGTGACACGCCAGGCAAATATTTGGAGCGATTGCAAGCTGCTGTGTCTCGAAGTCTCATTGCTGGTATACTGTCGAAGTCATCCGACCCCTTCGCTCAAGCTGTTTTGCGAAGTTACTGCCGGAAGTTTTCTTTCTTTGGAGAGCCGATTGATATGTCCTTGCGCAAGTTTCTACTTGAAGCGGAGTTGCCAAAAGAGACACAGCAAGTGGACAGAGTTATACAAGCTCTTGCTGACCGGTACCACGAGTGCAATCCTGGTATCTTCCAGTCGCCTGACCAAGCCTATATCATCGCTTTCTCATTAATGATGCTGCATACCGATGCTTTCAACAAAAACAATAAGCGGAAGATGCAGAAACATGATTACATCAAGAACACAAGTGGTCAGAACGTCTCGGATGACGTGCTGGGTTGCTTTTACGACAACATATGTTATACACCCTTTATTCACTTCGAAGAAGAAGTCGACATTAATGGAGAGCGCCTACTTACCTTCAAGCCAAAGAAGAGCAAGCTCCGAGGAAACATACCTGATCCTGGGAGGAAGAATAGCGGACCCATCGACCCCTATGCGTTGATCTGTGATGGCAAGCTGGACACTCTGCGTCCCTTGATAAAGGAGTCGATCACCATGGAAGATCCCTACAGCTACCTAGGCACTGCAAACTTCTTTGACATGAAGAAGTTGCAGAAGGCATTCGTGAACACCGCTGTCCTCCAAATCATCTCTGCTCGCTCCAGACCTGCTGCTTTCGAATCGCAAGCTACCCGCGACAACCCCAGTGAATCAGCAATCGGATTAGTAGACCTCAAGGTCACGAAAGTCGGCGTCTTGTGGCGAAAATCTACAAAACGCAAGAAGACGCGATCTCCATGGCAGGAGTGGGGTGCTATATTGACCGGGTCTCAACTTTATCTCTTCAAGAACGTTACTTGGGTGAAGAGCTTGATGACGCAGTACCACACACATGTCAAGCAAGAAGGTACTAATGCGCCTGTCATTTTCAAACCTCCAATCCAGGATTTCAAGCCAGATGCCCTCATCAAAACCGATGACGCTGTTGCTTTGCTCGATCGCAGCTACCTGAAGCACAAGGACGCATTCACTCTGGTTCGTCATGGCGGCCAGGAGGAAGTCCTGATTGCTGAAAACGAGACCGAAGTCAACGATTGGATTGCCCTGATCAACTATGCTGCAGCTTTCAGATCTGCTGGTGTCAGAATCCGTGGGTTCATTGGTGGAACGGACACTGATGTCACGGTCAACAGCCGCGGCAGACTCAACTCCACAGCATCTGTTGACTCTTCGATCAATGCATCCATCGGCTCGGCTTTGGGTTCGACGATAACGCATGACGGACAAGTCACTGTTGAGAAGAGAGATCTTACTCCACAACTTGTCAGGCAGGTATTGGCTGCTCGACGACAAATCATGTTACAAACCATAGTAGAGTCGGAAAGAGAGGTCACTGATGCAATCAGGAATCTTGAAAACATGATGCGCAATGCTCGTCATCTGCTGATCCTTGCACCTATCCAACCGAAGACAAGAGAAGACGTTTGTCACGCCACCGCGCGAATGGATGCCAATTTGAAATGGATCAGACGTGACATCTGGCGGACCAAGTGTCACAGAGACATTCTTTCACTGGATCTACAAGAAGACGGAGACATCTTCGACAGCAAGTTACCAGCTCCGATGCTGAACATTCGCAAAACTAGTGGGCTTCAGAAGACAATCTCAAAAACAAACTCTGCCATGAGTCAACAAACAAGCCTTCAATCGCCAGCTCACTCGCCCCGACTGATCAGCGGCGATGGTCAGGGAGAGGGCGTCTTCAACAGAGATGTCTTCAAGACACCACCCGAACACGCCCTCAGGTATGGGGATGCTTGGCAGCTGCCCACAAGCCCGCTAGACCTCAACAGCCCACAACAGGCTCGCCGACCTTCGACTATTAGTAATGCGCAGTCTGTCATTCGTAAACACAGCGTCGCTGGGTTGTCAGTCGCTTCTAGCGCACAAGATGGAGACAGACACTTGTCCTCTGCCGCCTCTGACGCCCCCTCCCGTCATGGCCGCTTAACTCCCACCCGAAGTTACGAGAGCCGTGACCATGAAGCGGTGCTTCTCGCCCGAGACCCCCTAGCCCCAATAGCGACCGCCGCCACTCAGTCTTCCGCTGGATTCCCGGAATCATCAACCGCAACTCCAGAAAGTGCCTCCAAGATCAAGAGCGGAAGAAGAAGCCTACATCGTACTTTGAGGGATGGTCGTCATGAAACGTCTACTTCTCAACGCCACCGAAGAGGCAAGGAGAGTGCTAGCACTATTCGTTCGGATGGAAGTCGTGTTGACGACCTTGTCGAGGCTACTCCAGGGCTGGAGAGAAAGGCTGCTAGATTCATGGTTCATGGCAAGCAAGCTTCAGTCGTCACTTTTGGCGCAGATTGGGCAGAGGAGAAGATGCGCCGCGAACTCGCACGAAAGCACTCCGCATCGACTCAGAACAGTACCGAGGAGAGTGGACCAGAAGCCAATCTGCAATACCACGTCACTCAAGCATTGTCATCTGTCAGCGGCCACAACACTGTCGAAAAGATGAGTGTGCGCATTCCTACTGTGCAGGGATGGCAAGTTAACGCTGCTGACAAAACGCCGACTGCTGCGGCCAATGTACACCTGCCCGACCCTTTTAATCTTCAGCATGAGCTGGCAACACCAACAGTCATGTCGAGCGACGATGATCTGGACTCTTATTTTGATGCCAACAGTCCACAGTCAGACAAAGTGCGCCTTGGTTCAAACAAAGTCTCCGGATCACAAGGATTGGAGGGTGCATTGGACTTCCATGCAAAAGACGCCATATCACCTGAGGACCTTCCACTCCCATCATCACCTCCTACAGCTGTCCCATCATCACCTCCTACAGCTGTCGAACAGCACAACATGGATGACAACACTATCCCGTTTTCTCAATATATTGAGAACGAAAAACTGCGTGAGCTTATCTCATCAAGCAAATAAAGCACTGTACGCAGGCGTCAATGCTCGTTATCTGCGGAAGCCCTGCTCGCTTCAACCCAAAAGTCATGGCGCTGCTCTCCATTTGCTCTGGTTTCCTTTTGTTGTTTTGTTACTGCTATTCAATCGCACGATTCCCCCTCCTTAGGTTTTGCTGTTACCCTTTATTCTTTTTCACCCAGACAGTTTTGGTAGAGTGGTTACTGCGCAGAAATGATCGATTGTTTGATCTGGCGTTGTCCATCAGAGTTTCCAAATCCATAAAACTTGACCACTTTCGATAGCCATCCCGACTGTACGTGCCTTGTACAGACATATGATGAAATTGGCCCAGGTTGGCGTTCCGATACTGTCCGTGTTACAAGCTCCTGGACAATTCACTAGACATTCTTATCTCAATCACTGATTATATCCACCTGCTTACTTGTATAGCTCGGTGCTTCATCATCGCGGTGCTAAACACCGCATCTGCCAACTGCACCTAACAATTGCGCCTAAAATTGGGTGCCACCAGGCTGTGTTTACCGTGTTCGACTGAACTGAAATGTATGCAGCACAGCAACAAGAAATGTTTTAGAGCAGTGTTTTAAAGTAGGTCCGTATTCAAGCGTATCTCGTTTGTCGTAGCACCTCTTTCGGTTTCAGCTTTAACCATTAGCATTCGTACTCGTACTCGCATCTCGTAGCTCGTACAGAACATTTCCTCAACGGAGTCGGGGTGGAGCCCCCGAGCAACAAGCACTTTGTTGGACGAGCTCTCACATCTATAATGCTAGATATGCAGTCTTGTGCACGAGGAATGCGAGCAATACAGTTTGTTAGGAGTATTATGCAGACAAACGGTCCCCTTTTCACGTCCAATTGGGTAAGGTCGGTGTCTAGCTCTGTCCGATGCGCAGACCGGAACATGAAGATCCCGAAGGATCTGTTAGGCAGGAGGGTTTGGTACTCCCGCCCATACCTGCTCACTTCTTCCGCCCCTCAATAAGAGTATCAGAGGGGCAAATCAGACCGTGGGCCAGGATACCAGCACTCCAGTCGGAGGAATATACAGTAGAATCAAAGGGCGAGGCGACCTGGAGATTAAAGACATCAGGTCCCCGAGCTCTCGCTCATCTTCTGAGCCGATTTCTTTCTGTATTTACAACAAACACCTGGTGTCCCCCGATCTACCTATTTCCTTCCTCGACACACTCTTTTGTGACCCTTCATTATCCAACACCACCAGTTTGAACACCCCAAGACAGCATCTCATCGCCCCACACAGGTTCGAACAACCTCTTCCCCGCCAACAACAAGCCCCGGGCGGCTATAGCCCCTACACCAAAACAATATGGATCCCATAAACGACACACATCATGGCTCAGACGTGTCGAGCAGCGGCGATACTGTGGACGTCCAAGTCACCAACTATGAAAAAACACAACTAGGCCAGGCACCATTGCCGCTCGCGCCCGCACCAACACCTGCAGTGCCTATGAATGAGAAGGGATACAAGAGCAAGGACGAGAAGAAAGACAAGGATAGTGATGATGAGGGCGAAGACCCGTTCGCTCATCTGCCCGATCATGAGAAGGCTGTACTGAAGCGTCAACTGGATATTCCGACCGTCAAAGTCACCTATTTCATGTTGTTCCGCTATGCGACGCTCAACGACAAACTCCTCATGATGCTCAGCGCAATTTCTTCCATTATTGGAGGTGCTCTTCTGCCTCTCATGACAATTGTCTTTGGAGGTCTGACAACCACCTTCAACAGGTTCTTCTTGCAAGAAATCGGAGCCGATAAATTGAACTCGGAGATTTCGAGATTTTCGCTGTACTTCCTCTACCTGGCTATTGGAGAATTCGTCTTCGTGTACATTGCCACAGCTGGATTCCTCTACACTGGTGAGCACATCTCTGGAAAGATCCGTCAGAATTTTCTCAAGGCCATTCTTCGCCAAAACATTGCCTTCTTCGATCAACTTGGTGCCGGAGAGATTACCACCAGAATCACATCCGACACCAACCTTGTGCAAGATGGTATTTCCGAGAAGGTTGGATTGACACTCACTGCCATTGCCACATTCGTTACTGCCTTCGTTGTGTCGTTCATCAAGGACTGGAAGCTCACTTTGATCCTGATGTCGACCGTGTTCGCAATCGTGTTCACCATGGGCGGTATGAGTGGCTTCATCGTCAAGTTCAACAAAGCTTCCTTGTCCTCGTATGCTGAGGGTGGTACCGTAGCCGAAGAAGTCATCAGCTCTATCAGAAACGCGAAAGCCTTCAATACGGAAGCCAAGCTGACCAGAGCATATGATGCGCATCTTGCTGTAGCTGAGAAATGGGGCTTCAAGATGAAGGCTGTCACCGGATCCATGATTGGCTTCTTGATGTGCTATGTCTACTTGAACTACTCTCTGGCTTTCTGGATGGGCTCTAGATATCTCGTCGGTGGACGCATCGACGTTGGTACTGTTCTGACCATCATCTTGAGCATCATGATCGGAGCTTTCGCACTCGGTAATGTGGCTCCCAACATCGGAGCCTTCACCACCAGCGTTGCCGCCGCGGCTAAGATCTTTGCTACCATTGACCGTGTTTCTCCTCTTGATCCCGCTTCTGAGTCTGGCGAGACATTGAAAAGCGTTGAAGGCCATATCGAACTGCGCAATATTCGTCACATCTACCCGTCCCGTCCGGAAGTCACTGTTATGGAGGATGTCAGCCTCATCGTACCTGCTGGCAAGACAACTGCCTTGGTTGGTGAATCAGGCTCGGGTAAGAGTACCATTGTTGGCCTTGTCGAGCGCTTCTATGACCCTGTTGGCGGCACCGTGTATCTTGATGGCCAGGATATCTCCAGTCTCAACTTGCGCTGGCTTCGTCGCCAGATCTCTCTTGTCAGTCAAGAACCTACTTTGTTCGCTACTACCATCTTCGGCAATATCCGCCATGGATTGATTGGTACCGCTCACGAGAACGAGTCCGAAGAGAGAACCCGTGAATTGGTCGAAAACGCCGCCAGGTTCGCCAACGCGCACGAGTTTATTACTGGTTTGCCTGAAGGTTACGAAACCAACGTTGGCGAACGCGGTTTCCTCCTTTCCGGAGGCCAGAAGCAAAGAATCGCTATTGCCAGAGCTATGGTCAGCGACCCCAAAATTCTTCTTCTCGACGAAGCCACTTCAGCTTTGGACACAAAATCTGAGGGTGTTGTGCAAGCTGCTCTCGATAAAGCCGCCTTGGGCAGGACGACCATCGTCATTGCTCACAGACTTTCCACAATCAAGGGCGCTGACAATATCGTTGTGATGTCCAAGGGTCGTATCGTGGAACAGGGTACTCATGATGTTTTGATTGGAACCAAGGGAGCCTACTACAACTTGGTTGAAGCTCAACGCATTGCTGCCGAGAATGAAAATAAGGACCAGGACGAAATCCCCATACTGGATGAGAAGGATCAGAACCTTACCCGCGTTGCGACCAAAGGCGAGGAACCCGAGAACGGCCTTAAACTTGCTCGTACCCAAACTGGCAAATCGCAGTCTAGCATTGCTCTCGTGAACAAGAAGGCCGAGGTTGAAAACCGCTACTCATTGTGGACACTAATCAAGCTCGTCGCGAGCTTCAACAAGAAGGAGTGGTTATATATGACCATTGGAATCATCTGTTCTGTCATCACTGGAGGTGGTAACCCGACGCAAGCCGTCTTTTTCGCCAAAGCTGTTACTGCCCTGTCTGGGCCGAATACTACAGCTGCAGATAAGGCCACAATTCGCCACGAGGCGAACTTCTGGTCTTGGATGTACTTCATGCTTGCCCTGGTGCAATTTGCTGCCTTCCTCCTTCAGGGCTATGTCTTCGCTATTTGTTCAGAGAGACTCGTCCACCGAGCTCGTGAACAAGCTTTCAAAACCATGCTTCGCCAGGATATCGCTTTCTTCGATAAGGAGGAAAACACCGCTGGTGCTTTGACCTCGTTCCTTTCCACTGAAACCACGCATCTTGCCGGTATGTCTGGTGTGACCCTGGGCACGCTTCTCTCTGTTATTGTCACCCTCATCGCTGCGTTCTCTGTGTCTCTGGCCGTCGGCTGGAAGCTCAGTCTGGTCTGCATTTCAACTGTCCCTATCTTGCTCGCATGCGGTTTCTTGCGCTTCTGGATGCTTGCGCGTTTCCAAGCCAAAGCCAAAAAGGCCTATGAAAAATCCGCGAGCTACGCCTGTGAAGCAACTTCTGCCATTCGTACAGTCGCCTCCTTGACAAGAGAAGATGACGTCCATTTCCATTACAACGGACAGCTCGTGGACCAGGAACGCAAGTCTCTGGTTTCCATCTTGCGTTCTTCCAGTCTCTATGCTGCCTCTCAATCGTTGATCTTCTGTTGTACAGCTCTTGGATTCTGGTACGGAGGGNTAAGTTCATGCTATGATTTACTGTCTATTTATGAGTCTTGCTAACTTCGATCCAGACGCTTGATTTCGAAAGGCGAATACAACATGTTCCAATTCTTCCTCTGTTTCAGTGCTGTCATCTTCGGCGCCCAGTCTGCCGGCACCATCTTCTCCTTCGCTCCCGATATGGGCAAAGCCAAGCAAGCCGCTGCAGAGCTCAAGGCACTGTTCGACCGTAGGCCGGAAATTGACAGCTGGAGTGAGAATGGTGAGAAGCTCTCGAACGTAGAGGGCCACATCGAGTTCAGAGATGTTCACTTCCGCTACCCTACACGCCCAGAGCAACCCGTCCTTAGAGGTCTCAACTTGACCGTCAAGCCTGGTCAATACGTGGCTCTGGTCGGTGCTAGTGGTTGTGGTAAATCGACCACCATTCAGCTTTTGGAGCGTTTCTACGATCCTCTAGCTGGTGGCGTCTACATCGACGGGAAGGAGATTTCCAGCCTCAACGTCAACAACTACCGTTCGTGGATCGCACTTGTTTCGCAAGAACCAACTCTCTACCAGGGCACTGTCAAGGAAAACATCCTCCTGGGTGCTGACAGGGAGAATGTTCCCCAAGAAGCCATCGAACAAGCTTGCAAGGACGCCAACATTTACGATTTCATTATGTCTCTGCCAGACGCCTTCGACACTATCGTAGGCAGCAAGGGTAGCATGCTTTCCGGTGGTCAAAAGCAGCGTATCGCCATTGCTAGAGCACTGCTGCGCGATCCCAAAATTCTACTTTTAGATGAGGCAACCTCTGCACTGGACAGTGAGTCAGAAAAGGTTGTGCAGGCCGCGCTGGACAAGGCAGCAAAGGGCCGCACCACCATCGCCGTCGCACATCGTCTATCCACTATTCAACGTGCTGATATGATCTATGTGTTTGATGCTGGTAAGGTGGTTGAGGCTGGCACACATACTGAGCTTCTTCACCAGAGAGGACGCTATTTCGAACTGGTGAATCTCCAGAGTCTAGGCAAGGCACAGTAGTCTCGTGGTCTTTTGGACGTTTCTACTTATATTCTGTTCTGGCTTCGACGCCTGCCGCACTACGCACATGGAATGATGCGCGGCGCTTTACATTTCTGTTCTTGGATACCCAGTTGATTAGACCCTCAGTGCCAGCAGGAGGGAGGCATATGCAAAAGACACCTTATATTCTAAATTTTACATCATACGTTTCACATCTCACACTCTACACTTCACATCTTACAGTAGGTTACAAATCTTCATTCACGGTTGCACCTGCCACGAATTGAGAGTCCGAGGAAAAGTTGACGCCGCCGAGCTGAAAGACATACTTGAGCAGGCTCATACGAGTCAGGTCTATTGAAACCGTTTTTGACAATTCTTGCAAGTTGCAAAATAACCATGGTCTAGTCGGCCGATCCGCCTGACGACCAGCTGAAACCTCTAAAGCGATTCCACAGAGCCGTTGAGATTGCTGCATCTATTCCAGTTGCAGCTTTGACGAGGGCTCAGGATTTTATGCTGTAACCAGACCCAGTCTGAATCCGTTCGAGACGAAGACACAATATTTATGTGTTCTCGGGCGCTCAAATAATTCTTGACATCAAGGTGCTCATGTCGTCTTTGGAAATGGAAGGTGAAAACCGACGAGGGTCGTCGATGGTGGGATTATGGGGCATTCGGCCGGTGTCGGGGACGGACTGACGTGACCTGCCCGCAAAATACTCGTAGGCAATTGACTCACACATGCTGCAGCTGCTTGGAGCAGACTTGTCTTTTATTCATTCAGAGTCCGCAGTCCATTTTTCGTCATCACACATCAATTCCACACAAATCATGTCGTACCCTACTTTACATCTTCGCGCAGAGGTATACACACTCCAGTAGCTTCAAAGCTTTACACACGACTAATGCTGTTCTGTAGNNACCAAGCCGCTCGAGCACCGCTCAGCGCTGACTCCCACCACGGCCAAGGCCCTGATGGATGAGGGCTACCCTGTCAACATCGAGCGCAGCAGTCTGAGCATCTTCCCCGACTCGGAGTTCGAGAAGGTTGGCGCCAACATGGTGCCCGAGGGCAGCTGGACCGAAGCCCCTACCGAACACATCATCGTGGGCCTCAAGGAGCTCCNNCCTGAAGAGACATTCCCCCTCAAGCACACACACGTCCAGTTCGCACACTGCTACAAGAACCAAGGCGGCTGGGAAGAGGTGCTCGCTCGTTTCCCTCGTGGCGGCGGTACGCTGTACGACCTCGAGTTCTTGCAAGATGAGCAAGGACGTCGTGTAGCAGCTTTCGGCTTCCACGCTGGATTTGCTGGCGCTGCATTGGCTGTCCAGGCTTGGGCTCACCAGCTGGTCGAGGGCGCTGGCAAGCCTCTGGAAGGTGTCAAGCCTTTTGCCAACGAAGGTTTGCTGGTTGCCGACGTCAAGAAGAGCTTGGAAAAGGGCGAGCAGAAGGTCGGCCGCAAGCCTAGAGCTTTGGTCATGGGCGCCTTGGGTCGCTGCGGCAGAGGCGCCGTTGACCTGCTACAAAAGGTCGGCGTGCCCGAGGAGAACATTGTCAAGTGGGACATGGCAGAGACACAGAACCGTCCTGGTCCTTACCCCGAGATCCTCGACAGCGACATCTTTGTCAACTGCATTTACCTCTCGCAACCCATCCCTCCCTTCATCGAGCCCGCTCAGCTCAACTCGGAACAGCGCAAGCTCAGCGTTGTCTGCGATGTCAGCTGCGACACAACGAACCCCCACAACCCCATTCCCATTTACGACATCAACACGACCTTCGACAAGCCCACCGTCCCTGTCAATGTCACCACCGGCCCGCCGCTCTGCGTCATCTCGATCGACCACTTGCCCTCGCTGCTCCCTCGTGAGGCCTCGGAAGCGTTCAGCGATGCTCTGTTGCCCAGTCTGAGAACACTCAAGGACAGAAAGAGCGAGAGAGTATGGCAGGAGGCCGAAAAGTTGTTCGACGACAAGGTCAAGACTCTGCCTCAGGAAAAGCTGCAGGTCTAGGGTGTCTGTGTATGCCTCTGGTGCCGAGCTACAAAAGCGTGCAGTTGTAAACGACGTCTTCCTCGGGCCCTGAGCTTTGGCTTCTCAAGTCGTGGTACACGGAAACGTGCAATCACCATGTAGTCAGCCTGGTCAGTTGGAGGAGGGTATTTGGGAACGGCACCGCGACACGACTGTATTATGATTAAAAGTATTAGAACACCCATTCAGACGTGTATGACTATCAATCACTTTCAAGCCATCTCCGTTCTTCAATATAATGTTTCACAGCCTGGTTCTGTTTCCGAAATTCAGCATACTGAAAGAGCGCAGTCATCGTACAGCTGAGATCTCCAGAAGACCGTTGGGATTTGCTGAATCCCTACCGCTTGCAGTTACAGCAAGGGCTTCTACGCCATACGAGAAGGGGCTCTTTCCAATATCTTCGGTGTGTGTTGTCTAGGAAAGGATTGGCGACAGATATGATAGTAGCGGGCGGCAGCGTCAGCCGACCGCAACCTTGTCGCTTCCGCGGGAGCGGCATGTCCAGCCGGGTGTGACCTCTGTTTCCCTTCCTTTCTTGAGATTGAACAAGTTCGAGCTCCCTTCCTTCCCTGATTCGTGTGTACTCAGCTTGAAAGTGCAATTGAGTCTTCCGACGACGAGACATTCGATTCCACAGGAAGATCGTGTGCGCCATTCTTCTCTAGCATCCGTTCTTCCAGACCAGCGTGGTGGTACTGTTGATCGGGAAGGATGAGACCCACCAATGTCTACGAGATATATGATCAACGGGCAGGGCTTGGAAGTCGAAGAGTAAGTAAGCCGACCAGGTACTCGGAACATGACATGCCGGAACACAGACATGAGGTCGGGCTGAGGTCCTTCCTGCTTGCGGACAGAAGCTAGCTTCTGTCCGGTAAGGATCTCGGTGCCCTAGTGATCTTGATATACAAGGCCGTTACCTTCACATGGTACCGTTGTCATGAAGAAATGCGTGCAGATTTTGTACTCTTCCACGATGCAGAGACATGCACGCAAATGCTTTTCGTCATCCCCTTGATACATTATGCACCAATAGCCTCAGGCATCACACGTGCACCATCTCATTACGACCAAGAGAGACAGAATGTCACTGGATATCCGCATGTTCTGTCATGCCTCGGCTCCGATCAAAACCCCAGGCATACACTCCGGTTTCTGACGGTCCACGGCGCATTAACGACAACGTCTCCAACGGCGCACCTAGATGCAATCATCAGCCACGATTATCTATACATGTAAAACCACCCTGAACTCAAAAGTCCAACTGGCGATAGGCTACGTCCACTTCCCTTTCTAGATCTACAAGTGGTCCTGCTTAAATGGAAATGCACCTCGCAACCCCCCTTACCGTCGAGCTTTTGCCTCTGCTGACTCCCCAGACCAACCCCTGGTGGTTACCTATAGTATCACATCTTATTACAATGATGGCAGAACTGCTTCGAAGGCATCTGTTCGCCATCTTCGAAGACGACCAGCCTGGGCCTCGAGCACATCAACACAACAATATACCCGGACGAGCAATATACAGTGCCTTGTCATGCCTCCCATTGGTTCTTAGTTGCTATCTGTTCTGTGAGTATATTCCATGAACTGCTCTGATATCTGCGCCTAACATCACATCAGGGCGTCGGGTTAAAGAAGTCCGCTGGCATACCATCCGACACATCTCATGGATACGATTTCTCGTCTACGCCAGCTACATCGTCTCCATCGCTTTTCTTATAACGTCCATCTCAATCTCCGGGGTCGGAATCCGTACAGGAGGCTTCTGTCGGACTGCAATCTACTTCTGTGTCGGCTTCTTATTCACTGGCAGACTCACGACTCAACTCTTCCTCATCGAACGAGCACACATTGCCAACTTGGACTACCTCCGTCGTCGCGATGACCCTATCTGGATTCTTTCCACAGCCAGTGTGGGCGTTTTTGCTACCTTTTTACTCGTCTGGGCTTTCTTGAATCCTGTCGCATATATTGCCAATGACGATGGTAGATGCCGTAAGGGCATTCCTCCAGCAGTCGTGGCACCGCTCGAGATCTACGAGGTCGTCACATATGTCCTACTAACTGGCGTCTTCATTGTAATGCTTCGACGAACCAGACGTACAGAATTATTTCCCNCCGTTCCTGAACGCTTCGTCACCTTTGGCAAAGCGTTGAACCGCCTGAGTCATGCCGCCAGACCTGCTAGCATCAAGAAAAGCATGGAGGCACAGGAGGTGGAGGTCGACTCTACTGCCAGCGGCATCGTCCTGCCTCCTTCCACAAAACCTTGCAAGCTTCGCGGTCTGGCACTCAAGTCCTTGATCGGTACTGTCTTGATTCTCGGCTGGGGAGTCATCAACTCCACCATCTTCTACGTTACTGGCGGGCGCGAGCACGTTTGGTTGTGTTTTACACAGTGCAACATGGACAGTGAGCTTTCACCTATCATTACTTTGACGAGTACGCCGCTAACTCTTGCAACAGTCTTTCTCTCAGTCTGTGTGCTCCACTGGCTGACAGCGAACCCCAAGGAGCTCGAACGCAGTATGAGAGGCACGAGGCCTTCGGTGACTGAACTGCCTGTCTTCCTTCGAGGGGACTCGGTAGCAGAACCGGAACCTGCTAAGCTTTCACCTTCGTCTTCTTCTTCGCTTGTTTGAGAGCGTGATATAAAATAGATTATTACAGATACCATATGACCCACATAATAGATAGATAGTAGTTTTCTGCAGGCGGAAACACCAAGTCAAACCATGATATATAACATCACTTCTCGTGCTCTCGACTTGTCGCTTTCCTAGTCTCTGCATGCCATTGAAGCAGGAGCATCTACCTACAAGTCACGTAGAAGACTCCCAGCGCACGGTTTCACTGTATGATATATAATCCTCCTGCTGTAATTCCGAAAGTCCAAAAGGGTCTTGGACGCACAATCTCGGTGCAGGTACGAGGCAGCTAGGACTTGCCAGGAATCACCAGCGCATGGGAAATACAGACAAGATTTCCAAGCAGACTTCGGTCAGTATTTTTTTTTTCCAGAGCAAGCACGCTGGCCGCTCCCCAGTGGCGCACCATAAACTCTATCGTAGAGCCGCTGGACGTCTTTCAACGTCATCAGTATTCCTTGTGTGCCCTCGCAACTCTTGCCTAACTTCTTGGGAAATGTCGACTTCGAATGCCAGCTCCAAGTCATGGAAGAGATGGAGGTTAGTCGTAGCTCCGCTATCGCAGATAGTCCAGACGATACCAGTGTTTACATCTTTGATATCTTTGCTTCTAATGATCGGGCGTATCAAGACCCAACAGCGATAGAAGACCGCCATGAGAAGCGGTAACTCTTTGGTCTTGCAGTCCGTCTTTCTCTTGCAGATGGTAACAGCTTCGTGTATCGGATCTCTTTGCTGACGACAGTAGTGTAGTACAAAAGTATGATGCGTGCAGGTGGGTACTCCTTGTGCAGATCAACCTAGGCATGTCTACTGCAAGAAAGCGATTGTTCACTCTTCTCTGATACTCTAAGGATTCATTGATACGCTTCTTCACGATGCACCCCATGACTCACGACGCAGAACCAGACTTGCATTCAAACATAAGAACAGAGGGATGCTGATGCGAAGGTCTTTTGGGTCTCTCGATCGCCATAAGGACAAAAGAGTAAAGGAATCAGCATGCGGGAGATTGCTCGATACGCCCGAGATTACGCGACATTGTCCGCTCCAATAATAAGGGTCAGAGTTGTAGATAACCATTAACGTGCGGGATATGATCGAGATCACGAACTGCCTCAGTGAGATGAGGCTATAGTGACCTCTTTCAAAGGCCTAAGTCCTTGTAGCAAAAACATCATGCATTGCGACACTATGCTCTCGATAGATACGATCACGTTGGGGGTGGGAAACAGGAGTGGTCCTCATGACTTTTCATTGTTCTCTTTCCTCGTCTGCATCATCAAGAATTATGCCATGAATCACGGCAAAAAGACAAAGGAAACTTTCTCCGACCAGCGGAGACCCCCCAAAAGAAACGCACACCAGAAATAACTCCCGAAGAAACAACACCAAAAAGACAAACTCCTCTCCTCCCCAATCATCTATCTTCTTCTGACCACCTGACGCACACCGAAGGCACCAACGGGAGGCTTGCGAACCAACTTGCGAGGGTTGGGCAAAGCGGCTGCGATCCACACCGACGGGTGACCGCGAGTAGCTCTCGGCTGTGGGGGTGCGAGGGACCCAGAACCAGCAGCAGAGGCAGCGGCGACGGCGAAGGTGGGAGCATAGGCAGGGCCGGGGGCGGGAGCAGGCACAGGCACCGAAGTAGTACCCGAAGCAACAGGGACGGCCGCCTGAATACGGACACGCATCTCCTCTGCGACGGTGGTCGAGGGTCTGGCTACGAAGCTAGACAGCGTCTGGACTTGAGCAGCCCCTACTGCTCGTGCCTTCAACTGCTTCACATCGTCCTTCAGAGCCTGGACCTTGTACTCTTCGATTCTGACCTTTTCCTTCTGGGCCATGATCTCTGCAATATGCAGGTCGATCACTTTCTGCGCGTGCTGCCTCTCGTGGGAGATAACCTTCTCCTGGGCCTCCTCAGCACCAGCGACGAGCTCTTCATGGGCCTCGAGATTCTTTCCAAGGCTGACAATCACACTTCGGAGGTGACCAATCTCCTTGTGCAGCTTGTCAACCTTGTCAGAGCTCTCGAACCGGGCCTGCTCCTCGCGGAGATCAGCGCCGGCGAGCTTCTGACGAAGCTCATGGATCTCGTAATCCTTGATGGCCAGGGCGGAGCTGTGCACGGTGGAGGCAGAGGCCAGGAGCCTGCCTGCTTCGTCCCTCTGAACCTGCAGGCTGCGATGGAGCTCTGCGCGTTCGGCGGCGTAGAAGGAACGAAGCTGCTTGATGGTTTCGCCCTTCTCGTTGATTTGTGCCTCGAGTCCGACGAGGTCTTCCGACTTCATGGCGTGACGGGAGCAAGCGAGAAGGGTGACCAGAAGCAGGGTNCCAAAAAGGAAGGCAGTGAAGGTAGAGAGGTTGTTGAATATGGCGCAGACGAACTCCTTTGCCAGTGAGAGAATGAAGTGAGCTCTAATGGATGGAGCGCCGGTGAAGATAGCAAGCTCATTGCCTGGTGACGCCATGGTGGAAGTGAAGACTGGAGTGGCGGTGGTGAAGAGCTTGGCGGTGGTAGTGAAGGTTGCCGTGACGGTTGAGCGAGTGATAATAGTGTGAGTCTCTTGAAAGTGAGGCTCAGTAGGGGCGGCAAGGAGCTTTTGGCTCCAAGAAGTGAAGATGGCAGCGCCAGGGAGGTTGCTGGTGAAGAAGGTGGTGACACCCATGATGAGAGTGAAGAGGGCGTTGAAGTTGACCATTTTGGCGGCGTGAGAGTGATGGAGGATTTGGTGAAGCGAGATGATGTGATGCTTTGTTGATGTGAGGTTGCACAACGCGCGTGAAGGCTTGTTTTGTGATGGCTGGTATACGCGCAGAACGACGGCAGTGATGCAGGCTTGATGGAAGATGTGACGATGCAAGAAAGAAGAGGTCTTAGTTGGTGATGATGCAAAGTTGGTTGGTCAAGCGTGAGTTGCGCGATGTTGAGGAAGAAGGAAGAGAGGAAGCCGGAAGCAAACTTTTGATAGCCGAGTCGACAATAACAAGGTGACAATAGGTGAAGTGACAATTGCAAACGCAGTCGTAAGGAAGCAACCAATAAGAAGCTATTAAACAATAGAAAATAGCTTAGACTGCGAAGGTTTCACTGTCGAGTGAACCTGTCGAACCGGTGGATATCCGCGATTCCGCACGACACGGGCAGTCTCTCAGACGAACGATATATATATATATATATATATATGCTGAATTCTCTGCAACTTCATGACCCCAGAATGGGTCGTGATGATCGTAGGGTTGCTGTCCTTGGGCCACCGAGAATAGCTTGATAGTGGTTTCCTCCAATGCTGGATAACTGATTTCCTGATTGCGTGGTGCGATACCTTGACATATGTTAACACGGTTCGGTTGGTGAAGACAATCTTCTGAAAGATCAATCCAGCCTTACTTTTCAATCGTCAGGGTTAATGCCAAACTCCTCTTGAACTTCACCGATGCGGCAACCACGCTTCTCGGCGATCAGGCCCATGAGCTGGGTGCCGATGTCCTTGATGTCGTTGTACTGCTGGAGCTGTTTGATTTGAGTCTTGATCCTTGTGTTGGCAGCATCCACTGCAAGTTTTGCACGAAGTTCCGTATCTTCTGACTGTTGAATATCGGGAGAGAAGGAATCGACGAGAGAAGTACGTTGGGAGATAAGACCGGCGACAGTCGATTCAAGAGCAGCTTGACGAGCACGAAGGATATCGAGCTGGCCGGTCCTACTAGAGGATGATAGTTTGGATGACATGTTGGGTTTGGAGGGTGCGATGGGCGACGAAGAGAAGTTGTCTTCGGCCATGTTCGCTACTCTTACGAAGTAGAGGCTTCTCGATTGCTCCAGTCCTTGACGAAGGTATTGAGATTGACTAAGCTCGATGCGTTAGGCACAGTGGCTTTCTACGATGCTTGGAGTGCAACAAAGATGTCACATTGCTATGGAAGCAGCGATTGCGACCAAGCAGTAACGAGATGTGGTTGGAAAGGACCGGATTCGTACTCCGATCGGATTTAGAGGGAGTTACGCATGATCCGCGCCTTCCCGATCACCTTCCAGAAGGCCAACACATGGAACACAATGAATTGAATGAGAGCGTTAGTACAATGACCAAGTAACTTCTATAATCTTTACATTGATGTCCAATCTACACATATCGCTAGGACAATGAGGGCATATGCGAGAAGGAATATGGATGAATTAGGATAGGGGATTGGACGGCTTGGCGGGATACGCGTGGTCAGCAATCTTTCTAGATCAAGGTGGACTCGGGGTAAACCTTGTGTTCCTGTCTCGTTGAACAAAGGGGATGTGCAAAATCCTATAGAGACTCGGAATCGAAGCTACCAAGACTGTAACCGCTACTTGCGCTGTGTAACATGATGGCTCCTTCGATGCAGCTGTCGGCGCAAATGCTAAGCAAAAGCATCCAAGCCGCCACCGTTCTTGCTTTGCTTGTCTCGACGGTTCAAGCGCATGAACATCACGAAGACAAGATCCCTGAAGGCGAGGCTATCTCGCCGGATCCTCTGGTATGCCTCTTTGTATGAGCGGACCTCGCAACGGGACTGACTCTCGTCTAGGACACGACGTTATGGATCCACATCCTCGTTCAAATATTCGCCTGGGGCATCCTGTTCCCTACTGGCATGGTCCTGGGCATCGTCCGCTCACGATGGCACGTACCTGTCCAAATCACTGCCACTGGCCTCGCCATCTTGGGCTACCTACTCGGCCACGCCCACAAAGGTCGCCAATTCAGTAAAAACGTTCACGCCCAATATGCCCCTTGGTTGATGATGATGGTCTTCGCACAAGCCGTCATGGGCATCTATCTCAAGCTCCACATCGAACGTGGCTTCATGGGCAAGATCAGGAAGTGGATTGTCTCTGGACACGGTATACTCGGCAAGATCATCCCGCTGGCCGCGTGGGTGCAGATGCTGTTTGGTGGCATTACCGCCTTGGGCTTCTGCCAGGGCGATCACACCGGTCAATGTGCTGCACACTTCATCATGGGTTCCGCCTTCATCGCATACGGTATTGTCTACACCATCCTCCTTCTCGTTGGTCAGATCTGGTTGCGCCGTACTGGTCGCTCCCAAGAATTCTACGACAGTCTTGTCATTGCTGCTTGGGGGTGTGTCAACACCTTCACCGAACACAGATGGGGTGGTCCTTGGGTACGCAACGATTTGCAGCACACTAGCATGGGCGTCATCTGGTGGTGCGCTGGTCTTTTGGGCATGTGGCTGAGCCGCGACCGCCGTGGACGTCCCAAGCGCAACTTGATCCCTGCCATCGTCATCGCCATAACTGGCTGGGCCATGAGTGGCCATCCTCAGGAATTGCACCTGAGTACTATGGTGCACAGCGTCTTTGGCTACACTCTTATGGCAGCCGGCATCACTCGCATCATTGAGATTAGTTTCGTCTTGAGAGACGCCAACTCCATCTCCGAGGATGGGGAGGACACTAACAGCTTCCAATTCCTGCCTCCGTTCTTGCTGTACGCCAGTGGTTTCCTTTTCATGGGTGCCACCGAAGAGCAGATGCTTCTCCTGTCTCAAGCTGGTGTCACTCACGTCACTTATATCCTGATCCTCTACAGCTTTGCTTTCCTCCTCTTCCTTTGTAAGTCCTAGATGTCTTTAAACCAAACGACTACAGAGCTAACCTTCGCTACAGTCGTAAACATGCTTCTCCGCCTATACACCTACTACGCAGAGACCCCGACCGACGGCAAGACTGCCGATCCTGAGAGCAGACTCAATGGCTCGGCTCTGCCCAACGGCCATGCCCGTATTCCAGACGCAAGCGACCGCCAGATTAGAGATGCGGAGGAATTCGAACTGGAGGGCCTCATGAGCGAGGACGATGATGACCTGTCCAAGCACCACAATGGACGGTAAAAACATTTTTTCGGAGGAAAATACCTAACAAAGTACATATTATCACAACTAAAGTCTATTACAAATTCCGGACTCTCAATCCAAGACTCTTCGATCATATTAAGTGGGCAGACTCGGCCAGTCTCTAAACATGAAAAGGTCATGGCTGCACTTTGAGAACTCGCGAGTGTGCTGTAAGCGAAAGAAAATTCTATATTCCAGTCGCAGGCATCTCGAGCACCCCTCTATACCTCATCTCGCCACGCTCGAGCTTTCCAAAGGCACTCTTGAGACCATCTTCGGTCATTGGGAATCGCTCAATCCAGGGCGATATCTTGTGCCTAGCTGCGAAGTGGATCATGGCAAGATGGGTTTTCCTCGAAGCCTCGGTGGAAGCAATAATCCTGTGACCAGGAAGTATAAATGGCATATAGGGGACGACCAGAGGCTTCTGCTGTATCGACATGAGAACGATCGTTGCTCTGCGTGCCAGGAAAGGCAAAATCGCCTCGAGATCGGGTGTCTCGTTGGCGCAGACGAGTAGAACGTCTATTAGCGATATGGGTCGGAATTTGCTGATAGACAAATGGCCTTCGATGCTGCTTTGCATGATAGATGTACTAATGTTGCTTAAGGCCCGAAGCTCGTCGGCACCCAGTTCGAAAGCATCTTCAGCTTTAGCGTATGCCTTGTCAGTCGAGCTCGAGAAAACCGTGACAGCACAGCCCATTGCTCTAGCGAAAAGAATGGCCATATGACCGAGACCACCTAAGCCAACAACACCAACACGATGGTGTGGCTTCGTGCCCGCTGCATCCAATGCCTCATACGTAGAAGCACCGGCGCACATGAATACACCAGCTTGCCAAGAAGGTATCTCGGCCGGAATGTGGTATGCAAAATCGGCATCAATGATATGGAAATCGGCAAAGGCGCCTATGGTTTGGGATTAGCATAGGAAAATCGTTGTCGACACTGCCTGGTTACCTTGCTCTTGGTCACAGAAAGCAAAGCCGCTTGCTTGAGCGCAGTACTGGCGATATCCATCGACACAGACGGAGCAACTGCCGCAGGACNNTGACATCCTCAGTTCTCTCGTCTTAAAATCACGTACATGTCCACTTACGCTTCGCAACCAGCTACAAACACATCAGGTCTTGTTTCAGGATCCAAGGACAGACAATGGCAAGAGCCTACGCAGTACTTACCCCCAACCAACCCGATCACCAAGACTCATAGATGTCACATTGGCTCCAAGGTCAGTGACAATGCCTACACCTTCATGGCCTAGTCCACAAGCCTTCTCCTTTGCATGAACATCAGTATAACAGATGCCCGAGTGTGTTACCCTGATCTTGGCTTCGTTCAGGCCAAGCGTGCGTTGTGTCGTCTTTCTGACGAAGCTGTCAGAAGGAGCATCATAGCGAAATGTGGTAAGCGTATGAGTGGTCATAAGCAACGAGGGTTATGATCTGGAAGAAACGCAGTCAGAAGGTTGGGACTTTATGCATCGAGTAATGAGACCCCTGCTTTGGACGATGGAGTAGGGGGTTTCCATATCTTGACTCCAGGGTCTGCGGGCAAATGCGGTTCGGAGGTCAGCTGTTGCGCCTCTTGCGGAGTTGAAGTGGCGGCGCCGGCGCGGGAATTTCTAGGACGGGCCGAGTCAAACAATTGATGAGAGATTGTTGCCCACTCCTAAGACTCTCTCCCTCACACACAGCAACATTCATCATGGCTTCACTACGACCAGCTTCCCGCCGAATCCTCTCGTCCGCTGCACATGCGCCCCGCCTACACACACGATGCCTTGCCACGGCGGCATCCGATATCACTCCCTCATCGCCGAACACCACGAGATCAACCNCCCGACGAGCCACAAAGTTCTCCGATGTCCTGAATAGTGGTCCAGCCTTTGGAGACTTTGTCTCTGGAAGAGAGGAGCCCTTGAGTCCCGAGGAAGCTCTGGAATTGAAGACGGTTATGGTTGGCCCCGCCGGCAAGAAGAAGCCTCACACGCGATTGCCTGAATGGCTCAAGACTCCTGTGCCCAGCAGCAACAACTTCAAGAAGATCAAGAATGACCTGCGTGGTCTGAACCTACACACTGTTTGCGAGGNNGAAGCACGTTGCCCCAACATTTCCGACTGCTGGGGCGGCAACGACAAGTCTGCTGCTACCGCTACTATCATGCTTATGGGCGACACATGTACTCGTGGATGCCGATTTTGTTCCGTCAAGACAAGCCGAAAGCCTCCGCCGCTAGATGTCCACGAGCCCGAGAACACCGCCGAGGCCCTGTCGCGATGGGGTCTTGGCTACGTTGTCTTGACCTCCGTCGACCGTGACGATCTCGCAGACGGTGGTGCACACCACTTTGCCAGCACCATCATCAAGATCAAGCAGAAGGCACCCACCATGCTTGTTGAGGCTCTGACCGGTGATTACGCCGGTGACCTGGAAATGGTCAAGGTGGTTGCCCAGAGTGGTCTGGATGTCTACGCCCACAACATGGAAACTGTTGAAGACTTGACACCCTTTGTCCGTGACCCTCGCGCAAAATTCCGCCAGTCGCTTGAAGTTCTCAAGGCTGCGAAGGAGGCCAAGGAGGGCTTGATCACAAAGACCAGTTTGATGTTGGGACTCGGCGAGACCGAGGATCAGCTCTGGGCAACACTCAAGGGTAAGAAAGAGCCACACGAATCACATATGAGAGGTTTGTGCTGACAAATTTTGTTCACAGAACTCCGCAAAATCGACGTCGACGTTGTCACTTTCGGCCAGTACATGCGCCCTACCAAGCGCCACATGAAGGTCGAGGAATATGTCTCGCCCGAAAAGTTCGAGCTCTGGAGACAACGCGCCCTCGACATGGGCTTCCTCTACTGCGCCAGTGGCCCCCTGGTCCGCAGCTCATACAAAGCCGGTGAAGCATTCATCGAGAATGTCATCAAGAAGCGCGCCAAGAAGAACCAACTCGCCATGGCCGAGGATGCAGGCGACTTCAAGCCTCTGAACGCTGCATAGATCAACCACCAGTCCTTTCCTGCTTTTCAATCATTGGCTTTGGCGTTTCTAGGTGTTTCATGAGCTGGACTGGGCGGGAATCAGATATCAACTTGCGCTGGGGAGCATTTGCCTGGAGTCCAGAAGGATTGGGGCCGTCATATCATAAGAAGCCGAAGAACTGTATAAAAGTACATCAACTGTACGGCTACAAAATTATTAATGTCGTCATCTATCATCTGAGTATTCTTTCCTGAGATATCGAAATCCAGGCGGTATATCGGCCTGTTTCAATTTCTCGGCCATTACTCATCCTTGCCATACTTTTCAATCAACTTGCTCATAATGCTCACAGCACCACCCTTGTATCCACCGCCGAACATAGCGTGGTGGTTCAGGTGATGGTACAACTCGTACAGAGCAACTCTGTCAGAATACTCGTCCACTGGCTCCGTCTTGGGAACCAGTTCATGATACTCCTTGAAAATGCCACCAAACCCTCCGAACATCTTCATGTCACCGAATTCGTACTCGTTGTGAGCATAGCAAGCACTAGAGTCGTAGACGACATCTTCAGGAGCATCCATACCGGGCAATTTTCCCAAACTCGCATTGCCCGACCACAGGTCTCCATGAACAATGACCGGGGTAACGCCTTTACCATTGTTTAGATGGTCATCGCCAATGAGTCGTGGAACAACCTTCTTGCAAGTTGTCTCGACCATTGCTCTCAAATCCTTGTCGGCTCCATTGGTCTTTTCACTCCGCTTCAAGATGAACATCAATCGATTCTCAGCATAAAACTCCGCCCAACTGCTCTTGAAGGAATTGTCTTGAGGTGTTTCTCCACAACAAGTGGTTACTGGAAACCCAAACTTGGGGGTTGACTCTCCTGGTGGTGGGGGCGCTGGGGTAGTGTGCAGTTTTGCCAACTTTGCTGCTAGGGAAGGTGCAGAAGAAGAAGAAGCTTTGGGTGAGAATCGGCTTGAGAGATCTACGAAATCGGTGACTAGGAAGTGAGTTGAGGGTGAGTCGGCGAATTTTCCGTGGCCGTAGGATTGGGGGCATAGGTTGGGAACAGCATTGCGGATTGCACTGAGCGATGCGTGTTCGCCTNNGACTCTTCTTTAGCTAGGCTCTAGTGATATTGGTGAAGAGGACATACCTTCAAACATGATCGAGGCTTCCTTACCTTTGCCTGTTTTCATGAAGAAGTGCTTTTCTGTGCCATTGCTGAGTTTTGTCGTGATTTTTGATGTTGATGCGAAGCTTGATCCTGCTCCAGCGCCGGAAAGCCTGGTTGCATCTGGGTCCAAGGACAAAAGTTTGGCAATGGCTGAGTCAATTGTCATGGTACTGGCGATAGAGGAAATTCTTCTGACACTGGAAAGCATGAAAAATTAAAGCGACAGAGCAACATCCTCTTGCCAGCAAGGTGTTTTTGCGTACTTTCAATGACATCAAGGTCGATCATCGAAGCCGTGTGTCATGTTGCCAACCGAAAAAGGCACTCAACCAGATGAACTACTAAACATAGCTCTCACAACTGCCCAAAGCATCTCTGCTTCGACAATCGCCATGGATACAAATTCTCCACCGCCAGTCAAACGCAGAACTGTAAATCGACTTTGAATATCAAGGAAGGTTGGCCATACCCCACGTGAACAGTGACAGCAAGGTGCACAGGCCGCCAAGGTGTTTGTGATCGACCTCGACTTCACCTAGTCAACCCATACCACGCCCATCAACAAACGAGTTGGGAGAAGATGGCTGGGAGACCAGGCTCAGAAAGGCAGATGTATGGCTCCAAGTCTGGCGGCTGAGCACGAGTGGTCAAACAAGGTAGGTGGGTACCTGAAAAGCGTGTAGCGGCGTGGTTGGTGGAAGTGGGTTCTCTACCAGCCTCCTCCTCGGCATCCGGCCACGATGTGAAATCGAGCATCACCATGAAAGTAGAGAAAAAGAATGCGGTCGCTCCACTTGTTGTATATTGAACCCTTTGCACGTTTTGTTATCTTTGACAGCAGTTTTTGTCGTTTCAAGCGTTTTTCGCCGTTTGATCGTTCGCAACAATGAGTCGTTCATTGGAATCTCTACATCTCAAGCACACAAATGGTAGGAGCGATTGAGTGCTACCTCCGATTCGTTTTATCTGATCTTCAGCCANNGTCTCGCAACCACGTCTAGAACGAACACATTCGGAACGCTCATTCACAGCATCAGAAGATTTCTATTCTCTGTCTTCTAGGTCATCCGATCGCTCAGATAGCCGGGCCTCGCAGTCACGACCATACGCACCACCACGAACACACTCACGCTCGATCCGCAGAATCGAGAGTCCAGCATCTCCTGTTCCTCCAATCTCCCCAGATTTTCCTTATCCCTCACGCCAAAGCTATGAGGGCATTGCTCGACCAGTCTTGATTCGTCAGGTGTCGAAGCCATCGTCAAGACCTACTCGGAGTATGAGAGGCCATGGTGTGAGAAGACGCGACCTGGCTCCCACGGAGATCTCTGTACCTCCGATTCCTCCTCGCCGAGGCTCGCCTATGAAGAGGAAGCCTGTGCCTAGTACAGTCTACGAGACTCCGTCTCAACTGGAACCGATCCGTATCCCCCAAGCTGCTTTGAGTTCTGCTTCTATGCAAGTTGCCCGTCAATACGATCCACCAACACCCGAGGCCGACACACCCTACGTTCGCTTCGCCATCGACCAGATCACGAGAGATGAGGATGAAGCTGAAGGCAAGCCCTGGCTTGGTCCCGAGTTCGGAACCGACTACGACGAAGGCCCGATACCCCTCGAGCAAGAATACNCCCCAGTGCCTGATATGCCCTTCGACGACATTACACCAATCCCGATACCACCAAGGAGCCCAAAACGCAAAAGCAGTCAGATACCGGCGCAACATCCGCTCCAGGAACAGTTGAATCTGTTCACGCCATTCGAGCCTTGTGCCGACTCTTTCTATGCCCCTCTGACCGCTTTGCCGCCTGTTCTTCGACCAGTGCGCCTCGGTATTTTCATATCGCTTGTAACGCTATATATGATTGCCCTCATCTTCACTGCGATATGGTCGCGCGTGCGCATTGGACTATGCAACTATGGGACTTTCGGTGACGGTACATATTTCGTTTTCCAGTACCTGCCTACCCTTCTGGGCATGATACTGCTTCTTTGGCTGTTCGAGATCGAGAAGGCAGTTTACAGAGTTGCTCCCTTCATCGCACTGGCGTCCAAAAACTCGACACTCCGTGGACACGGAAGTTCGTTACCTATGTATCCCTCCGGTTTTGCACTGCCCCCTCTCACTCACTTGAGGGCAGGTCAGCGAGCCATTGGCGTCTTCCTTGTTGCCTCGTGGTTTACACTGTTCACCATCCCTCTGCTAGCCTCTTCCTTCAACGTCTACTTCCGTGGATTTCCTGGTCGATGGGTCTGGCTTGCCACACAAGGAACCATCTGGACCGTAATTGCGCTGTACATCATCTTGCTTACTGTATCGATCACTTTGTGGCTGTTTCTCCATCATAGAGGAACCGGACTCAAGTGGGATGTTCGTACCTTGGCTGACTTGATCGTTCTTACTGAGCGTAGCAACATTCTCGACCACTTTGCTGATATCGGTGTACATGTTAACAAGTACGAACTCTGGGGCCACAGTGCCGAGAGACAGGACAGATTGGGCTACTTCAACACTGCTTACAACCCAAACGACGTTTTTCATACTCTTGGTGCACCGAACAGACCTGCAAGGCCATACAGTGCTGACGAAAGCATCCTCAACGAGAAACTCTTGAGCCAATCCACTGGCTACTCGAACGTCAATGCTGGTTATGATCGTCCCTACAGCTATGGGTCCACTGGCACTCACAACACTACCGACCTCGTTTTGCAACCTGACAACACTGACAATCATCTGCCTTGGTTCCTCCGTGCTGGTTTCACCTTCGTCTGGTTCGTCATCGCACTTCTCTTGCTTCTCGCATTCTTGGTGGTATCGTATCTTCCATCAACTGCTGTCAATGCTGGATTCCTGCCGGACCTACCAGAAGCTGTGAACAGACTTGGCTTCTCCTCATCCAACTTCTTGTACTCCTTCGTGCCATCTCTGCTTGGTCTCTTATGTCTACTCGTCTGGCAGCCAATCGATCTTGCCTTCCGCCGCCTACAGCCGTATGCCGCAATGTCCTCGCCTGGCGGCTGTCTCGCAGAGAAGAGTCTTCTCCTGTCCTACGCTTCTGATGCGCCCTTTGTAGTCACGCTCAAGGCAGCAGTGAACGGCCATATCCGTGTCGCACTGCTCAGTATCGTTACGATGCTTGCAGCACTGCTTCCCATCCTGGCTGGCGGCGTCTTCTGGAATCAATTTTACATTGACCAGCAGCGTGTCCGTGTCAGTGCACACACGACCGCCTTCTACCCGATGACGGTCTTCCTTGTCATCTATGCGCTGGCATACGCCCTCGTCTTTGCAGGCCACAAGCGTGCACTGCCCAATCGTGGCATCACTCTTGCGGATCAGATCTCTCTCTTACATCAGAGTCGTTTACTCAATGATGCCGCCTTCCAAGCTCCTGCCACGAAGACCGCCCTGGTTACCCGTCTGCTATCTGCCCCTGTCGGCGAGCGCAACAGCTACCACGACAATTCCGATCTTGAAGGCGCTGTCACCGGCAGTAAAGTCTCCATTGCAGACTCTCTGCGCGGCTTTGGTCGTGCTAGAGCTGATGCCACGACAACCGTAGGAAGTACACAGTTGCCCCGCTATGGCTATGGAAAGTACTTTGGTCGTGATGGCAAGCGCCATGTTGGTGTGGATCGTGTGGGTAGACCTGGTGTGCCTGATATGGTCATCAGGATGTGATGTATGATGACCACGTTTTCTTGTCTCTCGTGCTGCGATTTGGCGATGCGGTTTGTTGCCTTTTGGATCACGAGTGTACATGATGTTCCCGAGAGAGAATTATGATTTGTGGTATATATAATTTGTAATATTTAATCTTTTGATCTTATGAGGAATTACATGTGAACTGTGAACAACAGCACTCTTTAAAAGAATGATCGGTGAACAAGAATGCATAGGAAAGAGCCACCAATAGCAGCCTCTGTACAGAGTAAGACATACCCTTTCTCAATATGAACAGTCAAAAAGGCAAGATCGAATTTGAAACACCATACCCTACAAATACAAACCATCAAAAATGCTCCTTCCTATATTATTACATATCCGCCCTTTCTCACTTCAGCGGCAAAATGCCACTCCACCGCATACTCTGGCTCAAAACTCTTCATTCAACTCTTCGAGCTGTTTGGCCTGCAACCTCAAACTCGCCAACGTACCCTCGATGGTCTTTTTTCTTCTTTTGCTCACCCTCCTTCTCGCCAGTATAAAACACATCATCATCCTCAATCAACCCCACTTCAAACACAGCATCAGCTCTTTCATCCAACGCGGCAGTAAAGTTTGCGAGTTTGGATTGCAGAGAGGATTTTTCTTGACGCAAGGTTTCGAGTTCCGAGGTCAGGGACGAAATGCGGGATTGGAGGTTTGTGCGTTCGTGGAAGGTTTCTTTGCGCGAGGATTCGAGGGCGGCTTCTAGATGGGCGAGTTGCGAGGTTAGGGCTGAGTTTGAGTAAGTTGTTGTTGTTGTTGCGCTGGGGGTTGGTTGTCTGTTGGCGCAGAGGCTTCTTCACCCGGGACCTCGACGGTTAGTTGTCTTGATGGCGAGGTTGAGTTGTCGCCGATTTGGGAGTCTAGGTGGGTAAAGTCCATTTCGTAGGAGCCGTCTTCGGAGTCGACGTCGGAGTCTGCAGGTAGGGAGGTTTGTGTTGTATCTGCCTCTTCGAATTGCGGCGCCTGCTCGTCTTGAGTCTCCATTGGCGTAAGGAACTCTTCGAAACGAGTTCCTTCTTCAAGAGCACCTGGTGTGGCTTCTGGCTGTACATCAAGCTCCTCCACCTCTCCGCGATCTGAAGTCTCGATATTGATGGCAGGACTCTGCGCTGCTGTATCGGCAGCTCTCAACCTTTGGACCTGTTCCTTCAAGGAGTTCAGTTCTTCTCGCAATGAGTCGATGGCATCGTCCCGTCTCCTGAGCTCGGTGTAGTGTCTAGCATTCAATGCATCGACTGAGAAGTTCTTGGACTTTTCGAATTCGGCAGCTTGATTGAACAGATTCTCCTCGTGTTCACGAATGAGCTCAAGGCGACGCTCTTCTGCTTGTTGGAGTTTTGCCTCAGTCTCACTGCGATTTGTCTCGAGGACTTCTTCTTGTTGGCGCACAAGCTCACGATGTCTGGTCTCGAACTCCAGAACACGAGCGTCATAGTCAGCTCGAAGAGATTGGA